AGAATCATTCTGGTTTGTATTCAAGTTTATAAGACATACAGTCCCTGGGTGGATTAAAAGCAACTGAAACTTTGTTAATCTGTTAAACCATTAGTGGCTCTGACTTTGACCACATGGTTGACTGATGAAGAGGACATAAAAAGGGTCTGAACAAAAAAGCAAGAGTCCACTATATAGGCAGTTAAAAAGAGTTTTGATTAATTGGTTCTCTCTAATGGCCTTTAAGGACAGCACAATAAAGCTTTTTACATGTTCTCTTCTTTTTCTTTCTTTATTGTTCATAGACTAAGAGAAAGCTGCCGACAGTGTGGTCACATAGGTTATGGCATATGATACAACCACTTTCATTTTGTAACAACTATCCTTGTTATTTTTGTTTCTGTGTGGACGAAAACATGATAATTTATCAGAATGTTACTATATATTGATCCCACTTTCTAACAGTTTAACAATGAAAATGAAATCTCCAAACTCCAAATATCTCTAGTGAATAATTCTTCTTGATTTAGGGGTTGTCATGACACTTTCAACATTTAAGTTTTAATGTTAATTGGTATTGTATTAATATGATGTTGTTATTAGAGCATTTGTGATCAAGTAATTAATATAAGGGTAGCTTAAAGTTTTAAAAGAGTTAAGAATACAACATCCCACTTAAACTTCTAAATGAAAGAACCATAAAATCCAATCTAAAATGAAATGGAACTTGACACCCCCACTAAGAAAAAGCAAGTTAGGCTCAAAATCAAGTAAATTTTTACCACTCGACACTTGCGCAGCATAATTTCCAGACATTTGGTTTTGTTGTGTAAATACATAAACACAAGAATGATGAAACATAAACTAAGTTCATGATTTCTAGAATAAGGAATAGAAAATGTCTCACCAACATTTGCGTCCCCATGTCAAGTGACTTTATTCACAACCCCTAATCAATAGAGAAAAGCATGCTCTTATCTGTTGATCAATATCCATGTTATTAGGCAGCTTTAATTGTGGCTTCAATCTTCGTAGTCACAACTTACATACAATAAAGAAAGCTCCACTAAGATCTTACTGATATAGGGTACATTTTACAATCTAATTAAATAGTTTCTTATGGAGGAATACACCGTATAAAATTTTGTAGAATGTTACATAAATATACACCATAATCATTTTTTTTTTCTTATTCACATTATTTTATATCAATAAATGTGTACGGTCTACTTTGACCCGACCCCATGCCATTTTCTAAAGGGTCCTCTAATTGATAACATGAATGAGAATTGAATATTCCTAGTACTCTTTTCCAAAAGAGAAGGCGGTAAAACATGCTTTAGAGGTAATCTTTGTGTTTCACAACTACCCCACAACCAAATTGAAACTCTCATCTTCTTGCTAGTGATAATTGATTGCCACTCATTATTGGCATTTTCTGACACAACATGGTGAACCTGCACGAGTTTGTGTGATTTAAATGGGTAGTTTATGCTAGCAGTTGTCGTGAATATGATGGATGGCACTTGGCACAAGTTAGACCCCACAGGAGCTACAAATTTTCTAATTTAGCAGAAGATGATAATTGACATATTGGTAACTATTTCATGCACTCCTTTGTCTAGTTATAGTTGTCTATTTCTGTGAAGTAATGCAGTAAGTTACTTCAATTAGTTGGATAGAACAAACAAAAAGGGGTGTTAGGGGTGTGTTTGGATTATAATTTAACTTAACTATACTTTGGAATAACGGATTTATTTATTTTTTACATATCTACTCAAACTATGGTTAGGTATCCAAAATCATGTTTAAGTGCATTTCAACTATAATTTTGCTAAAAGTGTCAGTTATTAATGAAATTCAGTTTATTTACTCTCCAAAATACGGTTTGGAGTAAGCAATTCAAACATGTACAGTTTGATATATACTAGTAGGTTTTTATCAGCATCCATAGGTCAATTATAAGTTTAATCATTGTTAAAATTTGTTTTATTATTAGTTTTTGTTGAGATTTATCACATACCCTCATTTTAAAATATGGTAACCTGTAATCTCCTAAACTAAAAAAGAAAAAGAAAACAAGAGGTGGTACTGGTGGGGTGTGGTGAAGGACTGGTCTTAGCCCGTAGGCCTGCAAGCTATAGAACTATTATAAAATAGGTGATCCTTTTCTTCATGGTAGTTTGTTGATTTGCATTTTGTAACGTTGATATGGTCTTCTCTCTATCTACTTTGCAGTAATAAGTACAACATAATTTACTTAGAGGTTAAAAGGAAGGAAGGCCTCTAAAGATATTGCTGTACTTTTGATAGGTACAAGAGTTGGACCCTTTTTATTTTTTTTCTAGTAATACTTTTTTACATACTTTTTAACACATTGTTTATGATTGTTTGAATTTTTTAAAACTAAAATACTTGTTTTATAAGTTTATCATTTTCTAAAAAAATACGTTAATTTTTTTTTATAAAAAAGATTGATGATCATAATTTTTTTTAAAAAAATGTACATTAATTAAAAAAATGGAAGTATCTCAAGGAACAATAATGCATCATCTATTATCATATTTAACTTCATTTTTTTCTTACTTTTTCTTGTTGAATTTAGATGAAACTATTTTTCTGTAATTATAAAATTTAGATAGTCACCGACAACTTAAATAGTTGGTAATGGTGTATACTTATGGGGCCTTTGAATGTTAGTAAGTAAGATTGAATTCAAGTACATATGAGCATTATAATAAAGTGAGGTGTGCTCATAAGGCCATATAGGAAGGAGTGAAGGAGACTTCTGCCTTACAATTGAAGTGTTAATGTAAAAGGGTAGGGGGACAGCATGGGCTATGTACCTTCTCTATTGCCATTGAAATTCTTCAAGTAAACATGGCCTTTAATGTAGTCCATTAAAGCAATCAAAATAATGGTAGATAATGACTCACATTATACTTGTAAGAAACAGATCACATATCATGCAATGCAAGGAGAAAGAGAGAAAGAAAGAAAGAAAACTCACATATATAGGGTAAAAAATATATTCATCCTCTGTTATTTGTTTTTATTTATGATGTTTGCATTTTTTTATTTTTTATTCACATATGAGAGAATTTTATATTATAATTTTAGGTCATAGGTTTGAAATGTGGAGGGAATTTTGTTATATTTTCCTTTAGTTATCTATTTTTAATTTATAAAAAATATGAGTAAATCTTCAAATATTATTTGTATTGAATTTTCTTGAGTCAAAATTTTATATTCTCACGCCTTAAATTTCTCTTACTTTTATTTATTTATTTTTTGTATTAAGAAGTCACTTTTCATTATAAATCTTAACTACCTGTTACATGACTATATACTAGTATATATAATATGCAAATTTGTTTCACTTTGTTAGAGTTAGGGCTTTAGCTGTTTATGGTGCATTTGATTAAATTTTGAAAAATCACTTCTATGATATTATTGTTTTTTCAGAAGCTATTTTTTTCCTACTTTTCAGAAGCTATTATTAAAACTATTTGTTTTGAAAATTCGCATTCAATTATTTTAAAAATTTAGGCATATTTTTATTTATAAAACACTTACATTTCAGGAAGCCATAAAGATATTCTTACGCAATCTCTCTTTCCTTACTTCTTATTTTTCATGCTTGTTATTTATAATTTTATCTTCTCTCTTCAAAAGATGGAATTGGATTCTATAACCTTTGTTCCGTAGTTTAGATTAATGTAGAAAACTATGGTTTAAAACAATCTAAATGTGAATTATATGATTTTCACCTCCGAAAGCAACTTATGGTGTATACTTTAAATAATGAGTTTTTTTTGGGCCAAGGACATTTTTGTTGTAAAGGTCTAAGCAATACTAAACTATTGTTCTCCAAAGGCCCAAACAGTTTCTTTGTGAGCAACTGGTTATTGGGCTCTTGTTCATTTTAATACAATTAAACCCTTTTTAATCACGACCCAAGGGGGGTCGAACAACACTAAATTATAAAGTTTGACAAAGAGATTTAGAAAATTGGCTAACTCATTCCCGACAATTAGCTCCAGAGAATAAAATTATTCTAAATTTATAAGAAATATTTTAATTATATTTTTAATTAATGTGAAATATCTATAAAAAAGGGGGGAAATAATGAATAAAGGTTGGTTTTAAGAATTTGGATAAAGATGAAACCGATCATCCCATGAACCGAAAAAAGAAAACTTTAGAATCCTGTTGTACTTTGTTTTTGTTCAATTTTCCTAGTGTAATTAAAAGTTTAAAGATAATTAAAAAAGAATAAATTTGAATGGATATAGAATAACCATAATTTGCATTCCAACTTTTCTAAGGAAATTTTGTCCAAAATTTGACATAAAAAATTGAAAAGGGAATCCAACTTCTATAAGGTTTCATTTGTCTATCTTATGTATAGATTAAACTACTGTTAGTTAGAATAATGTGATCTTTGTGAATTCAACGCACTTTAAAATACATAGTTGAGACTTGAGAGATGCTTATTTGTACAATAAACAAGTGCTTATTTGTATAGCAAAGCTAATTTTGTCACGGGACAATTAACTTTTTTTTTTTCACAAAATATCTTTAAAAAAGTAAACAAAGTTTTTAAGAACTAATACAAATGAAATGAATCCTAAGTGCCGTGAAAAAGAAAAACCAAATCATAAAAATTATATTTAGTTAAGCTTTATTTGGGTAAATTTAAAAAAAATTATATATTCAAGTAGTATTTACTTAAGTTTTTTAAGTAAAATGTTGAATTCAAAATTTATGAATAATAAAAAAAAGTTTCAAAGAAAGAGTTAACTTAAAGTAAAAAATTTATGAATAATAAAATCCTATAAATTATATTTGTAATTTTGATAAAAATAAATAAATTATACAGATATAGAGAGGTTTTAAATTGACTATTCCATTTTATAATGACCCAAGAGGAGGTAATGTTGTGTATGCAACCCTCCACGTGTCAAAACAAGAGCCAGTGCTGATAAATATCCTGAACTGTTCCTTAAAATCTTCAAGTGTTGAGGTAACAGGAAAAGGAACAGCAGTGCCGAACAGAGAAGCCACGATGAGTGGCAGAGCCATTGTTTCATGTTTCTCTCTGCCTTCAACTTCATCAACCTCTGCCCCCTTTCTACTCTCACGGAGATACCATCTTAACCATGCAACTTCAACTTCACTCTTCCCGTCACGGCGGTGCCTTGTTACCGGCGGCGGAAGGGGCGGTGGCAAGGTGTGGACCAATGTGAAGTCGGAGAAGAACGTGTCTGAGTCACCCAAGTACGAGGATGTTGTTGTTCAGAAGGGACGTGGTTTGGATAACTTGGAAGCTGAAGTTGCATCAGCAACGTGGTGGCAAGTGTTTCCCAAGAGATGGGTCATTGTGATTCTCTGCTTTTCCGCTTTTCTTCTATGTAACATGGATAGGGTATGTTCCTTTCTTACGTTTTTTAAACTGCATTTGTTTCTTTCTCAAACCATGAAATGAAATTTTGGTTATGTGATAGAGATAATTAAGCTGTTGAAGCATGATTAGTTGTGATTAGTTAATAAGATGAAGTTTAATTGATTATACCCAGTACAGAATTTTAGTCGAAGTCTTTGATTATGGTTTTTTATCTAGAATTGGCAAATGCAATGTAAGTCACTCCATGCTTAGGCATGGAAACCTTGTCTCAAATGCTGGGCCCAACTGTGGTTGGTTGCATCAATATTCAATACAAGTACTGTACTGGTATGGTTATAGTATAGAATATGGCAATTTTTAAAAAATCATAGTATGCTTTTATAATTTTTATATAAAATAAATGAAGAATGTAAAATAGAACATACATAATAAAAGAAAAGGAAAATTATTAGAACACTGGTTAAGGAATCAAAAGTGAATTGTTTTTTTACTAAAAAATGTTATTAATACACCAATTCCTATGATTTCCAATGCATCTTAGCGTAATTTTGAATAATTTTTTTTTTATTTAGGGCACTGATTAGCAAGATCCTAAAAAAATTAATAAAACTTATGTCTTATATTTCACACTGCTGTGGAGTCTGCAGTTAGATTTACCTCTTAGAAACTTTCATCTATTTTTCATTTGCAGGTAAATATGAGTATTGCTATACTTCCTATGTCTGCAGAATACAATTGGAACCCAAGCACTGTAGGTTTAATACAGTCTTCTTTCTTTTGGGGCTATCTCCTCACTCAGGTAAATGTGATTTCATTTTGACAAACTTAAGTTTGACTAGTAATTTTTGCTTGTTTGTATGATTTTGGACTTAAGGGCATGACTCTTAAGCATAGTTGGATTTTTGTTGCAGATTGCTGGTGGAATATGGGCAGACACAGTTGGAGGAAAACAAGTATTGGGATTTGGTGTGGTTTGGTGGTCTGTTGCGACAGCACTCACTCCTATAGCTGCAAAACTTGGATTGCCTTTCTTACTAGTTGCTCGTGCATTCATGGGAATTGGTGAGGTGAGTTTTGTTAAAATTCTCTGAATGATATGGTTTTCCTGCATTCTACCTGGAAAAAGTAATATTTGCTATTATGTTGTGATCAATTTGAGTAAAGAGTTGGTTTATCTAGTTGATGATGATACAATTTGATGATAACTTTTATCCATATGGAGCTCACTTCTTTTGGCCCTTTCTAGGGGGTTGCTATGCCAGCCATGAATAATATTCTCTCAAAATGGGTTCCTGTGGCAGAGAGAAGTAGATCACTGGCACTGGTCTACAGTGGCATGTATCTTGGATCAGTCACTGGACTGGCCTTTTCTCCCTTCCTAATTCATCAGTTTGGATGGCCATCAGTATTTTACTCCTTTGGTTCTCTGGGGACAGTCTGGTTTTCTGTGTGGCTTAGTAAGGTAAGAGTATGTAAAATTATTTCCTTTGCATAGATGCTTCCTTTCTGAAGTTGGAGATACTTGTACACGCATTTTCTCTATGAATTTTTTTTTGTCTTGAAGTTGATTATTTACTGCAATTTTTCTAACTACAGCATTTTCTTATTTCTGAAAAGTTCACTCTTAGTAGCATTTTCTACTTGCTCATGAGCTAATCTTTTCTGTTCTATTGTGAGCTTTAGGCACGTAGTTCACCTCTTGAAGATCCTGAACTGCGGCCTGAAGAAAAGAAGTTAATTACTACCAACAGTTTTTGCAAGGAACCTGTGAAAACAATACCTTGGAGATTAATTTTGTCAAAAGCTCCAGTCTGGGCTCTGATAGTGTCTCACTTTTGCCACAACTGGGGAACTTTCATTCTTCTTACATGGATGCCAACATACTATAATCAAGTAAGTCTTCTTATATGCTCATCCTTTTCTTTTTAGTTCTTACATGGTTCTTTTATAAATTTCTTTAAATGATAAAATTTCCTTATCTACATGAAAGAAAAAAGTACTTAAGGTCCCACAACATATAAATACTGCTTCATCTGGTTCTGGGCATAATATGAGATAATGGACAGGAATGAGGTAAAGTTGGTTTTATGACAGTAAGGTAGGAAACCATGCTAATGATCCAAACATTATAAGGAAAAGAAAAGAATGAAAGAAAGAATAAGATCATGTGCACCATTGTCATTTAGCTTTAGTACATGGTCTTTGATTTGAAGCTATTTTGTCATGGACTTCTGTATGTTTACTGCTGGGTAATGTGGCAAGTTGCATTATTTATTTTCGGTTTATTTAAGGTTAATTTGGTTTAATTCCAGTAAGCATTAGTGATATTGGTGTATTCTGAGTGTAACATAAATGTGATGCCATTGCTTTGCTGATGCTTCTGATTTTTACAGTCTGGCAGTTTTTTTTATTTTTATGGCTACAATAGAGACTTGAGTTGAGATTATTATCTCTTCATTCTTTCTCCTAAAACCCTAATCTCTGTGTTCAATCTATTATCTTCTTATCCATTCATCTCATTCTCTGGTCAAAGCTATTATACCTGATAATAACATGATTTATTTCTGTAAACAATAAGTGAGGCATTCTGTTTAGTTGTCCACATCTGATATCATAGAATTCAATAGGTGAGCAAGCTTGCTTATATTTAACATTTTAACTTTTAAGCTTCCTACTTGACATATTTGTCAAACCTCAATTCTCAGCATTATCAATATTTAAGCTTATAAAGTTCAATTTTTGGTTGGAAATATAACTAAATCCTGACATACAAATTTTTTTGATTTGTGATCTTCTTGGATTCTTGGAAAACCAATGACACTGTTTAAAGTTAACAAGTTATTTTCAAATATAATCCTAGGTCTTGAAGTTCAACCTTACAGAATCTGGGCTATTTTGTGTTTTACCATGGTTGACAATGGCCCTTTCTGCAAATCTTGGTGGTTGGATTGCAGACACTCTTGTGAGCAAGGGTTTATCAGTTACAAGGGTCCGCAAGGTATCTCCCTTCCAGAAGATATACACACACATTAATTCTTCTTATAGCTTCTTGGAAAAATAGTTCTTTAGATAATAAATTATAGTTCTTTAGATAATAAATTCCTGGCCAGCGTCCACTATATGAAGGCCAGGGAATTATTGGCTATCCTGCAATTCAAGTACTAGTGACAAAAAAGAAATAAAAATGAAAAGAAAATTAGACTCCAGTTTTGTTGTCTTACCTGTCTCAAAACTAAAGAAAATCAATCAATGAACAATTACTACTTGGTAGCTGAACTCAATTCCATGGCTACTAGGTTATTAGTTTCTCAGTTTAGTTCTACATTTTCTTTGCAGATAATGCAAACCATTGGGTTTCTTGGCCCTGCTTTCTTCTTAACTCAATTGAGCCACATTAATTCTCCTGCAATGGCTGTTTTGTGTATGACGTGCAGCCAGGTTTGTTTCTGCCATTAAAGTTTCCTAGATTTAAGTAGCATTTAAATATTCTTTTTTTTTTGTTATGGATTTTAGTTCATACTGCATAATCTATTGGTTTGATTGGCAAAGTTAAATTATCTTGGCAATAGTGCACTGGAACTTGTCTTAAGACAGCATAGAGCTATGAATTTCTTTTTGCTAAATCTTCATATAAAATTTTAAAGTGTTTATTTTTCCATTCATTCCATTGATCTTTCTCTTTCCTAACTTATTTCAAATTCTTGCTGAATAGGGAACTGATGCATTCTCTCAATCTGGATTGTATTCAAATCATCAAGATATAGCTCCTCGATATTCTGTAAGCAGATTCATTGTTCCTTGATTTTTCTGCAACGTGAAATTCTATATTTGATATGTGGAATAAGAATGCTACAAATATTTTTGTTTTTCCATGCTGATTGGTGGCCATCTATAGTCATCTTCTCACAATTAGTTGGTTAAATCATTTTTTCATTCGGCAATGAAATAAAATTTTTATGTTTATTTCCTAAAATTTGTCCTTAGGGGATATTGCTTGGTCTATCTAATACTGCTGGAGTATTGGCTGGTGTTTTGGGAACAGCAGCAACAGGTTACATTCTGCAGCATGGTAAGTATCTATCCTCTTAATTTCTTGGTTACTGAATGTTAATAATCAACTATCCACAAAGCTTAAGCTATTGAGCATGAATGATTTTATGATATTGCTTAATACTGAAGATTGAGTATAGGTTTGGATTATCCACAATTTGAAGAGTCTCAATGAGCCTTTTGTTATGGAACTTGGAGAGAAATGCTAATAACACACTCTTTCTAAAATGCTCTCCACTTTTAGGTGAAATTCATGTGAGGATTACTAAATCATGTGAGTTCCACCCCTTTATTTAATGAGCCCAGGATGAGCCCCGGTTACTATTTAGTGCCCATTTGACAAACTTCCAAAATCAATTTCTCGCACTCTAGCTTATAAATTTCAATGTAAAATCTATTGTTGAGATTAATTTGGGAATACATTTCAATTATTTTCAATTATTTTATAAAAAACATTTCTATCCAACTTTAAAATAAACAAGTCCTTAGTGCCACACAAATTTCACCCAATAGTGAAAAATATATTGGAAAAAAAAAGTGTGTTCGAAAATGAATTGCTGTTGTTCCTCATTATTTTGATTCTCAGAAACATGGTGATCTTTACATACCCTATGGTAAAAAATTCATCTATTTGTTTATTTATTTTGGAGCAACTGTATGGTTCTTTATCACTCCACTTCGATGGGGAGAGTGGAATGGATAGCTTCCCCATTTTTACTTCCATGTTCATGTAAAATAGTAAAACAATACAATATCAATGCTGTGGTTCAAGAACATCTTGGTCTCAAGTATCAACGTTTAGCTCGTTACTCAATGTTGATGCTTTATAAAAAACATTTCTATCCAACTTTAAAACAAACAAGTCCTTAGTCCCGCACAAATTTCACCCAATAGTGAAAAATATATTGGAAAAAAAAAAGTGTGTTAGAAAATGAATTGCTGTTGTTCCTCATTATTTTGATTCTCAGAAACATGATGATCTTTACATACCCTATGGTAAAAATTTCATCTATTTGTTTATTTATCACTCCACTTCGATGGGGAGAGTGGAATGGATAGCTTCCCCATTTTTACTTCCATGTTCATGTAAAATAGTAAAACAATACAATATCAATGCTGTGGTTCAAGAACATCTTGGTCTCAAGTATCAACGTTTAGCTCGTTACTCAATGTTGATGCTTTATAAGCATGTGAGTTTAATTTAGTTCATCCTAATTTGGCTTCTGCTCTTCTAAGAAAACATTTATTTCCCTGTTCTTTATTTTAAATGGAGATTGGTTGTCATGCAATTGAAGTTCTAAATCACTTTAGTGAATGTGGAAAATTTCCAACCTCCTGTTGTTTGGAACAGAATTTCTTGTGCTTAATATAATAATGTTTGTTATCTTTGATTATTTTCAGGCTCCTGGGATGATGTTTTCAAGGTTTCAGTTGGGCTGTATTTGGTTGGAACTGTGGTGTGGAACCTTTTTTCAACTGGTGAAAAGGTCTTGGAATAACTTATTCTCATCGATAATTGGCACTTGTCATGCCACATGTATAGACAAATCTTGAGGACATTCCCCCAAATAAGGACCATGAGAAGAATAGGAGGTTCAAGTATATGAAGCAACTCATTTTACTTAGGCTTTTGTGCCTGACAAAATGGTAAATTTTGTGGATAGAGCATTAAACATAGATCAGAGGGATGACAGGTGTCCTTCTCCTTGAAAATTGAATTGGCACAATTTAATCCCTGATGTTTTATCAAGGGAAAAGGTTTAGATTCTATCCCCATCTTTCTGTTTTTTCCCATTTTTGGTGGGAAGATCGAAGTAGTTGCTTAATTTGAAATCTTACTTGTAAATATAATTTCATACCAACACATCAATTTTGTGACATTTCGTCAAGAAAAGTGATTTGTGCAGTATTATTCACCAAGCGTCTTTGTCTTTCCTATTTCTTATCTGCCTGCTTTGCTTGCATCCTTTGGTCAAATAAGTAGTTAATGCGAGTGTTGCATTCTATAAATGACATACTGATCCTGTGGATGTTTCTATTTCTTTTCTTGTGGGCATCAACTGTTATCCCTTTCTTTTTTTGGTGATGTATGAGTCTATTCATAGATCTTTATATTTTCAGTTTTGTAAACGTGATACCAAATTTACATCTACATTTTTCCAATGTACTAGAGTAAGTACAGTCTATTGTAGGGCTTTAATTCATTATTTGGTGTGTAATACTCTGATAGCCACAATAAAAATGCTCTTATATATATATTTTTTTACATGTCAAATAATGATTCATGTGCTAAGAGAGTAATTGGAAAAGGCTTTTACTTACATGTCGAAGAAGTAAAGTAATTAATATTTATTTTCATGTTTGTAATGATATTATGGGGGCATTTTGAATAGCATTACTTGGACACTCGAGAGAATTTGTTCTCAAGTTTTATTTTTAATGAAATTATTTTGCTTTTAAACAAATATAAGAAGGGTTTATTGAATAATGACTTACTTAAAATATGCATCCAAATACGTTCTGATCGGTAAACAACTTGGAGTTTCTCCTTTCACTGATCAATCATGTTTATGCAGCAAAAAAGTGATGTGCATACACCAATCCATGCATATAATGTTGTAAGAATTGTGATATAAGTAAGTTTAAGAGCAAATGATTAACAACAAATTTCACCTAAGCATATGAATGTTGGGTGTGGATTTTTAGTATTTCAGCTAAAAACAATTCTAATCATATTTTTTGGAAGCAAATTGATATTTTATGGTCAATTTCCCATGTTAATACCTGAAATAAAAACTGCAGGAGAAAAAAAGGTAGGACAGTTCTGCTAGTAGTTGAATTAACTTACAAGTGAATATATCAATAATAAAGAGTTACATAATGCAAGCAAATATGCTCCTTTTAACATCTGTTACCATAAAATAGAATATAAAAATAAAAACTGTATAATTTGTGTGTAATTGTATTATTGGTGGACAACATAAGAATATGATCGGTAAACAACTTGGAGTTTCTCCTTTCACTGATCAATCATGTTTATGCAGCAAAAAAGTGATGTGCATACACCAATCCATGCATATAATGTTGTAAGAATTGTGATATAAGTAAGTTTAAGAGCAAATGATTAACAACAAATTTCACCTAAGCATATGAATGTTGGGTGTGGATTTTTAGTATTTCAGCTAAAAACAATTCTAATCATATTTTTTGGAAGCAAATTGATATTTTATGGTCAATTTCCCATGTTAATACCTGAAATAAAAACTGCAGGAGAAAAAAAGGTAGGACAGTTCTGCTAGTAGTTGAATTAACTTACAAGTGAATATATCAATAATAAAGAGTTACATAATGCAAGCAAATATGCTCCTTTTAACATCTGTTACCATAAAATAGAATATAAAAATAAAAACTGTATAATTTGTGTGTAATTGTATTATTGGTGGACAACATAAGAATATGAAAACCCATAAACAACAAAGGACACGACTTTAGTTGACCAACTGTAAACGGTAAACTCAAATATGACCCACACAACCCAACACGAACAAAAGAACCACCTCACCCTCCCAAAGGTAAATAAATATACATAAACAAATTAACACCGTCTGATGATCAAATGACCATTTTGCCTTCTGGTCATCACTTTATGCAGACCTAGCAACCTTTGGTTGGAGTTGACGTGGATGCAAGAATACACGGAGTCCATGTTTCATGAAGAGAGTGAGCGACATCTTTTGTTGCACCTGATAACCAGGAACTGGAGACAGCCGGTAACGCAGAAGCACAGCAGCAGCTACAGACTTCATCTGCAGATAAGCTAAGTCTTTACCCAAACAGGTTCTTGGTCCACCGTTGAAAGCTACAAATTTGTATGCATCTTTGGGCGGTTCAAACCTGTCTTTCTGAAGTGATAAAAACCGGTCTGGATTAAATTGCATGCAATCCTCACCCCACACACTTTTCATTCTCCCCATTGAGTATATCGAATACGTCACCGTCGAACCTGCTGGAACCACCGTGCCATCTGGCAACACGTCGTCGGAGACCGCGTACTTGAAATCCTCCGGCACAGACGGGTACAAACGCAGAGTTTCGGCCAATGCTGCCTTGAGATAAATTAGTTTATCCGCTTCCTCAAAGTCCACGGCTTCCTCCGTCCACCTTCGCCTGTCACTGCCGCGCGTCGCTGTGAGAACTGCCGTTAATTCGTCGATGATCTTCTCTTCCACGGCGGGGTGGTTCATGACGAGCCAGAAGAACCAGCTTAGCGCCACCGATGACGTGTCCCTGCCAGCTAGCACGAAGTTCAGCGCGATCTGTCGCAGCACGCCGGCACTTAACGGCTTTCCGGCACCGTCACGCTTCTTCATGAACCTCGATAACAAGTCGTCTGATGGTGCTTTCTGGCGAGCGGAAAGGGCGTCGTTCATATAAGTTTCAACTATCTTTAAATTCTGCTTCAGTTTGTTCTCGTTACCAATACCAAGAAGCTTTTGGAATCTCCACAATAGTCCTGGGTAGAGAAGCCTGGACATGATGAATAAAAAAAGCTATTAAATTATGAACAATAATCAGAAATCTTAGACTTAATCATTTGAAAACCTGGGAAAATAAGAATCTATATCATAGATGAATACAACTTTTGAAAGCTAAACTAATTATCTATGACAACACTGAAAATTGAACGTTACCTCTGCAAGGTGATTTCAGTGGCAGTGTTAAAGGCAACAGAGAAAGGGTTTTCGGGTAGGTCCGGAGACAGAGTTTCAGGGTCTTTGCCAAAGGTGAGTCCACATATATTATCAAAGGTTAAGCGTAAGAGAAGGTCTTGCAAGTCCACGTAAACCTTTTCTTTTGAAGCTTTATCTAAAATGCACCAAAGCCTATTTTTTATGGTCCGATTCACCCAACGAGCCATGGCTTGTCTAAGGGTTCGGGTAGTGAACTCTAAGGCAGCAGTTTTGCGTTGCATGAGCCACGTTTCACCGTCACTATTGAAGATTCCTTGACCTAGAAGATCGTGAAATGCAGCTTGCCATTCCGGTCCTTTCGGGTAGTTATCAAACCGAGTTTTGAGGATGTGTTCGATGTTTCTGGGGTGACTTGTGACTGTGTAGAAACCCTGTTTTCGAGCAAAGAAGGGAAAGGGTAAGGTGCAGGTTTGGTAAGTGGCTGAATGGCTTCGGTGTAAGTTTGTGGCAATCCAGTCGTGAATCCTATTACGATTCATGAAGAGAATTGGGAGGCTGCCAAAGAAAGGCCATACTCTTGGACCGGTCAGCGTTCGAACCAGGAGGTGAAACCAAAAGAAATATACAGAAACAATAGCAGTTAGGGTGAAGAGAAGAGAAAGTGTTTCCATTTGTTTGATGTTATTGGAGTTTAGATTACTTTTGATTAAGCAAAGTTTTGAGTTTTGAAATAATAAAGAGGAAGATGGTGTTTATATATCTATATGACTCAACAAGTAATGAGAAGAAAGAGTTTAGGAAAGGTGGGTGAGACTTTTTTTGCTTTCTAGAGTGGGTGTTTGGTTGATATTGGAAGTGTAGCAATTAGGAGAGATAAATAAGTATGCTTGCATGAGCTTCTCTGACAATTTTTGTTTATGTTTTTATCATGTTTTGGTTGGCATGTTTTTGCTTTTGGGCATAAATATGATGCTTTTAGTTGTTGTAAGAGGATCTTGAAATTCAAAATGAACTTTACGGTATGAGGGATGATGACTACTGGCTAGATGTTAAATGGTTTTCCAGATTCTTTTGTTGGTTTTTCTCTTTGTCATCATCATCATTTTTATATATAATAAATTTAACTTTTCATTTTAAATAAGCAAGCTAATATTTTTATGTACTGTCAATAGTAATCATTTATATTAATTTGTTATAAATAAAATTTATTATTAATATTTTCAATCAATATTTATAAGAATAAATAAGTAAAATAAATCACATTTATGTACTTCAATTTTTAAAGAGGATTAATAATTTAAATAACATAACTAACAAATATATAAAATTAACTGAGAGAGCTGCATAATACTATCAACTTATTTACTTTAAACGAGAATATATTAATAAGTATTAAGTAGAATTACTCTTTTCATATCATGTGCATTTTAAAATTAGAAATGATTGAAAATAATATATAAATTATACTATCTCTTGTTACAATTATTTTACTTTTTATTTTTATTTTTGTTAATTCCATTCTAAATTTTAGAAATTAAACTGGTTATTTAACTTTCTTTTATTATTTATATAATTTAATTTTTTATGAATACCTATTTTTATATTAAAAAAATATTATCTTATATAAGTTTTCAAAAATTTCTGGTAAATATATATGTTTATATTTATAAAAATAAAATTTAACTTATTATTTATAGTGCTCTCAATTAAAATTTTAAACAATTACATAACATTTTCATGTAGAAAATATACTTTTTTCCTACCAGAAAATGCAAGTCTATTAGCATTTTTTAGGAATTGGAATCATAAAATTAAAATCAAAATAATTTAAAATAAATTTATTATATATAATTCTTTAAAAATATATAAATTTTTATAATTTAATTCTTAAATTATTTGTATATTTATTAAAATAAAATAATACTAAACTAATTAATTAATGATTTGGGGAGTACCCATAAATTATGTTTATTTAGCAAAATTAAAAGAGTTAGAAAGTTTGGGAGTTAGAAACTTTCTCAAAGGGAATGGGCAAAATTCTCTATTGAAAGCTTTGAAAGTATCAATGATTTTAATGACTAAATGAGGAAAATGAAAAAAAATGAAGAGAAGAAAATAGAAAAGATTTGAACTCATATAATGGCTAAAAAAATATTAGAACAAAATACATTAGGAGACTAAATCCAATAAAAAAAGAGAGAGTTAAATAACACATTGAATAAAAAATATTAAATTAAAACTAAAAATAAATTTCGAAAATAAAATTATTAACTTTTAGTTTATTCAAATACTCTATATTTTACCTTTTGTTTAAATTAAATACTTCAGAAAGATGCGTCAAAACATGGGTAACTGCACATATAGGATAAAATTGAAGTTAAGTTCTTAAATGTAAATTTCAAATGTCTTTAAGGGAGAGCACAATTATTTATAGTTTTAAATTTTATTATTATATAACATACAACACGCCTATGTAATTACATTATGATATCAGAGCAGATTTTATTATTTTTTATAAAATTTTTAAAGAATACGATTTTATAAATAATATTTGCTGTAACGTAATATCATTAATTTACAATTTATTTTTATTATAGTTTAAAGAAAATATGAGTGAGTGTACCTTAGATTTTACCATTGGAGGATTTGTTCTAAAAATTATACTCTGGAAATTTGAGACGCATGGATTAATTTGAACCGTTTTTGAAATTCTCAGATTATTAATAAATAAAGTTTTTTGTAAGAAGCTTTGGTTTTGAACAAAATGAAAGGTTGTTTTAAGTAATGTATAATTTTATTTTCTATTTTTAATGTTTGAAATGAACCTGAAGAAGATGAAAGGTTGTTTTTGAGTCATTTCTCTGAAAAATTATTCGGAATTAAAGCAGTAAATCGCGCAATTGCGTGTTACTTTCTCAATGATAACGTATGAAAATGTTTTTTTTAATTGTTTATCCCTTTGCTTTGTGAATCATGCATTTTTAAATCCTTGTTAGTATCGTAGTTCTTGCCGTTAATGAATCGAAACTTCATTGCATTATTTTTATCTTAAAATTAGGATTAGATAATTGCTTATGTATATGTTTCTCAAGTTGTGTAAGCTTTGTTGGTCTTTTATGAACAAATGAATAAGTTTCAATATAAAATGTTCAAATAAGAAGTATTCACTGCTTTGAAACAAATCCTGAAAAAAGTGAGCTAATAAAGGCATAGAAGTGACACAAAAAATGGTGGTAAACCTTTCACCTTTCAAATTATCACTATCATTTTGTTCATAACTGAACTATCGTGGCACTTCACTGTCCATTACAAATCTCAATTAGACTATTCCTAACATATATTCCTACCAATATCATAAGTCAAATATATCTAAGTGACAGCAAGTAAGTACACAGCCCTACCTACTATATGATGAATATGCCAAACACCTTTCTTTTATGGCTATTTTTGAGAGCACAATACAGTGTAAAGTGCAAGAGAAAGGGTAGTTAGAGACAGTTTACCCAAAGGGAGAAAATGGGTTTGCTACAAAATTTGGAAACAAAGGCAAATCTATGGATTGGTCGTCGTATGAAGAAAACATGTATAAACCAAAAGAGGTTATTAGATTGATTGTCTTGAGTAGAGAGAAGGAAACCTTTGAAATATTAAGAAACGTCTCCTTTAGACCCTTTAACTTTTCCCTAGTAAACTGCACCAACCCATGGTTTCGTTTTTCACTTCTTTTCTATTTTCTTCTGAAAACTAACCCTTGTCTTTGAGTCAAATGGTTTGTCCAATTCAAATGCAATGTAACAAATTTGAGAAAAAAGTTTGCTTTTACCCACAACTATTTGCCAACTACGTGCTTTAATGATATAAATTTTATGTTGTACTGAATATTCAAATTATAACTCAGATATTATCTCATTTACATAGATAACAAGTAATGGTTTTATTTACAGAACTTGTAACCAAAAAACAATAGTAGATATACATAACTGGTATAATAAAAGGATATGTTTTTTCTTGTGAATGGTCAGTGTTATTTTATTTTCTCAAAGCAAAATTTTCTCGAATTCGGTCCCTTGTTTTTTATTTATTACAAACAAGTTCTTCTGTTAAAATTTATTTAACTAAAATTCCCAAATCTTTATTTTCTAACTGAAAATTAAATATCCACAACTGAACAAATTAAACTATTTTAAAGTCTCCAACACTTAAAACCCATGAATCAAAAAATATCAATTTTTACTTAAATTTTATCATTTGTTTGAAAACCTATCTTTTTTCAATAAAATATTTTATATCTCATTAAATTTTTGAACTATTTAAATAATTTTTATCCCAATATCTGCTGAACCACTAATTATTTAAGTATAAATTGAGGATTTAAAAATCTTAGTAGGTAGATAAATACTAACAAATATATTTAATTGTAACAGTTAAAAAAGTAAGAGAATAAAGTTAAATAAATAATTATTGAGAGATCAAAATCACACATGAATCCTAATAAAAGATTAAAAGCCTTTTCACCAAAAAAAGCTCTTAAACATAATAAAATATTAAAAGTATAATTAAACAAAACAGAACCTTTCTTTTACAAAAAAACAAAACCAAAACCTTATCTAGTTTTTGTTTTTTAATTTTGGACCCAAAAGTAGTAAGTCGGAGACAATGGACACTTTCCAATGGGCTAAAAAGGCCAGGACCTAAAAAAAGTATCCCAACAGAGGCCCATTTTCAAGTGGCAAGTGGCTTCTAACCAAAATCAGAAAAAGGCAATGGTTGTGGTGTATCCACATGTCAAATTCACAGCCTCAGCAGCTGAGGATGAACCTCTCAACTTGCCATAATTTTCCTTCTTTTTGTGTACCGAAAAAATTAGCAACAATCAAGATAAGACACTTGTGGAGAACTCGTGCTATAGAGTCCTATAGCATCACTTAAAACAATCCAACGGCTCACATTCACTTGTGAGGTGCTACCACAAGAGATCATATATATTATTTTCACTGGCACTGACCTTCCACTCTCTGTTCAACTTCACCAAAAGCACTTCATTTTCTTCCTAGTAACATATAAAGTGCTTCAGATTCGGTTCCATAGTTTGGAACATGGCTTCCCTCATCATGTCATTTGCTCCAGCAACTGGTAGGGTCTTTGCAGCCACTGCAGCTAAGGGTGCAAGTGGTAGTAACAAGGAAGAGAAAGGGCTTCTGGATTGGATTCTTGGAGGGTTGCAGAAGGAAGATCAGCTTCTAGAGACTGACCCTATACTCAAGAAGGTTGAGGAGAAGAATGGAGGCACCACCACTGGCCGCAAGAACTCTGTGGCCGTGCCACAAAAGAAGAAAGGTGGCTTTGGAGGCCTCTTTGCTAAGAACTGAAGCATTGAAAAATGAATTTCTTTACCTTACATTTTTATTTAATCTGTTTACAAATGCATGCATTATTGTCTTGTCCACTTAGATTTCAACCTCTTGATCTTATGGAATAGTTCGAGTTATGTTTTATTCTTCTGGAAGATCATTGTATTTACACAACAATATCTATTCATTTTGGATCAGTTACCAACATGATACAATCTGATAAAAATTAGCTATATTTGAGATTTTTGGTAATTTACTTTTTTTTTTCTTATTAACTTAAAATTATGTATATTTAATATTGTCTCTGGTAATATCATCCAAATTTTAATGCTTACAATAGAAAAATTCGATTCATCATGCTGAGGGCGTGGAAAGAAGATAAATAAATATTAAATAGTGTGTTACAACTTACAAGGACTAACTACCCAACATTGTATCTATTCATGTTTCTTACAAGAGAAAAAGCAGAGTATGTAGCTATTGTAGCCAACATGAAGATTGAATGAAATCAAACAATCATAGACGAAGGCTTGAAAATTCATTGTGAATAAACCTTATTGCCTCAAGTGATTCGCTTTGACACCCTGTTATTATTGTTGGTCTATGTTGGAGATTTTATGAAAAGAAACAATTATATACTATTTTGCTTGTTAATGATATCAAAATGTTAACTTACTATTCAGTATATACAAGTCCCACAGCTTAGATGGAATTGACCCAACTGGGAACTTATGGTTAACTAGACAACATCCGAATTATTCACAAAAGGTGCAAGGCGTGTTCCAACCTTGAAAATAACTCTTATCCTAGGGACTTGAACATATAGAACCTTCTGCTTTGAGCTTTGACTCTAAACCTTGGACTCAGATAACCTTGGCATTAGGACTATCTTTTCGTGCAAAATGGACAGCATAAAACCATTAAGATTTGATGCTTGTCAAGAATCCTTAATGATTAATGGAAGACCATTACTCAATTTGCTAAGGATATGGAACTATTCCTTTACTGTCATCAGTGTATGTAAAGTAGGATTAGGGGTTTCTTATGCTTCTAAATATTTGAGACCGAAATTATATGGTCCAACAAAATTGAGTAGCCCTGTTAAGTGTTATGCAAATCGAATTCCAAGTTCCAACAGATCCATAGAAGAAAGAAAGTGGGAATATAACATCTATTAAATGGTTTTAAATGATTTTTTCCTAATTATGTATGTGATCGGTTTTAACTTAATATTTCCATGAATTATTGTTAATAATAGATCAAATCATTTACAAAATAACTGTCAAAGGAATGAACCATTGCAAATATATTGATACTGTTTCAGTCATTCCGCTGAAATGAAGTCCGCACTGTTACAACTTAGAAGCTCACCAGAAGTAGATGCAACTGATTATTTTTATTTAAGCACATAGTATACATATTAATAAAGCAGCAACTTTCTTGTCACACCATTGTTATTTTGTAACCTGAGCACATTCAAGAGGATAGACACTAAATTATAGTATCAAGCACACCTCAATCTTTTACAGTCTATGATTCAAATTTTCTTAAAAGAGTATTTGTAAGTAATTTCTTCTCCTGGTGTTGCTGTTAAAGAATTTGATCTAGAAAAGGAAGAATGCATGAACTCAATGCAGTCCTCAACAGCAGCTGCTCTATAATAATCAACAGAAGCAACTATGGGTTTTGATCTTCTCATGGAAAATGAACCTCGGTTTGAAGATCTTCTCACAGATTTCAAGCACATAGCTTCCGTGACTTTATCTGCAACACCCTTCAGAAACTCAATGGGAGAGAGTTCACACCGCCAAGGAATCCTGAACATGCATCTCCTCTTATGCTGGTTTCTAGTAGCTACTCTTTGCCTAGTGTTGTGTTTCCAAGACAAGCTTGTTTTCTCAAACCCTGTGTGATTCATTGTGTTGATCTTTTCTTCTTTTGCACAATGATGGTATTATAAACAAAAGAGGGGGAGAAAGCAAGAGAATGTATGTATGAAGTGATGTGGTAACAGACAAAAGGAATTGTAGGTAAGACTCAACGACACAGTTGTTGGAAAGGTTGGAAATATGAGATGAGGAGGGTCTTGTGTGCTTGAGTGAGAAAACTAATCCTCAAACCATGTTTCATATTTATTTAGTGCCTGTTTGGAATAAATTATTTTTAACAATAATGATTTATATTTTAAAAGTTCCCTATAAAACTGTGATTATTTCTTCAAAATAAATTAAATTAAACATATAGTTAAGGTGTGTTTGAATAAACGACTTAATTAATATGACAAATTTGATCATGATACTTAATGAAATAAAAATAAAATAAAATATTTTATTAAGTTATATAAAGAAATTTACTAAAATAAGTTTTGAAAAATTCATGGTTGATAATCTCAATCTGCAAACATGGTGTGTTTCTTGTATGTATGCCATGTAAGAACTGCATAAAAGGTGCAAAAGCGTGTGGCAACAAAGTGGGTTAAGGAGGTGAGAAAAGAGGAATAAGTGATGATGGATAAAAAAGTAAAAACAGAATGGGCAGATACACTTGCTCACTTCAGTCTTGATTTCTGATTTCCAATGCACTGCCGCCCTTTGACTACGTGGAGAATAATTTTCATGATGCTTTACTTAGGGAAAGACACACGAATGTAGGTCCCACATGAAACCTGCGGGTGATTAAGATAGGTATCTATGCAAGAAAATTTCTGGAGGGTATCTTAGGTTGAGTAAAATCAAACAAAGTTGGAACATTTTTTGTTTCAATTGGGTAACACTTGAACCTATTATCTTTGCCAAAACTTCTAATAAAAGACAACTAGTTTGTTTGAAAATTAGGGAGGTTTTGGCATAAATAAAACATGTAAGTTTTGGACAAAAATCAGTGTCTACTTATAATACTAACCTGTAAAATAATATTATATATCCTGTAAAATAAATATTAAAGAATAAAAGATAATATTAAGCCTTTATTATTCCTACAACTTTTTGTACAAAAACACTTACAAATTAAAAGAGAGAGAAGAAAGAGAAATTAAGGATAAGATATATAATGTAATAATGAAAAATAGAAAAATAAGTAATAAAAAATGCTATAAATAGAAATTGTGAGAATGTCATTAGCCAATAGTTAAAAGTGATGGTGTTAACATTTGACCAATTTTCAGTCCATCTGATTCTCCACGAACTATGAGCAATAAATGCTCTTCACATTCGACTAATTCACTTATAATTATTTTGGTTTTTTTATTTGTTTAGTGTGTGTGTGTGTATTATTCAGGTCTTAGGTCATAAATATTGTGGTTAACATGATCATATTCATCATTTTAAAAAATACCATTATTCTTGAGCATATTTTGTCAAATAATGTTTTTTGCAAAACAAAACCAAACACCTTGTTAAAATTAGATTGAAGCCTTTTTCTATTTGTATTGTTCGTTGTCATTCCAGAAACTTTGCTCATCAGATTTCATGTCATTAATCTGTTAGCACATCTCGCACAGAAAGGAGCAACCACTCTTCTCCCTGAAAACGCTTATTTTTTCAAAAAAATTATACCGAAAAGCATGTAAATTCGATTTTGTCTTTGGATCCAGCATCACTACTGGAAATTAACCCATTGTATAAATTTATTTATAACGCATAATATTCATACAAATTGACATGTAGGATTATGATGCATGCATTTACAGTCTGATAGTTTTAGTAGTGAAAACTTTCTCTTTAATTAAAAGAAATACTAGTAATTTTCTTTTCACAAGGATCCTCTATATAAAAAATTTGTGTATGCTTCAACAGAGATCCAAGAAAGACTTACATTTTAACACACTATCTATTATCTAGTGAAATCCAAATGAAACTTGCTACAAAGGAAATAAGACCCACCAAATGAAAAATAGGCCATCATCATTTGGCAAGACTGATTCGGATTTCCCTAAATAATAAAGCCGGGTTTTGTTAATATCAATCCTTAGAATTGATTTTAAGCATATAAAAATATTTGTTACACTTTTATATTCTTGATGTAACAAATATTTTCTTTCCTAATAAAAACTTATCCCTTTTAACTACTAGGCGGATATTAACATCTTCCTAACCAAGAATGTGTTTAAAATGTGTTGCTAGCATTTCTTGAGGATGGATTTTATGCTATATTATAAGATCTTGACTATATAAGAACAGTAGTATATTACTAATTCAGAACATGAAGTATATTCTTCAAATTCAGCTACTTCCAACAGTGACCAAATGGCATGGCCAACATGCTGAATCTGCTTCCCAGCATTAGCGAAGTCCAAACCGCACACACAAAGCACACTTCCTGCAGAAGCATGAAAAAGAGAAAAATGCACTCTCCCTACGCAGGCATCACCCTGATCAGGTTCAAAGGGACTATCTCAGCCTGATCTGCTAGCATCCTAGCTTAACAGCCAGAGCTCATGCAGATTCAGGCACCCCTGGTGCATCTCATGTGTCAATAAAATAGAACTAAAGATAAATATGGTATTAAACAAGATACTAGAGTAATTTATTGCTGAGAATTGGATAACACAACAAAAGTAAATAAAGATAAAGTTCTTAAATGTTGTCCACAAGTATAGCTAGAAAATGCTTCTCTTCCCTAATAGACCAGTTGTGTAGCTAGCTCCAACTTCTCTCATATGATTTGCTCCATTTATGTAGTCCTACAAAATAATTTGCATAAGATAATAATTCCATTTTCAGATGACAAACATATACAAATCAAATGGTTGACAAACATTTTCATGCAATAGTTAGGCATTAAGTGGATATTTGCTTGAAAAATGGGAAGTGATGCAATAAACTCTTGAACACTTGAGCTTGATGAAGACGTTGGTTGGAGGCTTATCCTTGACTGGGTGCTTGCACCATCACAGTTCAGAAGTTTCTTACAGTTAAGATGTATGTACTAGAGCATATACTAATTCAATTTATTATAAGAACATTAATAATGGTAGGTCATAAAAGTATACGAAGAACAATGAATGATGAAATATAGTTTACTCTCATAGTTATTATGAGAATAGAGGGTGGGACTTGATGCAACAGTAATGTTGCAGTCATGTAGCCTGAGTATAAATCACGTGAGGTTTTAGCTTCTAATTTGAGGAAATCTTAAAATTTTTCAGTACAAGATGGTGCTCATTTTAAGTAATCGCTCAAGAAGACCTCTGCTTCATGTAATAATGTGGATTATTGCATATTCTATATGAAATTTTCAACTCAGTTTAAGTTTCTTGTTACATTATTTATCAACTTGATTCGCAGCTTGTCTTTCTAATCCCTGACGATGAGAAAAGAGTCATCTTATTGAAAAGTAATACAATATCGTTAGTCTCACCTCTCCTTGGAACTTATGTAAGTTTCTGGCAAGTAGATCTCTCCACCAGCTTCACCATGTTGTTCTCCACTGACAGTTTTCTTGGCAGCGAGAAATTCAGCACTCATAGCATCCATTCCACGCAGCAAAGCTTCCTCAGCAGTTCCATAGCCATGTTTCTCAGCATACTTTCTCACATCCTCTGTTATCTTCATAGAGCAGAATTTAGGGCCACACATTGAGCAGAAATGAGCCACTTTTGCACCTTCTGATGGCAAGGTTTCATCATGGAAGGACATGGCTGTCATCGGATCCAGTGATAAAGCAAACTGGTCCATCCATCGAAATTCAAATCTTGCCTTGCTTAATGCATCATCCCAGGCTTGTGCATGTGGATGACCTTTAGCTAAATCTGCAGCATGCGCAGCTATCTTGTAAGCTATAACTCCAGCCTTCACATCATCCCGGTTTGGCAACCCAAGATGTTCTTTTGGAGTCACATAACAGAGAAGAGCTGTTCCAAGTGCCCCAATATTTGCAGCACCAATTGCAGAGGTGATGTGATCATAACCAGGGGCAATATCAGTTGTTAAAGGACCAAGAGTGTAAAATGGCGCTTCATTACACCATTCTAACTGTTTCTGCATGTTTTCAGGTATCTTATGCATTGGAATATGTCCAGGTCCTTCATTCATCACCTGTAAAGTAACTCAAAAGTAAACAAAAAGCACTCATTGTCGCTAGGGATATATTAAAGATAGTAATATGGCATCAACTGATGATAGTTTAATATCATATGAAATAGAATTGGTCACCAACTCACAAAATCTATAAAAAAACACAGTGGATTATATTTAGTTTTTGAGGCCAACTAGGAACTTCATTGGCCAACATAGCAGTGGTATAAACCTTTCTTCTAGTATTAGTCTATTCCTATCCAAGTGAATAATTCTAATATAATCAGATTAGAATTATCCCTAGAAAGTCCTAATTGTTCATGCTGAAAAATGATGAATCAAAAGAAACATGATAAGCAGATGTGAAGACATTGTGATGAAATATAAAAATTGAAGTTAGAGAAAAGATCACTTCAGTTTTCCATAAATTTATCAGTATCATGCGATCGAAAAAGTTTGATGATTTATATCACCTGAACATCCTTTTCCCATGCTCTACGGGTCAGTTCTCCTTGTGTCAAGAGCTCAGCAAATTGAGCAGTGTCATTTGCATCGTAGATGGATCCAGGTCTTAGACCATCACCGATGGATAGAGCCACATCATACTGATTGCAGATGTCAAGTATGTCATCCCAATGCTCATAAGCAAAATTCTCTTTGTGATAAGCTAAGCACCACTTTGCATGAATGGATCCTCCTCTGGATACTATTCCAGTCATGCGCTTTGCCGTTAAAGGAATATATCTAAGAAGAACTCCTGCATGGATGGTGAAGTAATCTACACCCTGTTCAGCTTGTTCAATCAAGGTATCTCTGAAAACCTCCCAGCTAAGATTTTCAGCAATTCCATTAACCTTTTCAAGTGCTTGATAAATAGGTACAGTCCCAACTGGTACAGCCGAGTTGCGTAAGATCCACTCTCGAGTTTCATGGATGTGGCGACCAGTTGAGAGATCCATGACTGTATCAGCTCCCCACATAGTTGCCCACTGAACCTTGTAAACTTCCTCTTCTATAGAGCTTGCAACTGCAGAATTTCCAATGTTGGCATTCACTTTCACTAAGAAGTTTCTTCCAACTATCATGGGCTCTAACTCCAAGTGATTCTTGTTGGAAGGGATGATAGCACGTCCACGAGCAACTTCTGACCTCACGAACTCTGGGTCAAGCTTCTCACGGGTGGCACAAAAAAGCATCTCCTCAGTAATGATTCCTTGCTTAGCATAGTACATCTGAGTGAATCTTGGTGCACCCATTTTCTGCCTCCTATCAACCCACTCTTTGCGCAATTTTGGAATTCCTGAATATCAAATCCATGAAAACAAACCGATTAGATAAATGTAAATTTCCAAAAGCTTATGTAAGTATACATAAAAAACCACAATTAGACTTTTCAATGATGGTAATAAATACGATTCCATCACTTTTGAGGTATTAATTCTACAATGGTTGATAGAAACCAAAAGCCGTGATGAATTGAGCACATATAGATAATGGTAGCAAATTGGAGAAACTCAGGATTATCATAAACTAATACTAGATTCAAAATGTTAAAAAGAAAAAGGTAGACCTTCTAGAACAAAATTACATATATATATATATATATATATATATGGCCTGTTGATGAAATTCAATAAAGGAAATTTCACATATAGTTGTTCTATTCACTCACACCAAAAAGAATGTCTTTATGAGCCCAACATTATTGACAAGGAAAATTAATGTACTACAGAGTACTGATGCAAGATATAAAGAAAATGCACTAAAGTTAGATTTTCATAGTTCATACCTGTTCTTGGGCTTATATTTTGAGGACCACTAGTGTCATAGGTATCAAATTGTTCTTCATCCCCAGACAGGTGAACTCGACGAAAGGGAACTTTGAGCACATGACCAGTTTCATCATGAATGACTTCCCTGTAAGCATGATGGATCATACATTAATCGCATCAAGCCATTTGAGGACTAGTGAGTTGTGTCCATATCCAGTTTATTAAAAAAGGTGTGGAAAACCCTATTATCTGTAATCAACATCCATTAATAGTATGATCTAATACAAGAAGATAAGGATCACCTGTATTCTTTTGTGCTCTTTGGAAAGCATTGTTCAAAGGAAGGAAGAGGAAGAAAATCAGGAGAAGCAGGGTCAACAGTGTGCTTCTTTTGTTTGGATTGCTCCGAATTAGTAGTTGGAGGATCAAATGTCAATGTGGCTTTAGGTACCAAAGCCATGGAAGATGGGAAAAGCTCCTTCTTCCAAGTACTCGAAACACGCCCAACAACATCAAACCCAGGCAAGAACGTAGTACTAGGGAATTTTGATTGAGAAGCATGGTTGCCATTCTTGCAAACAACTGATGTCACATTTGCATGCACCAATGCCATCTTGATGCAGAACTACAGTATTTTAAATTTGAAAGACAAATTTTTGGTTAAATAACAACAGGCATGAAGTATAATGTCAAACATATCTATTACACAGAGTGATCTTACCCAGCTCGAACAAAAATGTCTCCAATGGAGGATACCTGTTGTCTAAACCAAAAATATATCTATACACACTGATATCAATAGATTCTGTGTCAGGAAATTAATTTCACATATGAAATTATGAATTCTCACTTTCACAAAATAGTTAATATCCTCTTCACTGTAATTTTCCAAAGTTCTAATTAGAGAGCTTCATAGAAATGAAATCTGAACCTAACAAATTTCACTTCCAAAAAACTTAAACAGTTAAACCAGTGACAGTGGCTTTTCATCATCTTTATGGAAAAGGTTGAAAAGGATTCAATTCCTCTGAAGTGATGAGTTCACTTTAGACGGTATAGTACAAAGTTACAATATGAGAATGAAAAACAATTGTCGTGTATCCTTTTTATCTGTCACTGAAGGTTATTTGATATTTCACACGGTTTGTGAAAACTAATTAATGACATTTGAATTGAAATTATTATCTAATTTTAAAATTTACTTTTCTTTTCTTTAACTAGTTAATTTTTTTATTAGTTTCTAAAGTGACAAACAAAAAATAATTTTTTTAAAGCAATGAATAAAAAGGATAGAGGGAGTAAATTACAAAGTTGTTAAAAGGGTAAAATGGCGAATTTATAACCACTGATCGAAAAATCCACAATCATGTATAATAAATAGTTTTCTAATGTTTCCATGAATTTATATGCAGGAATTTTTTTATCAAAAATTACAAGATACCAGATGATTCAATCCATTAAAAACACTAAATATTATAATTTTTTAATAAAATATTATTATTTATTGAGCACAATAAGAAAAACCATATAATAAATTGTGAATATATTAGAATCTATTTCAATGATTTTCCAATTTAACATTATAATTTTTCGGGAAGAGAAATTTTTTCTGTGGTGGTGGTCCTGGTCACACATTCACTTTTTCTCGTAAATTATAACTTATTTCCACATGGCATAATATTAGTGGCCTAGAGCGCATGATCCGGACCACTTAATAATTTTTGGGAAGAGAAGGCAGGGTAAAGTTTTCATTTCTAATAACTTTTCTTTAATTTAATATTGAAATAAAATCAAAAAATAGAATAAATTTAATATCTTAAAATTTTTTTAATTAATTTTTATAAATAATCTATAACTCTCTTGATTTAAAAATAAAAAGATTTCATTAAAAAAAAAAAAGTTAAAAAGATTTTCCCTGTCTCCCCTTTTACTCTAATAAAACCTTACTTCCAAACACATCCAAAACAGCTTCTGTAGATTAGAAGAGCCATATCCTAAATCAAGAAAATCATTAGAGAATGGAAACATTTTTTTTCTACATGCAATAAATGGAAGCAAGTCTTCAAATCCATATATCACTGTTGATTGTTCCGATTCTCAATTTTGCTCTTACAAAATAACACATCTAAAACTGAGAAGGAAAAAAAAAGACTCACATGCAAACTTCACATTCACAAGGGGTTGAGTAAGGATTCTTCCACATCAAAAAATCAGAACAAGACAAAAACAAAGACTTTCAAACAACATCTGCCATACCCTTTTCATTCCAGCAGCACCCCTTTTCCCAAATATATTTACAACACCAAAACAAGCCATTAAAACAAAATCATCAAAAGAGGATATATACACACGTACATATCTATATAGATACAAATATGAAGAGAGAGAAGAACAAGTGAAAGACAATATAAAGTTATAATAGATGATGATATGAAAAAAGAGAGAGAACCTGAAGTAAAACGGGTGTTGGATTGGTCTTATCTGCAACGTAATGGCGCAGTTTGAGTTGTGAAGTGAATGGTTGAAGACAAGCGTTCGAGTGTGTTACATTATATAGAGAAAGTTGGAGAGAGAGAGAGACTGTGTGTGTGTGCTGTAAGCCCCACACCGCAGACACCAAAAAGTGTCACATGACGTGACGTGGCTCTGGTGACTTGGCTTAGATATTTCGATATGATCGAGTAATCTAATGCTTATTTAATTCATTTCAGCTTCCATACTTATTATATACATTACATTTAATACAATTTTTTTTAACTTTAAAATAAAAAATTAATAAATAATATTTAATAATATTAATTATTAAATATTATTACACATCCTTAAATGTATACTAAAAAAGTATTAAATTTAATGAGTTTAGTAAAAAATATTAAGGTTAGTAAACAATTTTTTTAAGTCTGATCTGTATTACACTGATAATTAAGACAGATTAGACTTTTAAAAAAATGTATGTATATCATAAAGTATTTAAAATTATTCTATTTATAATTTAAAATTTTAAATATTGAATTTATCTGTTAACCTTTACACTACTACTAAAGTAAACGTAAAAAATAGTCTTACAACTATGACAAGAAACATCACGGATTATCAATGAAATTTGATATAATTAATAAATAATTATGTCTTTTAAATATGTTAACAGAGTTTGACTGTTTAGAAAATAATAATTACATTTTTAATTTGTCAGAATTGGTCAGGGCGAGATTTTCTCCTCCCAATTTTTTTGTTAACGAATTACATTCGGTTGTTTTAAAATATAAGAAAATTTGATCTTGTCTATTTTTTTATGTAGAACATGTATACCTTTTTTTTACTCAAAATAGATTTAAATTAAATTAATTTTTATTAAAATTCAGTTGTTAAAGCATCAAAATTTAGAAAAAAAATATTTCCCCTTTAAATATTATCAAGTTTTTACTCAATTTTACATTTCTAAACTTTTAAAATTATTTTATATCACAATATTTAAAATTATTAGATAAAAATAATAATATAAGAATATTAAGTAAAAATTTTGACAAGAATTAATTTTTCTTAATTATAAAAAACAGTAATTAATTAAAAAATTAGTAAATCAAAATCACATATAACCTGAATTACAGAGGCTAAAAATAAAATGAATAAAAAAATACGACTAATTAAGAAAAAACCTTAACGAGAATACGAAAAGGTAATTTACTTAGGAAGAAAAGAAAAAAATGTGTTGCGTAAGTTTTAAACACTTGGAAATGCCCACAGGAATGGTGCCTCTCATGCTAATCATGTTTTCAAACTAACAATCTCCCACAACTAATCATACTTCTGCCTTAATTACAATTTTTTCGTTTAAATTATGGGAGAATGTTAATCAATCTCACCTCTCCTAGTTGAATTTTGTTTTATATAAATATAATTTTTGTGGATCAACTGTTGATTTGTAAATATATATTACTTTAATTATTAATTTTAATAAATTTGAATAAGGAATCAAATAATTTAAATTCATCTAAAATTTAATTCTAGAATCAACCCTTCAATTAAAATAATTTGAATCCATAAAAATAAATCTCAGCATGCATTATATTCAAAGCTCTCTTCTCTCCCAAATTTAACTTTAGTAATTGATAAAATGACTGAACATGTTATTTTATTTGACCAAGCCGAGAGAGATTAGATATGTTAGATGTAAATTTTTTAACGTGCATCTTAACCAATGGAGATTACTTTCAGCCAAGTCTTCTTATATTTTTATAATAAAGCATTCGTCCATATTGTATAGTCAATAATATTTAAGAAATTATAGGTGAATACAACATCATTAATAAAAAAAACTTAGTAATAAAATAACAACAAATATAATATTATACATTATTATTTTTTATGCAAAAATTATTTAAGTATTATTCTGAACTTTTATTTAGTTGCACTTCGATTCTGTTATATAGTATTGGTCAATCTTCTTCACTGCACCTTTTGTCGCATGCCTTCTACTTGTGAGTACTTAAAACTCCCACGCAAGAATTAGTGACCATTTGGTTTCCATTTAAAATACCAATTCTTAATTACTAATAAAAGACATGTTTTAATAAAAAAATCATAATTAAGATTAGCTTTGTGATATATCCTAATCATGTTCAACAATTTAAAATTAATTTTATCTTAATCAATTCAACACAATTTTAAAACAAACCGACCCTTAATCATGGCAGCTGATATTATGCTCTACGCTTTTGAATATGCAACCTTTTAAGCAGTGGAAAGACACAACATCATGTCTTACAGTGACATGAACATGACATCATAACCATAAGCATATAGCAGGTTATATGCTATTGTTCTTTCTCTAACCAAAAAGTACAAAAAAGTTGCATTCAGAGGGAAACAGATATTTTAGTCTTTCCAAAATATCAATAATTCTACTGGAAGGATACAAAATCATCATAATCATTCACGCCTTGACAAATGAACTACAAACAGTGTAGTGTAGCCACTTATTCTCCAAAGGTTTTTTGTTTTCATATGCTGCTCCTCAACTCAATAGTTGATTATGATTCAAGTGCCTATTTTATTTTTACGGGGAGAAAGGCCACAATTTGAAAACTGATTTTGTTGATGTTACTCGCAATTCCAACAAAATATTTTGGAGTAACATTGAAGAGTCCTACATATTTCACATAATCTAACCGTATACAACTGTAACAATTACACTTGCAGACAATCACAAATCATATCACCAAAATAATAATTATTATACAACGAATTCACATAAGTATGTAATAAAGGTGGCAGCAGTTAAGACTGGTGAAACCTTTGAAGAAGCATTGATGTAAATATATCTGCAACTTCCCATTTCCTGTTGACTTTGGTTGAGTGAATTTATAACACAAATAACAGGCTGGCTACTTGTAAAAAATGATGCCAGAATTCACCTTACAGAAATATACAGAGTTGTAAAGGTGAACTCATGTTATTTGAGGTATAACTTCACAGGCTTCTTCTAAACCATATCAAAATCCATAACCCAGGTTACACTCCACATTGCTAGCATTAGAAACAACTTTTATCCGTCAGGAACCTGTCCGTAATGGGAGAAGAGACTGTTGTGTACCTTTGACGAAGACTGCAAGCTCTGTAGGTGCAACTACCAATCTTAACCACTTCTGTAGCTCTTCACCCTCAACTTTCTCCTTTTCTGAAGAATAAGCACCATTAGAACACAGTTGCTAAATCAAAACTGAATAGTTACACAATATCAGTGTCAATATACACTCATGGAAGCAAATGATGCTAAGATCCCAAGTTCAATAAATTTTTTCACATGACCAATGTATTGATTATAAATTCCAGGAGGAGTGAAGTTCAAAACCCATGTTTGATTGGTTACAGATGATCAAACCCAAATCTAAAAACATGATTCTTCTATGTCAACTGGTGGTGTGATGCAGTATACATGTTATAAGATTCAAATATATGATTTCCTTCTTTATATTTTTTAAATAGCAAAGCCTTAACTTAATCCTAAACATGCCTATTACCCATTCAATTAAGTTAAAAGATATTGCATGTTTTCATTGCTATTGTTTGGCCATTGCCAGAGAACACTGCTAAATCACCAAGCAGTAAAAAGGGTAAGTGCAATTACCTTCCAAATAAGCACCAAGCCCCTCCAACACAGTAGGATTAGCTCGGATAATGGAAAGTGCTACAGCCAGTGCAGACTGCAGTAATGTTTGCACTTCTCTTTGAACGAGATCAACGAGATGTCCCTGTTGTGTTCATTATAAAATCAGCATATGCAAAAATTGAATATGAAGGAAACGTGAGTTACTGTACTACAGGACCTGATCCTTTCCCCAAGGAACTGCTCCGCCAGACTCGTCAATTCCACCACTAGAAAGAGTCGCTATTGACACGGGGCCTATAGTCTGATTAAGTCCATATTCAGCTATAGCCTTATATGCCATGTCAGTTGCTCGTCGTATGTCATCAAGGGCACCTGTGGACACTCGACCAGAATAAACAACTTCTTCAGCTGCACGTCCTCCAAGAAGGGTCACCAGGCGACCATGCAACTCATCAATGAATAGCAAGTATCTATCCTCATTTGTTGGAGGAGTATAAGTAAAGCCCAAAGCCCCTCCCGACCTTGGTAGTATACTTAGTTTCTGACAACAAAAACAAGATATTACTTAGTTTCTGACAACAAACACAAGATATTAAAGCATCAAATAATAATCATCCTCAGAGCATTTAAAGACAACAGATGAGCAACAAAAGGATTTTCAACATACAACTTAGACCCAATTTGGGTGAGCTTCTGGATAAGTCTTTGTAAGATAAGAAAAACAATATAAAAAATTAAAAATGAATAAAACCCCTCCCATAAGTTAAATTTAACTTATACTTCTCTTTTTTAGAAGTTATTTTCATTTAACTTTCTTTAAAACATGAAGAGATAAGTTATTTTTAATTTATAAGTTTTATTCATTTTTTATATTGTTTTTCATCTCTTACAAGGATTTATCTACAAGCTCACCTAACTTGAGCCTTATTATATATGGAAATTGGAAAATACAGAAGTAGGCTGCAATTTTTAAAGAGTAACTTCTACAATTGCTAGTGAAAATATTCATTTACCAATAATAAGATAATCAATAAACAAAATGACAAACTTAATGAAGCACAGTATACATGATTTGCTTCCAGATGTCTCCTATCCTATCTCAGACTTTCATCTTGTTTTGTATCGATCAGATATCGCTCAAAAGAAATTTATACATTGTTCACCAGTACTGCTTTAATTTTCAAATCCAAACCTAAATGATGCAAAAATGAATATGAATGTTGACCCGTCCACCTCATCTCAGTTAGTTAGGCCTTTTAATTGTAGTTAGATTGCTCCCTAACAGCAATAGCAAGATATTCATTTCTTACAAGTTTCAGATTCAGTTTCTATCAGAATTCCAAAATTTCAAATCTGCAAGTAAATGTAACATAAGATTAATCTGCATATCTGTAATAGCAGCAGCATCTCTGAGTTGCCAATACTTGAGCATCTTTAATGGTTTACCTCAACACGTGGCTGCCCAGGTAGAAGTTTTGCAACTGCAGTACCTACTACAGCATGACCAGCCTCATGTCGTGCAACTACAGCCTTCTCACTTCCTCGCAACTTGGCAGTCTTCTTCTCTATGCCCTGCAACGAATAATTTGGTTCATATTCACCACAACTGATTACAAAACTGAATTTCAATTCAACAATTTGTCATATGTCAGTTAGAAAATTCTTACCAAACTACATGACTACAAGTTTAAACTGTAAAGGGTTTAAGTATTAAATATATAAAGAAACATTCAATTCAAGAATATTACAAGAACCAAGGTAAAGAATCTAGTCATGTTAGTTTTTAATAGATAGTCTCAAGTCAGACTACTTTTATCCATATCATATATCTATATCCAACTGTTTAAACAAGGTACTAAATACCAACTAATTAGAGTAAATTATAGAACACCATGATTGAGTGACTTACAGCTATAGATCTTTCTACAGCTTGGATGAAATCAATTTTCTCCACCACAACTTTATTTTGCCTACCAGCCAGCAAAGCAGCCTCATTTACAAGGTTTGCAAGATCTGCCCTGTAATGATGTAAAAAGTAGCCAATCAAAATTCCAATCTATATAATTTCAAAGGGTAAAAAATACAGGATGGAAGGTAAAAAAAGCACCACAATTACCCTGTGAAACCAGTGGTCATACAAGCAATGTCACTAAGGTCAACATCCTTGGCTAAAGGAAGTTCTTTCTTGGAAACATGAACTTTTAGGATGGCTTCTCTTCCAATCCTATCAGGTGTTTCTACCTAAGAATTTATGGGGAGATTGTTACAGATGTGCAAAATTGATAATTATTTTTAATAGCAGTACAGCATAAAAACCAAAGGATGTAATGTGTTAACACTTGAATACAGACCATAACTACACGATCAAATCTTCCTGGCCGGCGAAGTGCAGGGTCCAAAACATCTGACCTATTAGTAGCTCCAAGAACAATCACTGCAGCATTGCTGTCAAACCCATCCATCTCCTGCAAAAGCATCTTTGACAAATTAGCCTCATTGGGATAGTTTTTCTTAAAGATTTATAAGAAATAGATAATGTCAAAGGAATGCTGACAGTGAGCAACTGGTTCAAGGTTTGCTCTCGTTCATCATTGCTCACAATGCGAAATTTACCATCACGACTTTTAGCCACAGCATCTATCTGCGTACCAAATGAAACTATGACTGGTTTGATATTAAATAATAGATGTTGAACCAAATCATCACAAGAGAATACATATTTTTATACCTCATCAATAAATATTATGGATGGAGCTTCCCTTTTTGCCCTAGCAAACAGATCTCTAACACGGGAGGCACCCATGCCAACATACAATTCTACAAACTCACTAGCAGAACAACTTATAAATGGCACATCAGCTTCCCCAGCCACAGCCTTTGCTAGTAGAGTCTTACCTGTCCCAGGAAGACCCACCTGTAAGATAACCAACAGATATTCACTGCCTACATGTCAATCCAAACCAATATTATAAATCATCAAATCACATAAACAACTAGTTCACACATGCAGAAAAGACATAAGTGAAAACATTTCAGGAATTTATCCCTAAGAAAACATATACCATGTACTGGGTAGTCAAACACAATATCTAATCATCTTAATTAAATATGAGAACTATTCATATAACACAGCTGGATTTTAGCCCAAGAAATCTACCATTGACCTTTTACATGCTCAGGCAATTATCCAAAACTACAAAGTGCTGGTAAATACAAGTATACAACAACATATACTTTCACCCTGGGATCATGAGGACAATTGTTCAGCTACTCTGTCTAGCTAGAACTTACCAAGAGAACACCACGTGGAGGGCGTGCACCAAGCCTTATGTATCTATCTGGATTACGAAGAAATTCCTGGCAAGTGAACATCAGCATAACCAAAATTACAACCCCGTATTACCCGAAGAACTAAAAATGAAAATATAAGATTAAGGTGCACACTAAAAAGCCTCTAAAACACCCTACATATTGTAAGTGCTGAAAATGGTAAAGAATCCAGCTTACCACAATCTCTTCCAACTCCTCTTTAGCCTCATCAACACCCGCAATATCAGCAAAAGTGACGGTTTCACCTTGTTCAGATGACTTCGTACCAGCAGAAGTGCCTGATTTGCGGTTTCGAATCTGACCAGCTGCATGCTGCACAAAGCATACATTTATTTAGAAAAATATGTTGTTTTAGAGCAGGAGGAAACATAAGTTGAAAAAGAACGTCCAAGGAATTAAGATGGGGGCAAGAATGCAAACTCACACCTGAGAAAAGCTTACAGGGAATCGATGGAGAAGCCCTGCAAGCACAGCAGCATAAAACAGTGCTATCTGCATATATGAGAATGAAGTCAGCATGCCATGTGATATATGGTATCTATCTTGAGAACCAAGGAAGTTTATAAACCAATTGGTATAAGAAGGTGAATATCTTGAACCAGTGATATATGAAATCAAATGTATAAATGAAGGTTGGTGTTTATTTTGCATAGATAATGCCTGATGCAATAATTGTGAAAACAAAATTAGCCTGGTCGTAAACTTGAACATCAAATATTTAACAAATTTCAAAAGGGACTTTATTAATGTGTGCAGATTCAACTCATGAAGCCAATTAATACTTTAAATGGGGTATTGTGGCTTTCAGAAAAAACATCCTTCTAAATAGCATAACAATTTATAAAGGATGGGAGCCGCATCTCAATTTCTAATTGCTTATTGCTCTTCAAGAAAAAGGAAACACTTAAGTACCTACCCTTTAGTCCTGCCCCTTCATCACTGCTATTGACATTGAGCATTCAGAGTTTAAATAGCTAGAAGTATGGTGAGACTCAACATCCATTTCCAGCATCAACCTCCTCACTCCTCACACCCTAAACTAAATTCAGTTCAGGCATAACTTACATCTGAAGTTTCCAGCACCACATTAATAATGCTAGTTCTAGAACGCTTCACAAAGCTCTAAAATCACACAGACACAAGCGCTGCAACATGCTTACCAATGCAGAGTTAAAGAATCCACCAGAACGCTTATCAGGCGATCCAAACTCCACCGCGTTGTCCAGCATCTTTTCATAAGGAGTTCTGATATCACTTGGCCTTGTGGTAGTGTAAACTATCCTCTTGGTTGGTGCAACACTCTTCACCAATGACTCCGATTCCGGTAACCTATTAGTATTACTGCTCCCTGAAACAATCTCACCATCATGGCTTGTTCCAACACCACCCTTCAACTTGAACATTATGTGGACCCCATCAACCTCCACCTTCTGCACCTGATTGCTGTTGATCCTACTCAAAAACTCACTGTAAGGCACACTCACAAACATTGTGGGAGCCCTAGGATCCGACCCGGGTAAGGGAATTCCTGGTCGAAGCAACCGCATAACGAAGACCACAATCCCTAATTGCAGAAGCAAAACCCCAATTTCCTGCGCCTGAATTAGCGGTTGCCACCGCCACCGTCGCCACCGCCACCACCACCCACCCTTCCCTTGTTTCTCCTTTCTCCGGTCCGAACCGGAGCTCGTCGAACCGGCATCGTCGTCGCCGGTTTCCTTCTCTCCGGAATCCGCCGCGGAATCGGTTTCTCCGGTGGAACGGCAAATCCATGTTTCGGGTCCGTGGCCACCCCACAACCCAAACCTAAGAGCATCGTTGGACGAAATTGGGCATCGAGAACGACAGGAAGTGTGGGCAAAACGACGAGGGTTTTGCTCGAGGTAAAAAAGGGAAACCCTAGAATTTGCGCGGGAAAAGGGTTGGTAGGCTTTGCATTTGGTGTGGATTAAGGGAGAGAAATGGTGATAGTGATATTCTAAGCGTAACATTCGAAGAGAGTGAATGATACTCAGAAACAAAAAATTGGAACTTGATTGTGGGTTTTGGTGTTTGCAGAGAAGCAACAATGGTGGGGGAGGAAGAGAGAGAGAGAGAGAGAGAGTGGTGACTTGAAAACGAACTAGAATCGTTGGATTGAGAGAACACTTGGAAGATCTGAACCGTCCATTTTCTCCATTTTAGATCGCTCGTGTTTTGTCTCTCTCATGCGTCTTCCTTTTTTTTTCTTTTTTTTTTTATTTATTGTTTCCATTTCAAAATGTGTTTTTATTTTTTAAAAAATTATTCGTTCTTTTATTTTGTAAATAAAATATTCTTCGTGTTGGAATTTGAAGGACCTTTTTGGGAAATATTTTGGCAATAAATTCAAGTTAACATTAGAGGATTAGTCCATAAATTAAAGTCTGAAAAAACACCTAATGAGCTTTTTAGAAAGGAAAATTACATTTTACATAACTTTAGTGTAGATCAATCATATTAGAACATAATAATATAAAAAATTCACATCAATTTTTAAAAATTAATAACCACAACTCTACTTAGTTATTTTTAATAAAATACATTAGTGGTTGACAAGATTAATATCACCTACACTTTGTAATTTTTAAAGACTAAAACCGTTTTATTTTTACATTTTTAACACTTGATTGCTTATTTAAAAAATTTCCAAACCTCCTTACCTTCTATTAATTACATAGGAAAATAAAATATTGAAGAAATTTTCTTTAATCATATTTTCCTTTCTTTTTCTTTAATCAAATAGAAGAAAATGCATTATTATTCATAGTTTTTCATTTTTATTTTTCTCTTATCCAAATAAATTATTAATGTTATTTTAATATTAACTCCTTGTGTAAATAAAATTTATTTGTAAATTTCTTTGCCTCTAAAATTTTTTTATTCAAAATATGTCACTGCACTTGTTATAACTTCAGCCACGATGGGGGAATGAAACACTGTTTTACCAATAACAAGCAATTTTCCAACTACTATTTTTAACGTTTTTGTGACAGCCAAGAAGCTAATTTGTTCAATAAGATACATTTTTATCTAGTTAGCTCGCTTTTTAGTAGAATAAAGTGGTATTTGTATCAACTTAATTTATATTTGAAGCCATTTATAATTAACATCTTAATGAGAGATTTCTTATAACAATTTTTAAGAAAAATCAATCCAAACATGCTATAAATAATTTACAGCATGATTGCATTATAAGACTCATGAAACTGATTTTTCACTTCCCCCTTTTTTGGATCCAATTTTTCCATTTATATATAGTAAACTCCTAAACAAGAGGATCTATAAAATTTTGAGCCAAACAATAAATTTCCTTGAAAAAGACAAAATAAACTTTAAACGGCTAACCATTTGTTAGGGAAAATCAAACTGTCATTGTTGATTGTTGACCACCATTTAGGGGCTAGTTGACCTTGTTTCTCTCTATTACTCTTTTAGTTTTTCAATTTTCTGAATGGAATCTATGAACCTTATCAAATTCAATGTTGTACATTAGTTATCTACAATTGTTCTCCTAATTTGTTCTTCAGCTAAAACGCCAGTTACATAACAACTTCCTATCCTAAGCCAATGCTCAATATTCACATTTTTTCTTTTCCTTAGAATATTTCTTCAATGGGGGGTTTGTAACAAACAAGTTACCTATTACTGTGATGATTATGGTTACTTGCTTGAATTCAATGATGAATAAAATGGGTACAATTTGAGTGTCCATTGTTGGGTTGTGACTTGTGATAATTACATTCATTCATCCACAAACTAGAAAGCATCTACATTTGGACAAACATTCAAAGAGACAAAGATGGGTTTGAATGTAAAGGATACTCTTTTTCGTTTATTTAGAGCTGTTAACGATTCAACCAAGTCTAGTTATACATTTCTACAAAGGCATCCATTGGTTTCAGGTGCCTTGTTAGTTTGTTTAATCCTATATATATTTCTTTCTTATATTTACCACTTCTTGGTTTACATGTCCCCTTTTCTTGTATGTGTTATTATATTTATAAGAATCTTTTGGAGTTCTGAGCAAACTCAGCTCAAATATGTCAAAAGGGAGGAAGTAAAGGGAGAGCAAAAAGTTGTTGAACCACAAGATCCAAAGAAAGCAAATAATAGGAGACATGAACTGCTTTATAAGTATCCATCACATAATGCCACAAGTAGAAGGAGAAATTTCAGTGACAAAAAATGGGATGTATATGGTGGTTTGGAAGAAAAGGCCAAGGATTTGTCAGCAGTTTTTATTAATGAGTTCACTAAAAGAAACACACGGAACAAAGAAGCTAGATCTTTTGAGAAGGGAGAAAGCTCTTTGGATTATGGTTTTTCAACCAAAAAAGTTCAAGTTCCTAGAAGGCAAACCTTAAGATCTGAACCTTCAATGGTTGACTTGGTGGAATGCGGTGATGTAGAGATAGAAAATGATGATGATGAGGAAGAAGGAAAAGAGGATAGAAATAAGGCTATAGAATGGACAGAAGATGATCAGAAAAACCTTATGAATCTTGGGATTTCAGAGATGGAAAGAAACAAAAGGTTGGAGAGTCTAATAGCAAGAAGAAAAGCAAGAAAACAAGTTAAGATGCAACTAGAGAATAGCCTAAATGATAAAACACCAATTGCACCAGTGCTTACTTCAAAAACCAATCCTTTTGATCCTTCAAAGGACTTTGAAGATGACTTAGAAATGCCTGGTTCTGCCCCTTCTCTTATGCCAAGAAGCCCATATGACTTCCCCTATGATCCTTCTGAGGAGAAGCCTAACTTCACAGGAGATCATTTCCTTCAAGATTTTTCTTCTCATCAAAAGGATGTGCCATTCTGTAGACATGAAAGCTTCAGTTTAGGCCACCTTTTGCCATCTGACATTCATCAAGGGAGGAAATATTCAGACAGGCTTGCATACTCAAGATTCAGAGGGCCTTCAGGTGACAGCCACATTTTCTTCTTATCCTTTTTCACCTTCCTCTCTCTCTCTCTGACTAAGGGGTATCTAAAAGAGTTTATATGAGGCTTATTTGGACTTATAAAAAAGGGTTTATGACATATTATTATAAGCTATTTTTATCTTATTTCAAAGGTTTCACACTTAAGCTTATAATATAAGCTCACATATGATAAATATTTTGAAAAATGTATTTATTACGTTGTTTATCCAACAAAATGAGAAATTATGGTAAAAGTTGATTATGAACTAAATGCATTTTAGTCATGCAGATAAGGGAAATCATGATTGGCTAATTGACCAGTTGATCTACAATGAAAATAGTGAAAGTGGACTTCAACCATCTGATCCACTGAGAAAGGGAGAGGGAACAACACATGAAGAGGATGAAAAATGTAAAACAGATATGGTTAACATAAAAGAAGAGAAAATGGAGAATGATCATGAAACAAAATTCATGTCAGATCAGGTAAGTGAGCCAAACTTAGTTCCAAACATCTCAAATATTGAAACAGATAAAGCTTCAGAACAACAAGGGCTAGGGCCAAGTTTTCCTAAGCCTCACAAGCGGCTTCTCAATTTACCAATATCTAATACTGCTACAACTAGTACTACTACTATAAATGACTCTATATATGACACTGTCACATCTATAGTTGATAAGAGACAAGAAAATATGTTTTTAACCGACAGAAGACTTTGCCACACTCCAACATATTCCATAGCTTCTGATTTACAAGTGGAGGTTTCTGAAATTGGTTCACCAGCATCAACAGTTGATGAGAATGCTGAGACTAGTTCATCACCTGATAGAGACTCTATACTATATGATGGTGACATTGATAAAGGTGTTAGTTCTGGTAGTGAAGATTTGTGGGGAACCTCTTTCCATGGTGGAAGAGAACCACAAGAAGCTAAAAATGAGGAGGATAATGCAGACGTGAACAACATCTCAAAAGGTGTTGTTTCACCTATTGCTCTTAGACAAATAGATGAAGAAAATGTTGCTGATGTGAGCTCTTTGTCCTCAAAATCTGATGTGCCTGAAGATACTCCAACTTATGCAATAAATAGTGATCATAACATCTTTGGTTTTGTGAAAAATTCCATGGAGGAAACTGAAGCACCCCAATCTTCCAATGCTTCTCATGTTTTGGATCAGTTGCCTAATGAAACACTCTCAGAAAGACCACAGGTGAGTCATTCTGGTGCTATTATGTATTAAAATTGTTAATGAAATTCTCTAAAGCATGTATTTTGCCAAATGTACTGGTGCACGTTGAGAACACTTGAATACTTATTAAGATTAAATTATTTTAAAATAATTACATGCAACATAAATAAGACCTTAACGAGATTAAATATAATTTAAGATATAGCTAATTATACATTAACTACCAGTTAGACCAATTTTCATCTAAAAAAAATTACAATTTTTCTTGAAAATGTATAGATTATACTTTTCTTTCAATTTTCTCATATTTTTTTTTTAATTAAATCATTCATCCTTACTTATAAATTGTGGGTGACATGAGTTTGTTAAATTTTTTTTATCATATATATTTTTACAACAATCTACTAATGTACCTATATCTTTAATTTTTAAAAATTGTCTTATTCCGTACCCATATATGTACTGGGTGCTCATGCAACATAGATGAATTTGTTATTTGTGAATTCAAACAAGAACAAAGTATGTCACTCTACATAAGAATCAATCACTGCATTTTTCTTGTTGCTTCCTTCAATAGAAGGTCATCAGGGAAGGATAAGAATATTGCTCTCATTTGTAGAATTTTTGTTGTTCAATAGGAAAGGTGCAACTTGCCAGAGAGTGTGATAACTGAGGCACAAGTTATCAATGAAGTGAATAACTCAGAAGGCACAGAACAAGATAACATTGAGAACTCAAGAAGTAATGAAGATCCTCCTAGCACATTAGTAGTGAGGCAAGAATCAATTGATGACGCCTCTATCTTCTCAAATTTATCATCACCAAGGTCTGTGTTGCCTGAGAAGACCATAGCAGATGAAGTTCCATCATCACCTATTGATCAACACATGCATATAGATTCTCAGCAATCTATCATGGAGAGTATGGACCAAGAAACTTTAAATAGTGAAAGTCTATCTGATACCATGCATCAAACTATTCAGCCATTGATGGATGATACAATTGATGAATCTCATAATGTTGACTTCAATCATTCTCAGGTATGTATTCTAGGATATAATATATAAACTTAACAAATCAATTGCATATATCAAAATTTCAATATAAGTGGAGAACATGATTACTTCCATCACTGAAGGCCACATTGGCGAGGTTATATATTATTAGTTTTACTTCATATCTTAACAATAATAATATCTATCTAATTATCATATTCACAAAAAATGAATTATAAAGGAACTTATAACTTCTATTAATCATGTGTGTAACTAAGGGCCTACTTGTTTTATAAAGATGTTTTTAATTTTTTTTTCTAAAAAATAATTTCAAAATATTACTACTTATTTTATTTTCTTGAAAGAGGAAACGAAGAAAATACAAAAGTAAAATTTTATAATTATTTGCAAAAGTAAGCAAGGAAATAAAAAAATAATAAAACTAAACATTTCTATCCACAAATGTTAGCATATTGACCAGAGTTTGATTTCTAATAACGTGTATGAAAATAAATTTTGTTGGGAGTCTCTTTAAAAGGAATAATATTCTTTAGTTATAGGCTAAGAATATCTTTGGTGCACACAAAAAAATGAAACAAACTCTTAAGTCTTCTTTTTCAAATGAAAAAGAAAACTGCAAGCCTGAATTTGCACTCTATGTATGACATTGACCAGGAGCAGACTAATCTGCCAGAGAATTCTACTCCAGAATCAAATATCTTTGACAATATAAATGGTGAAGAAGTCTGCATTAATGAAGAGAAAGAGAAGTTAAAGAATGATGAGAACAGTGAAGACAATTCTAACCACCCTCACAAACAAGAGGCTACAACAGAATCCACTATACCAAAAAATGAGATACCAACTTTGGAAGACATGAATGAGAAATCAAGAGATTTAGTGAATGAGAAATCAAGAGATTTAGTGAATGATAAAGTAACATCTTTTCTCTAAAACTGATATATTGGTTTATAATGTATTGTATTAGATTAAATAACACACTTGCATTGTACATTTGAACAGGTGTCATCTATGGAGCTGATTGAAGATGATAAAAATGACAAACCATCAAGTAGTAATAATTCATGAGAACTTGCCGCAACAAAAGTTCACTCATCCAATGGTTTGCGCCAAAGATACATGTTACGATATATTTGATTAATTGCAATACCATATCTTAGAGATACTAGAAAATATTAGTGATGCTAATTGATTGTAATTTTCAATATTTCCTTATTTATCTTAGTCACCTTTATGAATAGGATAGGGCTTTGCCAATGATATACAACACAAAAGTAAAATTCCATATTTATTTTTCTTTTCCCATGGCATGGAGTCTTAGATATATTGAATTTTAAGATTATTATAACATTAAATAATCATAATTTGAATTTGTATTTAAATTTTAAATTTTGATAGATCATATTATAAAATGACGTGTCTTGATTGAAACATTTTATTTTCTTAATTTATTTCAATTTTTACGCTTATCTCTTTTATTTTTTATTTAATAAAATATTTAAGATTAAAAATACAAATATCTATTATTTCTTTTAATTTTTTATGCTAAAATTTAATTCAAAATGTAAGATATACGTACAATGTGCAGAAACTTGTTAGTTGTTTTTTAAAGGAAATACTCCGATTTACTATATTATCTTCTTTAATTCAAATAATTTAACAATCTTACAAACATAATAAATATTTAGTTTACTTATATTAAAACAAAAAATATAACAAATATTTTTAGAATAGTAACCTTGATTATCTTCTAAAATAACAAATATATTTACTTTATTACACTAAAATTATATTTAAGGAAAATATAAATTATGAAAAAAAATTAAAAGACCAACCTTAAATAGTAATAAATGAGAACAAAGCTCAATGTGGGTATTTAGTTGGAGACTGCCTATGAAAACACACACACACCCACCCACCCCCACACACACACGTATGCAAAGCCATGAGTGGATAGTGACTTAAATATTTTTGGATAATAATAGTATTATTTTTACAATAGTTTTTACATGAGAAAAAATTATAAAATAAAATCAATAATACTCTCTCAATTTTTTTTCTTTAACACTTAATGTTTATATAGAATTTTTTTAAAATTAATATTTTAAATTTTATAAAAAATATCCATTAATTCTATAAAATAATAATAAAATAAAGGAATAAAAAAAAGTACATGGGTAAAGAGTATTGTAAGAATTTATTATAAGAATAACACTATTCAAAGAGAGGGGGAGAGGAAGGTAGAATTCGTTGACATTTAAATTTAAATACTTATATTATTTACCAATTTTTTTATAAACTATAAGTTTAATTAATTTAATTTTTAGTTTAAAATATTTTTATTAAATAAATTATTTCTTAAAATTTTATACTAAAACAAAATAAATAGTTGCTTTATCTCCTTGTTTTATTTTAACATGTAATTATTTTTTTATATAATATATTTAATGTTCAAATTATGTGAAATTTGATATATATAATTATAATTAAATATTAAAAATTATTAAATAATGTAAGTGTTAAAATTTTATAGCGACCAATGTTAACGTATATATTATTAAAACATTTAAAATTTACTTTAATCATTTTTACACCACAAAAATAATAAACTTCAATTATCTGACGGAAAAATGAAAATATCGTTAATATTAATTTTTTTAAAAATAAGGCTTAAAATTTTGGGAGTAAGTGACACCTAACTAGCATAGAATGTCGCGTAACAGCCGAAGGAAGCACATTAGCTAATATTATTATCCGTTCTTCAAACTTCTAATGGCTATCGGATCGAACTGCCTCCGATTTGTTTTGTATTATATTATAAGATTGTAAGATAAAATGACACCAAATTGAGTTTTGTTCATCGTTTGTTGTCTACAAAGTGTTACACACACCAAGAAGCCATGACTTGTGTATACAAGAATCCCAATGAACCCATTGAAGCTCGTGTGAAGGACCTTCTTTACCGGATGACTCTCAAGGAGAAGATTGCTCAGATGGCTCAAATTGAGCGCACTGTTGTTACCCCTTCTGCCATTAGAGATCTCTCCATTGGTAATTTTTCCCATTTTTTCTCTCTTGTTCAAGCTTAAGATATGATTCTTCCACTTTGTAGTTTTCTCCTGGCTTTGAACTTGGAGTTTGAAATGAATTTAAGGGACCCCATTTGAGAGAGTGTCTTAAAGATTGGAACTTTGATGTCTCTGTGTGCTTCCATTTTGTTTGAGCTTTGAACATTTTGGAAGTTGAAATGATTTTGAGGGACCCCAATTGAGACTCTCTTAAAAAGGGAAATTTTGATGTCTCTGTGTATATTTGTACCTCCGTTTTGTTTAAGCTTTGAACTTTTTGGAAATTGAAAGGATTATAAAATGGGAATTTTTGTCTGTGTATGTTTGTGTCTCCATTATAAATAGGCACGTTGATGTCACTGTATATTTGTGCCTCCATTGGAACTTGTTGGAATTTGAAATGGATTTGGGCGGAGTTCAATTGAGAGTGTATCTTAAAAATGGGAACTTTGATGTCTCTCTGTGTGCTAGTGTTGTTTTCGATTGGACCCTTCTTTGGCGTTCGATTATATGTGCATTTTATAGGGAGCATACTCAGTGCTGGAGGCAGTGCACCTTTCGAAAATGCTCTGTCATCTGATTGGGCTGATATGGTGGATGGATTTCAAAAATTAGCTCTACAATCGCGACTGGGAATACCTCTCATCTATGGGATTGATGCAGTTCATGGTAATAACAGCGTCTATGGTGCTACCATATTTCCTCACAATGTTGGCCTTGGAGCTACTAGGTTAGTAGTCACTTTTTTCTGTGCTTTTAAACTCAATTAGTAAACCTTAATATTATTTCCGTGGAAAGGGGTTAGACTTTGGAGGGCAAAGTAGTAAGACTATGAAGTTCAAATGTAGTTCTCTTGTATGGAAGAGAGGGCAATGTACTAAAAAAAAACAAAGATGCTAACTTCATCAGAAATGGTGCTGCAATAATTTGCTGGATATGCTGAATCTCATTGGCATTTGAATTGATATATAGTCCTCTTTCCCGTTAGAAAAAAATTCTTACTTTTCACTGGCGGCATGCTTGTAGGGATGCAGATTTAGCTCGGAGAATTGGAGCTGCTACGGCACTTGAAGTTAAAGCAAGTGGAATGAACTATAATTTCGCTCCTTGTGTAGCGGTAAGGTGTTGCAATCGATTAGTCATTCTTTGGATGAATTATGCCAAATAGCTACATAGGTCATGCCGCTTTTACAATGTAGAATTGCTTGGATCTCCATTTTGTGCAAGTTTCTAGATTTTTGGAACTTTTGCAAGAAAACTTAGTTGTTTCCCAGGTTGGACTCATTATTCATTAGTCTTTGATGTTCATCGGTTAACAAAGTATAGACTCAGCAGTGAACCCTTGACTGGTAGCTTGATAATGACAACACTTTGCTAGAATCCTGGACTTCTCAAACAATTCTCGTAGATTGCACCATTTCTAATTTCTACAGATTTAAAATTTATTCATTCAAAGACTGGAGGTGGTGCATTATTATACATTTCTGAAAAGATATAAATATTTTTTTTTATATCCTTTCCAAACAGGAGAAGAAGGATGATCATATTATATAGCTTTCATATTTTTCCCATTGATGTTTCTGCATCTAAACAATAAAGAAATGCCAATTTCCTTGGTTAAATACACAGGTTTGCAAAGATCCTAGATGGGGAAGGTGCTATGAGTGTTACAGTGAGGATACTGAAATAGTCAGAAAGATGACTTCCATTGTTTCAGGTTTGCAGGGCCAGCTACCAGAAGGACATAAACATGGATACCCTTTTGTAGCTGGAAGGTAGACAAAAGTTATTTGTATAAATTTTAACAAGATTTTTTCTTTTAAAAATATTGAAAAAAAAAAAAAACTCTTACTGTCCCAATAACAGTTTTTATTGACACTTGTGGACAGGATGACTACACCTTTTTGTTCTTTCTTATTTGCATTTATTTTCTGTATATTTCACTTTTCCCTAATTCATATTTTAGGAAAGGATCTTTTTTCCCTTCGAACTTTTCTTCTTTTGTTCAATTGTAAAATATGATTTTCCTGAAGTTTTCATGCTATTAATATTTTCTTACCTATTTTCCAGTTTGTATATTGTCCTCTTTCTTCATTCTGCACATGGTATAAACTTATGATTATTTTTCAAACAAGTTTACCAAATTAATGATCATATATTTTCCTTATCAATATTTCCGCCTTATGTTTAATTTATACTCCAGGAACAATGTTATTGCTTGTGCCAAGCATTTTGTTGGAGATGGAGGTACTCATAAAGGTGTGAATGAGGGAAATACTATATTATCTTATCAAGACCTAGAGAGAATCCATATGGCACCTTACTTAGACTGCATTTCCCAGGGAGTTTCAACCATTATGGCATCGTATTCTAGCTGGAATGGACGCAAACTCCATGCTGACCATTTTCTTCTAACTGAAATCTTGAAAGATAAGCTAGGTTTTAAGGTATAATAGGCTTGTGCTTTGTCTGTATTTTATAAGTCCAAAATAATATTGCATGAAGAGGCACCATATATACATAAATCATTCCCAAGCCTTCTCCACTTAACAACTTAAGCTTTTAGAACAATTGGTCCTTGAAATTTTCAAGAAAGTGGTAATAACATATGACAACAATAACTGAAATTGTTTTTCATTTTCTTTTGTTTCTGGTTTTGATTATAACATGATTTTAATCTACTCCTAGACCATTGCTACTATAGGGTTTTGTGATTTCTGATTGGGAGGGACTTGACCGACTTTGCCAACCTCATGGATCAGATTATCGGTACTGCATCTCCACTGCCGTCAATGCTGGAATTGATATGGTATATAGATCTTTAGTTAGAAGAATCTTTAATCATAGTGTGCTTTTCAAATCTGTTTTCATCTTTTCCATAATATATGCAGGTGATGGTGGCTTTCAGATTCAAAATATTCATTGAAGAGTTGACTTCTCTAGTTGAATCAGGGGAGGTACCAATAAGCAGAATTGATGACGCCGTTGAGCGAATTTTGAGAGTAAAGTTTGCTGCTGGTCTTTTTGAATTTCCTTTAAGTGACAGATCTTTGTTGGATATAGTTGGTTGCAAGGTAAGCTAAAATTAAGCACATGGTGAATCTCTCTTTCCCATTGTTTACGCTAAGTTTTCATTTCACATATTTCTATTTCTGATCAAGAATGTTACATCATAATCAAAGTTTTTGGTTTTACCCATGGTTTTTTTTTTCTGCAGTAATTTTTTTACCTATAATTTTAAGAGTTTCCTATGCATCATCAGAAAAATAATTTCTCTAGTCTCTTGTGGATGAAGTTGTATTTTTTATTTTAAATATTCATTACCTTCACAAAATCTCCTAATATATGGAAAAAAAATATGTATGTTAGTGATTCGATTTGCCTTACACCTTTTCATATTGTATTTTGCTTTGTGTGGAAACACTGCTGTGTTCAAGAATGACACTTTTAGTAAGACTGTTTTCCTTTTTTGTCTTTGACTTTTTAAGTGATCTTTGGTTCATTTTAAAATATTAATATCATTACAGCTACTGGTGTAAAATATTTTGCTAACCTGTGCATGTATTTAAATAAATTGAAGCAAGCAATTGAAAATTAATTCTTCTCCTTCATGTTTTCTTTTGACCCATCATTATAAAAATTATACATTTGGTGTTAATAAAAAACACTACACTAGAGGTTATAGAACATTCCCATCCTGGAATATTAAATGAAAAAGAATATATAGAAATGGAAAGACAAAGGAAACATTAATGGTAGTATTTTATAGATCATTATTTAGTTTTCTGGCAACATTTACAACCTACGATATGCCATTGAACATATTTCAATTTAGAATGAATTTTATCTAGCAAATATGTTAACCCTCCCAAAATATTCAAGGTAATTATATAAAGGGATGGAGATAATATTTTTCTGACAGTTCTAGGAAACATATGCTCCAACTTAGAATACAGTCAAGGGATCTTGATAGAAAACACAAATTAGTAAAATTGACTCTTTTAAATTTATATTGTAATTATTACTTACTATTTTTTGGCATTCTAATTTTTCTATGTTCTCTGATTAATTGTTTGTTATGATAATGCATGACTTATTGAAAAGCTTAACTTCGTTTTACTATATTATTTCTGAAGCCACACAGAGATCTAGCACGTGAAGCAGTTCGGAAGTCCTTGGTTCTGTTGAAAAATGGAAAAGATCTTAGCAAACCTTTTCTTCCGTTGAACAGGAATGCTAAGAGAATCCTTGTTGCAGGAACTCATGCAGATGATCTTGGATATCAATGTGGAGGTTGGACTAAAACTTGGTATGGATGTAGTGGGAGGATCACAGTTGGTAAGCCATTCTTTTTTATTGCTTTTCCAAAGTTGTTTGTTGACTCTCAAAATCTGTGAAACTTTGTTGCTCCCTATGGTAGTGAAGTATTTTGTTGATATTGTTTGTGTTCTTAAGTACACTAATTCTTTCTGATTTGATAAGTGGAAATTCATTTGAGTCGATCATTCCCTCCCAAGTTTCATGTATCATTTTTCTGAGTCCTTGTCTTAAATGAATATTTATAAAGAACGATTTATTTATATCAATGCCTAATGTTAATGCCGTTTCTTTCATTCATTATCCTATTTTTTGTTTATTTTCCTTTGTTAATCATGGTTGTTTCTATGTTTTACAACTACCATATTAGGGACAACAATCTTGGATGCTGTTAAGGCAAGTGTGGGAGTTGATACCGAAGTTATACATGAAAAGTATCCATCAAAGGACACCATAGAACATAATGAATTCTCCTTTGCAATTGTAGCTGTTGGTGAAGCTCCATATGCTGAGACCTTGGGTGACAATTCAGAGCTTACAATACCCTTCAATGGAGCTGATATTATAAGCTTAGTTGCTGACAAAATCCCTACTCTAGTTATTCTGATATCTGGTAGAGCTTTAGTGTTAGAGCGATGGCTATTGGAAAAGATAGATGCTCTTGTTGCTGCTTGGTTGCCAGGAAGTGAAGGAGAGGGAATCACAGATGTTATCTTTGGCACTGATGACTTCAAAGGTAAACTACCAGTGACTTGGTTCAGAAGAGTTGAACAGCTTGATCAGCCAACTGATGGAATTAATTCAAGCGCACCCTTATTTCCTCTTGGATTTGGGCTGACATATAAGTAGGAGAATTTAATTTTACATGAATATGTGCTAAAATACCCCTAAGATAGGCCAAGAACTTAATATATGCAGATTGTGAATAATGCTTGGCTTCCATTTTAGTTAATCACTTGGTCTGTTTCAAGTGAGATGGGTAGAAAATATTGTAAAGCTTATATATTTAATAAAAATTACTATATCATATTATATCATAACGAGTTTCTCCCTTCACAGTCCTATAGGTTGCATTTGCCTTATTAGCAGTTCCCATATGATATGGCATCTGCATTAGGGTTGCCTTATTTGCTCTAATGAGTCATGTCATTGCAGATGCCTTTGATAAAGGTGTCACAGTTTAATTTGGATTGGCTTGTGGTGTGGGGGAATTAACCAACTTAAACAATGAGATTTACATTTGGATTGAATTAGTTGTTTTCATTTTTGTTTAAAAAACAGAATTATAACTTTGAAGTTCAAATTAGAGTAATTAGTAGTATTTTATCCAGGACTATTACCTTGATATCCAAAATAATTATCAAAACATGTCCAATATAATCAATTTTTAAGCATACAACAAAAGTTCTGAGAGAAAAAAGAAAAGACGATTCAAAATTTAAATTTAAAATACTATTAAATAAAGTTAAGTTAAAAAAATGAGATTCAGAGTTTTTTAATAAAAATATATATATGTAATATGTCAACGTTTTGACTTGTGTTAGTTTGAGAAAATGAAACTAATAATTGTTCCGAATCAATCAATATTTGACTTAAAAAAGTATAACACAATTTTTTGGTTTTCTTCTTAGTTTGTATTGACTTTGAATACCCTTAGCATTTAGTCTGAAAAATGTTTTCCATTTTCTGTCTACTTTGTCTTTCAATTTCAGCATTTTATATGGATTTTTTTCTTCTTAGTTTGTATTAGTTTCAGAAAATGAAATAAATAATTGTTCCAAATAAATCAATATTTTGAAACATTTAACTACCATCATTTAAATGATGAAACCATCATCATTTAAAATTGGAAACAGAAATAGTACTTCGGATCCATTGAGGGTTAGTCTCACATATCCATTACTATAAGTTTTATCATCAAAATATAAATTTTTATTTTGCTTCTTAACAAAAGCATGTGAGATATGATTCTTTAGAAGCTCTTTACTTTTAGGAATTGTCAAGTCTAAAAAAGATTCACATTCCCCCGCTTAATGGTGAAAAATATTATAGTGACTTACACGTGGTTGATGTCCATTGTTTATATATTGATGTTAAAAATATTGTTCTTACCTAAATACTTTCACTTTTTCCTTTTCCATGGTGGTGACACATAATATGCTTTAAGATAGTTTGATAATTTCTATTGTAAATGTTTCAAAGATTAGGCATAGAAATGGCATAACTACGGAGGGTAGAGTACTAATAGTTAACCATTCTATAAGGTATTGATTACCTTTCTTGAAGTAGATTTGCCTGCTATGTCTAACCATATATGGGAACGCTGTGGCAGAGTTAGCAATTTTGTGTCTTTCTCTTATGCCATTATTCATTTTTCTATTTTAGTTGTTAGTTCTTGGTGGTCTCTGATAAAAGTTATTGTGAGAAAGGTTAACAATACTCTCTTTTTTAACATTTAGTTATTAATTAAAATTCATTAAAAATTATAAAAAAATTATGTAAGTTTTACTTGTTTACTCTTAATTTAAGCATTGTTTTTTTTTTTTTTGTATTTTTATAGTTTTTTAATAAATTTGAGTTAATAATTAAGAATATACTAGAGAATATATTCCTAACACTCTTCGTTGTCATTTTTATTTTATTTGCAATGCAATTTTATTAACAAAGTACAAGGTTTCTTTGACTCATACAATCCGAAATTCGCATATCTTGATGTTCCTAGTCTTTTAGAGCTATACCCATCAGACAAGATCAATGCAACAATCTATTATCCCAAGCTAACATGCATAAGTATGATATAATTTGATTGCTCTCTACAATTTGTGTGCTAACTACTTTTAATACATTTTACCAATTAGAAAATCAATCATTACACTTTTCAATCCAAAACACGTATTCAAATAAAAAATATATATATATATATATAATTTAAAGTAATTTATATGCATATCTCAATTACATTCAACAGCTCAAAATCAATTATACTTAACTTCAAGCTAAAACATGATTTTTTCTCGTGACATGAGTTTTGTTCTATGGAACAAGATTAATTATGTGCATGCACCAAAGTTCTAAGGATGATCATAATAACATGAATATATGAAAGTATAAGAATTGGCTTGTTTTGGGTCCCATGTCATGACTTGGAAATTTCAGACCTACTATTTCAGTTTTCTATTCTCAACCCAAGAGATCTGAAAATCTTGTTGAGAAGACATGTCCTTTACCGTTTCAATCTATTTGTCTATATAATCTCTAATCATTTACTTTGTTGCCCAATATTCTGGTTTATTCCCATCAAGGGTATGAAATCTTTCAGATACAATTGCATTACCTAATGATAATGAGATTTGATGCACCAGCTTTCCGTCCTTCTCTATTCTTTTTCAAGTCTCATTTAACTACTATCATTCTCAGATTCTGGGCCAATGAAAGCATAGAGAGAATCCTACCCACTTTCTCGTAAACCCTTGGACAGTACTTTCGATTATGGTAAGCAAGGTCTGCCATAATCTCTCCATTTAATACCTAACGTGTGCATGATCTGTGACCATGTTAAAAATGCACTAATCTTTGAAAAGTACATAAAGCACTTGTTAATTGTTGAATGACATGGTTAAGAGACTAAAAAATGTCATATATTAATAGTTAGGCATTGTGTTTGTCATTGTTGATATATTTTTTGTTTAATAAACTACATAATATAATACATTACACGGTTATATTATAATACCTTAACGGTGTTATGGTTGCGCAAAAAATAGTGTTTTCTTTTCAAAATTTTTCTGTAAATATGGAAAAAAAATGTTGGGACCTTAAACTATTTTTATTATTTATGATTCAACCATCCTTTATGCAGCATTAACTTTTTGTAAGTAACCAGTAATAATAATCACTGTTAAAAATATTTTTAACGAAAACATGAAGATCAATTTTTAGGACTAAGAATAAGCAAAAATTTTAGTAGAAAAAATATTTATTAATTTATGAATATTTGAATTCAAGTTGAGATTTACAAACTCTATTTTTAATGAAGAGAGCCTTAATGCATAATATTTATTTTTGTTATAATGTGAGATGTTGATATGAATATGATAAATAACATCCACCTAAGAATTTTTCCTATTGTGATTCCCTAGATGCAAAATAAGGAGAACCAACTATGTAAATTATATGCTAACTAGCTTGTAGTAATGTCTGTCACTGAGGGATTTTCTCCACTGAATTAACTAGTTATTGTTCATACTCAATTAGATGCTTACTCCTCATTATACAAAAAATAAAAAATGAATTACTGTATCAAATTGGTCATAACTAGTGCAAGTGTTGATGGAAATAAGAATAAAGTGGGCAACTTGCTTTTGAATTCCACTTGCAAAAAGAAGGGTTTTCTTTTGTAAAGGATGGTGGTTAGTCTTGTCATATACTGTAGCAAAACCGAGTAGCAGGACCATTTGGCTTGTACCTCCATGCATGGTGTGGTTGTTTTATTAGACTACGCGGATTTTATATCCTTAGCCAAGTTGCAAGGGAAGACAAGGGTCGTTGTAAAATGCATCAATAATTTTGGAATTTCTATGCATAATTGACGATAAAGTTAGCAAAAAGTGAAGTACTACTTTTTATAAAGGGTCACATTTTTCTTCAAAAGAAAGTTTGGGTTAATGCATGTAGAATTGTTGTGCCCAAAAAAACTGCTATAACTCGTCATGTGATTCCATAAACGTAGTCATCCAACATTTTTAGAGTTTTTTTTCTGTGTGTTTTCTAATTAAATTTTTTGCTCTAATGTTTTCGTCGTAGTTACCTTTGAACTTTGCGAGACATTCTTCATAATGACTACATAACTTTAACTACGTTAATTGGGTGTTAATTGACAATTTTTCACACCCAAACCAATAAAATTAGAGACCATTTCAGATTTGCTCTCTCTGCGAGGATTTGCAATCACTCTTTATTTTTATCTAAGTGTTTCAAAACCCAATGCTAGTTATATAGGACTCAAGCGTTCACATCTTTTTTTCTTTGTATTGTCATTTTCGTATTCATTGCAGAGAAATATACTAGAGAAATAAATTTTATTTAGAAAGTCTTGAGACCTGAGGTACACAAATATCAAAATATTAGAGCTAGTTATTTTATAGTTAAAAAATCATCCTCACATTTTAAAAATTTCCAATATAAATTTGTAATTTTGATTAATTTACGCACATATCTCAGTTATATTCAATAATTCAGGATTAATTTATTCAATTCAAATTAAATCAGCATTTAGGCTTTTTTATGTTTTCACTTAAAAAAGTAATTTTAGATTGGTGCGTTGACTTTTGCCGTACCTTACAATGTGAAAAATTTAGAAGACTTAAATGAATCTTTAAAAAAATAAATAGAGGATTAAATTAAAATTTAATTTAAAAGACGGAAAATGATAACTTTGCCAATAAAATTTACATTCATAATTGTCTTCTTACGTCTAATATTCAACCATTCTTTCTTTTGTAAAAAATGAAATATATGTCGTGTACACTTTATCATTAATAGACCAAAGAAAAAGACAATACTTTATTATTCTGTCTAAATGTATATCTTTGAAAGCCAACAAACTTGTCCATACCTACATGAATTTGCATTATGCACAAATTGAAGCGTAGCATATATGCTCATACCTATTTGAAAAACATTTGAGATTGGTCCAAAACAAAGGAACAGTGGAAATGTGCACAAGGAATTTGTCTTGGCATATACTATTTCCCAATGCCAAGCTTGTGGAAAGTGGTATAGATGTGGTCAAAATAGCCTTATTGCAATGAAGAAAAGCTTATGAGTGATTATTTGTATCTCTAATCAAATGCATATAATAGCTTCTATTTCAATTATTGCAGCTAGCTTTGTATTTACTAGGTTGTGAATCACTGATGTAATTAATTTATAGATTCTCCTTCCAAGGAAAGGTTGTAGGCGTGTCTTTGTGCAATTTAGAGAGGGAGAGAGCACATATTTAAGAATCCTCTTCACTTTATAAGTTTAATCATTCAGAATAAGTGGTAATTGACCATCATAATAGTTTATAATAATATAGAGTTAAACTTAATTAGAAGGTAGCTATAACCCCACTGTATTAGCAACTTCATTAGTTATTTCATGTCAAAGATGATTGATCACAATGCTTACTTTGTGTCATTGGATATTTATTTATTATTATCATAAGGTCCACAAAGCACTCTTTGGGGGAGGGGTATGGTAAGATTCTTCCTTCTCATTTTCAAAGAAAGGCAATATGTGGTCAATGAATTTTCTCACCCAAAAGAGAATCCTGGAACTCCTTTTGTGTGTATATATAAATGAGTTAATGTGGTCTGTATATTAAATCATACATAAAAGTCAAATTAACGCATAAAGTCATAATCTTTTTTAAATCATAGTAAATATTACACTCAACACTCCCCTTTTCTTCAAAGAAACTTATACTGCACTATTATTCCTCCAATTTTAAAATTACACTTCCTTTGTTAATTTATTCTCGCTTGATCTATTTTCTAATGTGGACAATTTTTTTGGGGTACTTGATTCTTAATATTATCGGCAACTAAGTTTAATTTCTACTATCAACTGTGAAACTTTGTAAGATGAAATAATGATTTTGGTTAAAGTTTCAGAACCGATAAAAAAAAGATATCTAAAACTTTATTTAATCTTTAAAATTCTTAAAATCAATAATAAAATATTCAAAATAAATTATTTGTAACACTAAGTTATATAAATACAAAATAAAAAAAAGGTCTTCAAGATACTTGCTCAAAGTTGTTTATCACCACTAAGTACTTTACTTACATTAAAATGAACTAAACTGTGAGCACTTCATCATTTCGACAAAGATAGTGTAATTCTTAAGGGATTGTAATTTAAGCATTTTCTAGAGTAGCATCTTAAAAATTATGATATCATTTCTATTGGTAATCATCCACATAAAATTCAATTATCAAATTTTGCTCGTCTCATATTATTAATGAAAAAATTATTTTTGGCAAAATAAAAGGCTTAGTTTGTCTCCATAAATGGGATCAACGATTTGAGCCAAGATATGCAGAACAGTGAATCATTTAAAATAATGTTTAACAAGTGAGATCCGTACATAAAGAATCACAACGACTATGATGCTTTCTTTGGACTTACTTAGGGTACAGTGTACAAACGGCCATACAATTGTGCATGACCAAAGCCTTTTGTTAAGAATATATTACCCATCTAATCCGACATGAATCACGATTGTACCATATGTCTATATTTATTCTAATTAAATAATTAATTAATCCACATGAATCTCACTTTGTACAAAATATATTCGTGCATCTTAATCTTATCTTGGAAGAACCATTTCTAAGGTACCAGATTATGGATCTCTCAAACTCTTGCTATTTACCTTTAAATACAATTCCACTAACAGGATCCTTCACATACATTAATGCCTTCCCATTGCACGTGTCTCTTTTTACTTTAAAGTTAACATTTCATTCTAAACTTACCTTAAAATCCAATATTCTTAAAAAACATTGAAAAACCCAAGTTTTGGTACTTGTTTGTTCACCATTCATAAGTTTAAGGTTGTTGAAGAAACAAATTTTCAACACCTTCCTTCAAGTTAATACACCAAGAAGGCTAGAACTAGCTAATATTCTAATGTAAGGTATTCATTCACATAGGCACAAACACTGTACTAGAGTAGTGAACAAAAGATACTGGTTCTAGCCATCAATAATTCAATACAACCACCACCACATCATGCATGGGAATAGTTTTGGGAGGAATGCATTTGGAAAACCATGTTTTGGGTCTGAGGTCCTATGTAAGAAGACTCATGAAGAGAATTTCTGTGCAGATTCTGACCCTGCACTTTAAATCCATAAGAGTTGAGGCCATAAGGAGGCATGAACACTTGCTCATGTGCTGGATTCAGTGCCATAGCTACTCCTGCACTTGGCTGATTACTCCATTGAAAATGCATTCCAGACGAGGCGGCACTAGGATTTGGCTGCTGGTGTGAGACCATCATGGAATGCTGAGGTGAAGTGGATCTCTTGTTGTCTTCCGAAGGAGAAGTTCTTGTGGTCTCCGCGAGATTAACCGTTGTTATATCATGGATGCTTGCCCTCCTCTTGTCTTTGCCCCCCGAAAGTTGCCTGATGAAGTATTTCTGAGCATGGCTTGCCACTTGGGTTGGAGTTCGAGTAATCACAAAATTGCGTGATATGTTTCTCCAATCACCTTTTCCATACTTTTTCAGCCCCAGTAGAAACAATCTGTGGAGAATTTTCATAAATCATAATCAAGTTTAACCCCCAACAACTTCGATAAAATAAATACCACATGAATTTATTTTACTTAACTAACCATCCATAGCTACCTCATGAAAAGCTAGAAGACCTTAATACCAACAGGAAAAATATCTAACACTATATAACAACAGATAAAATGCTTGTTACTACTCCTAGGTTCATATCATTACATAAAGCACAACCTTAACTACATCCACTAATTCCTGCTTTCCTTATATACAAAACACTACTTTTTCCAAACTGATTTACATTTTCAAGAACTAAATAGTAAAATCTTCATACAGTGTTTTACACACACACATGTGAAATTAAAAACAAAAGTAACAAAAACCAATAACAAGCTTACTTGTGTTCCTCTTCAGTCCATGGCACGCCTTTCTTCCTTTCCTGATCAGGAGCTCTACCTGAGGAGGATCTCTTTGCAGTGAGTCCTTTGAAGCCATCATAGCCAGGAGTGTTCACCCAATCTAAGGTGAAGGGTGAAGTGGTAGTGTAGCCAGGAATTGGGATCAAACCAGCTTCTATGTTACAAACATCAACTTCCAATTCCTTGTAGTGCTTTATCACATCCAAAACTGTTTTTCCAGGTATCATCTCAGTCACTTTGTGCCACCGATCTGGGGTGTCCTTATCATACACTGCAAGAGCATTTTCAAAGAGCTTGTTCTCTGCAGGGGTCCATTTGGTGTTGTTCCTGTTATCATCAAGAAGCCAATTCGAGTTGTGAATATATGGTGCGGTCGGAGGAGGGAGGATTTCCATTTCCCACTTCATCACACACCAAAGTCACAAGAAACACACAACAAAAACTAAGGTAGCATGAAGAAGAAGGTTTGGAGCAATTAAGGATGGTTTGGTTTGGTTTGGGTGTGTGTTTGTGGGCTCAAAGATTTCACTTGAAAGATTACAACTTTATATGAAACAGGGTTGATTCAGAACAAGAGAGAGAAAGAGGGAGAGATAAATGAGAAGCAGAGGTGGAGGTTTTACCACAACATTATCAAGGATAAATCAACAAGCATTTTTTAAAGGAATCAGAATACCCTTTTTTATGTGTAGGAAAGGAAGCATGCTCCTCAGGAATCTAGAAAAGACCCACTTTGTAAAAAAATCAAAGAGAATGCTCCAAATTGAGGTTCAAGATTATTGCCTAATTGGTCCAAAAAGAAAACCCTAGAACCACTTGTGAGATCTAAAATCCAATGAACTTCCCTCTCAAATACTAATCTGGAATTGAGACACACCAAAATTCCAGAAAAAAAAATCCAAAAAAAAAAAAAAAAACTTGACAATTTTTAGAGAGAAAAATCTGGCAACTCTTTCTGCACCTTCAACTTCAGCTTAGCCCAATTGGGAAAGTAATTGGAAGCCAAGAAAAAGCAAAAGGGGTGAAGCCAGAGACAATGAATGTGCAAACCCAATTAGGAAATAGCAGAAAGACTCAGAATTTATGAGGTACCGAAGAAGAAGAAGAAGTGAGAAAGAGAAAAAGAAAACCTTGTTATTAAAAAAGTCCCTCTTTTTTTAAATTCCCTTTTCTTGATGCTATAGAGCAACAAAGAACAGAGAAAGAAATATTGAAAACAAACTAAGCACAAAAAGAAAAGCAACAAGAGCCCCCAAATGGAAAAGAGGGTAATATATGGAAGCTGAAAAAGCAAAGTGACCAAGCTTCAGGGAATGAATCTTAAAACAAAGTTTGCCACTCAAAGAGGAGGCATCAAAGGAGAGAGAGAATCAAAAAACAGTGGATGAAGGTGGTGAGCTGTGATTGGGTGCTATGTGTTTGTGGATCCTGAAACTAAATAAAAAGTTCCCTCTTATTATAATAGAGGCCCCTGCTTCTGTGCACTTTTTATTTAAATAATAATAAAGAAATTAATAATTTATAAATACATCATATTCTTGAAAATATTACTTTATTCATTTGCTCAGATTTTGTTTATTGTTATCACAGTTTTATTCATTTTAGTTTTTAAGAGTTGAATTTAAACATCTAAAAATATTTTTTTAATGAAAAATATTTAAAAGTAATTTTTAAAACTATTGTTATTTTTGGTCATGGATGATGGAGGCTCAGTTGTGTGGCTGGTCAATGAAATTTTAAATCGAAATTTTATTTACAAAAAATAAGAATTTATTCTTATATTGTGTCATGAAAAAGAATTGGTACCTACATTGTCTTGTATAATTCCTTTGGGCCGTTTGATGAACAGAATGCCATAGAAAATAATATGAAACATAGAGATCAATAAAGACTAATAAAATAATATTTTTTCATTTATTTTATATTTGATGTTATTAAAATAATAAAATTTATATTTTTTAAAAATATTTAAGAAAAAATATATAAATTATATGTAAATGGATAATATTATTTATTTATTAAAAATCAATGTTTTTAAAAAATGAAAAATTTTAATTTTTAATATATATGTATATATATATATATATTAAAATTTAAAAAAAAATTATGTGTATGTAATATTAAAATTTAATACTAAATTATTATAATTTTATTCAATTTTTATAATTAATTTTTTGAGTAAAAAATTATAGTTAGAACAAAAAAATTATAAACATGTATTTTATAAAATGATTTAAATTTTTTTTATAAATATTTTGTAAAAACAATATACTTTTCTTAAAATACTAAAAATAAAATAAAATATAATAAATTTATTGCTCTTATGATGTCTATCAGACGAAATTTTATTATTAATATATTTAAATATGCAACTAAACTTGTGCGAAAAAGTTGACTTTAATCATTATTTTATGGAATCTTTTTACAAGTTCAAGGACTTAGGAAAAACACGTAAGTAATCCTTATACAGTGATCACTTTTATTTGGATCCAATTGACTATAAAATTACGTTATTTTCATGCATTACATATTTTATTCACGATATATATTAATCACTGTTATTAGTATATTAGTTAAGACATTAAAAATATTAATAATATTTTTTCACTAATTTAATATAATTCAATATATTTTTAATAAAAATTATTTTCGATTCTTTAACACCCTCTGTCTAATTAGAGGCTAGTAATCTATTCCTTCTGAAGGTGCATTTTTAGAAAGTTAATTTTTATAATTGTTAAAGTGGAATTTTAAATTATTTATTTTCTAAGGTGTCTAAAATTGCACCCAGCATACCTTATTGAAACATTTTTTTAATTTGATAACGCTATGAATGAAAAGGTAAATTCTGATTTGAAACTCGAATTCTGTAATTAATTTTCAAATTCATATTTTTTATTAATATATTTAATTTAGGAAACGAATTAAATTACTCGAAAAATAATTCCGTAATATATATTTATATTAGTTAGTCAGTTAAATTGTTAACAAACTGTGATAATTTGAATCCAAATTTCTGATCAACAATAGCACATTTCTGATTAACATATGTTGATAATATAAGTGGATAGGACTCTTAAATCATAATATAAGATATACTTATTTAATTTTTCATTTAATCACTCTTAAATTTTAGGTATTTTGATCTAAAAAATACATTTTAAAATATATTTATCAATTTCACATATTATGATTTTATTTTCAATACTTATTTTGCCTCTTGACTAGAGAGAGTAATTTTGCCTCAAAAGTGACTATACTAGATTGAACATGTCACGTGGCTCATCATCAAACACGTGTGATATGCTCAAATTCATATCACTCTCGAATATGCAATACTTAATTAAAAAATAATAATAATAATAATAATAATATCGTTCATGCAAGTGTGATATATCTGACGTGAAAAAAAAAAAGAAAAAAGCTTCAAACTTATTGATAAATGGTTTTAAAAAAATCCTAATTTGACAAATATTTTTTAAAATGTATTTTTTTTTATAAAGAAAGGTAAATTTTATCATAAAATTCTGAAAAGTTGAAGGGCAAAAGAGTAATAGGAAAAGGGGTAGCCGCCAAAGCAACGGTTGAGATGGACAGAAAAGTGTGACTGGGGAAGTGGGTCCAACGCCACCTTTCCGCATTATTATGGGTTTTAGGATCTCTAGGACGTGGGTCCCTTCCTCAACCTTCACACGTGTCCTTCTTTCATTCCATAACTTTTTATCATTACCTCATCACTCGCTCTTTAAATTCTGTAAAACACCTTCATATTACTGTAACTGTTAAATTTAGATATTTATATTATTCAAATAATATATAGTATTTATTTAAGTAAATTTTTAAAATATTAATAATAATCATCAATCAACCACCGCCTCTCTTATTTTTTATTTTTAAACTTTATTTACACATATATAAATAATATTTTTTATTATTTTATAAAATGAAATAAAAATACATAATTTATGATCATCTTAAAAAATATAATTCAGGGTTTATGAAAATGAAAGATAAAAGATTTAAAACAAATATAATGGAAGATTTGTTTTAACTTTTTCCCCCTAAAAAAGCAAAACAGAGCATGTGCAGCATGAGCAGGATCGACGAAGAAGCGCGTGAGAAGAGTGTGTCGGTCTGCGGTGGAACAGTGGGAGCGGAGCGTGAAGCGCACGCAGCATCAGGTTAGGGAGTGCTCCACGGCATGTGGTTGGGAAAGCAAAGAGCAAAGGGCAAAACGGTCCCCTTCTGATGTGACCAACTGTTTAGAACGCGTCTTCTCCTTTTCACTTCCATTTTTACCCCTCTGCAATACTCCAATGTCATTTTCCTTGCATCTATAATAATAACTTTTACTTTTTTAAATTAAAGAATATTTTATATTTTTTATACATTAAATAATTATTACTGTTAATTTTATAATTAGTAGAGTTTGTGTTCAAATTTAAATCTGACCATTTATTTTGTGTAAGTTGACCAACTTGGTAGCTCGCATTTCGCACGTGTATAAATGATAAACATGGAAATATCATATTTATATAACTCTGATCAGTAGAGATAAGTTTAGTCTTTATATTTTACGTATGAATTTTAGAAAATATCTTTATATGTAACTTAAATTAAAAATATTATAAATAATTTAGTTATATTTAAGGGAAATTCGAGTAGGTGTATATGATATTTGAAGTGGTCGGAAATGGATCCCTACAATCCCAAATTGTGCTTTAAAAGACGGAAAATGACGAAAGCAGCATTTTGCATTTCTCTTTTGTCCATATTGTTTTACAACTTTTTTTCTCTGTCATACTTTTTATTATATGATGAAAGCTATCCTACAAATAAATATCAACTATTTTAACTAATGGAAATCGATCCGAATAACGAGTGATTAGATATTATTTAAATTAAATTAGATAAAAAAATATTAACTCTTTTAGTATTAATTAATTTTTTTACCATTTAATCATGCCTCGATCTCCATTTTAGAGCATAATAAAATGATATTAAGTATTAAATTTATTTTAAAACGTAAAATAAAAAATAATAATTATATGTGTATATACGTATAATAGATCATATAATTAAAGACTATAACTTATTAATTTATTCTATAAAATAAACCCCTCGTTTCATAAAAATTAAATTTAAATTAATTAATAAGTTACAAATTAATATGTTTTTTAATTTATCTTTTTTAAAGAGAGGAAGTAAAGTGAGTGGCCCCTCCTATGAAGACCTCCCCCGAATTTGGACAAAATAGAAGGGATGTGTTTTTTTATTTTTACAAAACTTATATAATGTTCTTTAAAAGTTATTAATGTTTTTATTAATTAAAATATAGTTTTGTATTTAATATTATAATAAATTGTTTAAATAAAACTTAAAGAGCTGTATTTAAATGTATTAGTTTATTTATTTTAATAATAATTATTTTATAGAATCTAAAAAATTAAAATAATTGTTTATTAAGAAAAATATTATATAAAATTCTAATTTTTATTAAACTAAACTTTTATATATATTAAATTATTTTTTCACCTTCTTTTCTCATCTAAATAGTACATTTATTTTATTTGTATTCTGTCTTTTTATCTTTCATTTTTTTTTCTCATCATCATTTTTATTTTGAATTTTTTTTTCAGTTAATTTGCTAACTAAATAGACAAGCTTATTAGATTATTAGCATAGATGTTTATGTGCATACAATATATAACTCGATCGGTCAAAAAATTAGATTCATTGGGACAGATGATTAAAACGAGCACGAGGACTAATACAATATTTGTCCATTTAATTATGATTATGATCAGTTAACATAAGCTTGGTATGAACAAGTATGCAGTATTTGTAAGTAATTAATTATTCTTATGTGAGGTGTATATTGGTTTTCTGTTGGTATCTTTTTTTAATGTTTTTTTAGATGGACAAAGATGAATATTATTATTTCTTTTGAAACTGACACTTTTGACACATATTCTATCTAATATATTATTCACATTTAGTAGAGTGCATGCATTCACTTCTTGGGAGAACAAAACCAAACAAAACTATTCAATTTATTAAAATGAATAAAAAGTTTTATTACTCTTTTTTTTAAAATACTAATAATATTGAAGTATTAAATTATTTATTGCCATTTTTACAGTATAACATAATAAGAGACATAATTTTTTTTATATTGGTGTAAATTTAAAAACTGTTATATTAAATTTAAATTTTTTATTTAATTTACATCTAATAATAAATGAAATAATAAATTATAATTTATTAAATATAAATTAAATAAAAAAATTTAAATTAGATGTAAGAGTTTTAAACTTATATGAGTATAAAAAGATTATTTTTTATGTAATAATGGGTATAAATGATAACAAGTGTCCCTCGAAAGTCATGGAGGGAAAGGGTAGAGAGAGTTGTTGGGAAGAAAAATTGATTCCACAAGAATGAAAATAATTAAGAGATAAATGAATGGAAAGCAACATTAAATTGAAGAATGAATAAAATAAAGAAAATGGTTTGGGAAGGACAATAGCTACCACCAAATAGTTTCCATAAATGGAAAGATTCCCTTTTTAATTGTGCTTTCTATAAAAGTGAGACAAATGTGATTGTGGTGTTCAAGTTGAGGTCTCTCACTCATGTGCGCGCGTGCAAATCCAGCCAAAAATAAAGGGTTTAAATTTAGGTCTATAATGCACCTAATGCATCTAATTTTAAACATCACACTACCAAACCAATCAATACTTATCTTCTCCCCCTTTGTTCTCTTTTTTCCCTCAAATAACTTTGTACTACATATAACCTTTCTATTGCATGGATAAATGTTTTTCATTTTAATCAATATGTAGTTTTGCCTTCAAAGTAAATCATTTATGTTGATTTGTTCTCTAAATATATTTATTTTTTTAAAAATCGTTAATTTATGATTAGATTTTTAATTATCAATAGATAGTTAATTTACATGGTATATGGGCATGTATATATATATATATATATATATATATATATATATATATATATATATATATTTAAAAAAATTAAGATTTGGGTTTTGTGAAAACTCAAAATGAAACCGCAATTGTTAAACCAAAAGAAGAAGACTCAACCATAGTTAAATTGTGAGTGAATTGATATTAATTCAATGTATATTTTTATTTTGTATGATATATTAAATAAAGGTAATAATATAAAACTATCATCAAGTAATGGTAATAAAACATGAATTTAATTAAAATATACTAACAGTATAAAGATATTATATAGTCATTTAATTATGAATTATTAACAATTATTGATTTTTGTAATATTTTTTAAATTATATTTATAATAATTTCTTGTTAGTTGATAATGTAATTTTTTTTTAACACTAACCATGTACTGATATTAAAGTCATTAAACGTGACAAATATAACATCTATAATTTTATAAATATTTTAATTATAAAAAGTCTATAATAAAGTGCAATATTTAATATTATGGATATTTAACTGGGAAGCAAACAGGCAGTAATATTTGTTGGTATCTAGATTGTATTAAATCCTTAAACAATTCCTTGTACAAAATTTTCTAATTTTTTTGTTAGTCATTTATTTTTTTTGGACTTTGGCCCAAGAAAAGGAAAATAAGCTACTTAATATTATTTTGACTTGCATCATTTGTGAGGTTTGGGCTACAAGAACTTCACAAAAACATGTGTTGGTGGCAAACATTATGATTGAAATGAATCCAAATATAGAATGTAAGATTAAAAAATTAGTTCAAATATCATAATAAATAGAGAAGGACTAAGACCAACTTTGATCAACAAAGTTAATTCAAACAAGAAAGATTTACTAAATTATTCTAAGAATAATTTGTTCTTAACCAGCACTTAAATCCAAATATCGGCTATACTTATACGAAAGATTTAGAGCTAGTTTGACTCTCTTTTTTTTCATATTTTTGTTTTAAAATCTTCTTTTAAAAATAATTTTTAAAATATTTTTCAAAAATGAAGGAAAAAGTAATTTACAATATGTCTTCCTCTTTCTTAGTGAATTTTGTTATAAACTTGTCATTAATAAATAGAAAAAGAGAAAATTTAAAAACATGCGAGAGTTGTTTTATTTTGATTTTGATTTTTAAAATGCATGTTTTAGAAACGATTTTTAAAACTTAAAAGAGATAAGAATAAACCATATAAAAACATTTCTTTTTTACCTTTTTGTTAAAAATAAAAATAAACACACTCTGTTTTGTCTTAATTTCTATTGCGTAAGCAAGCAGCATTGCAATTTTGTCATTACTGGTAACAAGAAGTTAACTGAAATTTTGATGCAGTGCAAGACAAAGGGGCTTAAAAATCCTTAAAATTCCAATTAACATTTTTATACATAATTAAAGCCAAAAATATCATTCAAGAAGGAGAAAGATAAGAATACAAACAATGTTAAAAAAATAATGAAAAGGAAAAATGTTGAAGACATGGAAAATGATCATTTGGTCTTATTTCACTCTCGGCATCTTCTCCTTTCTTTACTCCAAGAAAATCTTGTTATTAGCCTTGATTGTTGTTCCTCCCTTTGCCATATATGGTTTTTTTTTTTCCTTTTTTAATGTTTTCTCTTCCTCACTGAGCTTAGAATGTTACTGTGCAGTATTCTCAACACTTTGGGAGGTCACTTGGAGGTGGTAATAGAGATTCATTTGGTCCTTTACCATTGTCCACTACAAATGCCATCTTCAATCCCCATGTGGTATGAATTTCTAAGTGGCAATGCATAAACCAAACCCCTGACAAAACAAAGTATCATATATATTTATATTAAAAAAATAAAAATATTAACATAAACACTTAAAGTTAAATTTAAGTAACTAATAATAATAAAGAATTTATTATATTTTTTTATGCAATGAATATTTTTTTAAATAAAAATTTACTATTTTGAATGTTAAAACTCATTGTTAAAAGCTTATAGATTTACATTTACTTTAGAGTTACTAGTTGTAGCTTCTTGTTAAATCTATGTTTACAGTATTTTCAACATTGTTTCCAAACACACCTTTATTTTTCTACAAATTTCTAAGCATTTGACTTAAAAAATTTAGGCATAATTAAATTCATGACTTTACCTGGATTGTCAGCCCTGAATCTAATAGCAGTCCACCCTCCAGCTGGAACACCAACTGTGTTTCTCTCCACAGGATCGATAAGGTTAAATTTTTTTGGGTCCTTTGTGGATTCAAAATTCCCTTGACCCTTGCCAACTACAAAGAAATTGAAACCATGAAGATGAATAGGATGATTCTCAGGTGTTATCATTCCAGTATCTTGCAAAACTAATTGAACTGTAGAATTGTAAGTAAGTCTATAGACCCTTGTCCCTTTCATGGTATTTAAATTTGATGGTTGTGGCCCTGTGAAGTTATAGACCATAGGAGGATTCCCAGGAAAATCATCAGTGAAAACACCCTTAATGTTGAAGAAATGTGCTTGAAGAAGAGAGATATTCGGCATCACAAAGGTAACATTGTTGATATCTGCAACCACCCTACTATTATTCACACAAGTAGCACAAGGACTGATACCAAGGCTAACAGTGAAAAGTAAGTTATGGTCAATTTTTAATGGAACTCTAGCAGGGTACTTTTTGGAGTTTAAGCTTCTAAGAGAGTCAGTGAAACTTGTGGCAAGTGGAGTAGCATTTTTAGGAGGCATAGAAGTGAGGGTAGTGATGGTGGAGCCAAGGGTGCCTGAATAATGTAATGTAGCAGTGGCAGTTTTGTTGTCAACTGCAATAGGAGCATCCATGAAAGGAGAGGCTGCAATCAAGTATTTGCCGCTTGCATGGTTGGTTGTTAGAAGTACATTTGTGGTTTGGCCAGGTGCTATGACTATGGTATCAGTTTTAAAAGGTTTTGTGTAGGTTGCATCAACCTCAACAACAGTGAGTTCATGGCCAGCAATCCTAAAGAAGAGTTCTTCATTGAGGGCAGCATTGATGATTCTTAGCAAGTAGGTGTTTCCTTGTTGAACTTGGAATTTAAATCCTCCTATACACAAAGAAAAATTGAAAAATACTAGTTAGTCTTGTGTCAGGAGAAAATAAATGAAAAGTTTTAAATTTTTTTGTTCTTTGGCTTTAACTACATATGAAAACTTGTTAATGTCAATTTTTTAGACACTTTGACTCTTGGTCTATTTGCATTAGAGTTTGGTTCCTCACCTTGTGAAGCACAACCTTGAACAGATCCTGGATGGCCATTAATTGTGTGAGCATCCGAGACATTAGGAGCCAAACCAGATTTTAAAGCTTCATTTATAATAGCTTCAGTGTCTGATTTCCACCATTCACCTGAATCAAATTGAGATATTGTAAGAATTGTGAAATATACTTTCTATTCTATTAGAATAATTAATCAAGGTTAAAGGAAAATGTTCATTATGATTTTTTTTTTAAATTCATTATTAAAACTAGGAAAGTGAAATATTTAGCTACATGTAAAAAAATTAAAACAGTAGAACTTACTCAATATGATAACCTGTTCCATATTTGGTTTGGGAAAAGGGTAAAGAACTCCAAGCTTGGGTAATATGACCAAGGCGCCATGGAGAGTGGCCCTGAGCCAGAGGATATGTGCATGCCACCATAATGTACCTCTTTGGCCCGTAAGGGTAAAGTTGTACACATAATTTTGGCCTGGTTGAATTGGGCACTGGGTAATGTATGCTGGCCCATCAGCCCAACCTGTTCTCAATTGTCTGATTCCATGCCTGTTCAAATAATTAATTTAATAGTTGACCCAAAAAAATTAATTAATTTAATAATTTTTATAAAAAAGTAATAAAACAATAGCAAAAAATATTGAGATATGAGTGATAAGAAACTCTAGCACCCTTACCAATGGATGCTAACATTGTATTTGACATGGTTGACCACCTTAACAAGAACAGTGTCATCTTCCCTAGCATAAATTGTAGGACCTGGGAACTTTCCATTTATGGTGACAATGGGCTTGGTTGAGCACAATCTTGTGGCATTCTTCAGCACCACCTGTGCATAACATCAACCAATTAATAGCCATTATTCAGGAATTTCAAGTTGATTTGTTGCACCAATCTTGATCAATACGAAGAAAAAAAGTGTAATTACGACTTTACAAACATCTACTAATTTAAATGCTTTGGCTTCTCAACTATTCCACACCTAATTGAACAAGAAAGGTAAATTCTATAGTAGCTCTATATTTAAGGGACATCGATACTTAATATGAAGTTATTGTAAAAAATTGAATTCAATCTCGTAAAATCCTTTTATAAGTATAAAATTTGTTACATATTAATACTAACTTTAGTTTATTTATAAAGTAATTTTAATATATACACATGACAAGTTTTTATTAATTCAAATAAAAAGATATTGATACTTCTATCAGACAGCAAAGTGCTGAAATGATCACCTCGAGTCAATTAGAAAGATTTTTACAACTTAGGTCTCGTCGCTTAACCATTCTAGTTGTGGTTGTACTAATAATGTAGTGTAACTTTAATGTTTTTGCCAAAACATGTATAAAAAATGAATGTTACCTACTGGAAATCAAATCATGTACCTACCTATCATCGAATTTTTAGTAAATATGTCGATTGAAGCAATAAAATGTTCGGATTAAAACATAGAAATAATGATCCAACCACCAAAAAATAAAATCCAATATGTATAATTTGCCTCCATGTAGGTGTGTGTCATTTCAGTTGATGAACATGGCAACTAAAGAAAGTTCTGTCACCAGCTTTTTGTCAAGAGAAATTCATTTATCAGAAACTGGCCCCGGTCGGGTTTAGGAAAGGGAAAGCGTTTAATCATTACAAGGGTCATTGTTGGCTTCTTACATCTCTCATGAGATTAACATTGATTAGATTGTTAATTAAGGTTTCAAAAACTTTAATTTATTGTAATGACAACAGTAATTGAAAAGGACTAACATTAACTACCTCTGTGGAAGCTCAAACTAAAATTTCTAACATTGGTGGTTGAACTATTATATTCATCAATAATAATAGCTCTAGCTCACAGCAGTCAAATATATGACTGATGGTAGAAGTAGTTAATATTTTTAGATGCGAACGTTAATTACAATTAGTTGTTAGTATTTCACAAAATTAATAAACATTTTCAACATTCGGTGCACTGTTAGCTACATCACCCAAATTATAATCCCATTTCAAATATATACTAGCCAGATTAGTCAAAATTTACTCATCCAAAACTCTTAAAATTAAGAAAGTTGATGCTATGGTAATTACTGTTGCATTTGAACGATGGTGCTGTTTAATTGTTAAAATCCAATTTAAAACTCTTGACATGCAACGATTACAACTAAGTGGAAGAGAAAAAGGTAAACAAATCTTCAATGCATGCTTTTACATGAAAAGTAGATTAATAGAAAATAAATGAACAAAAGAAAACAAGCTTAAATATGTTAACACATGGCTTGAAAATCAATAAGTGACAAACTCTTAGTTAATCACGTGATTATTAAAAACCAAAAGTGTTAAATTTAAAAAATTACAGCCTAAAATAAAAATAAGCACTAAAATTAAAATCTTATAAAAAAAAATATAGGCTAACTACATATTTAAGCATAAAAAGACATATACGATATTCATTTTGATCTTATGAAAGTTTCATTTCATTTCATATTTCTTCATCTCTCATTTTCCAATGATATAAACTTAGCAAACTTCATTATTTTATATGCTTTGCATGAGTGGCATGATAAAATGTAAATAATATAACAATGCACCTACATTGAACTTGTAGTGGCGAACCATAGCTTCCACAGATAGTGGAAACAAGCAAGCTGCAAGCAGTAGCATAATTCGAATCCCTGAAGCTGCCATAGCCACCCCTTTTGAGCTCTCTATTCAAATAGCTTCTTCTTTGCTGGGTAGCCACTCTCTTGAATACACTGCAAGAGACAGAGCAAGAAGGACAACCTTATAAAGAGGCACTCTCTGCTGTAATGTCCCTTTTAATTAGTTGGTAGAAGGAATACTTAAGAGTTAAGATGTAAGGTCTATATATTATAAAGTGCAAATAACTCAAAATAATAATAATAAACACCAAAACACTATCACAAATTACTGTTATTTATTTTTCTTGTGTATTACATAAAGTAGTATCCATCAACCAGAACACATTTTGAAGCTAAGCTAGTTGAGTTTCTGGGGTGTGATGTCTATTTTTTCTATTCCTTTCTACTACAATAAGTGGTCCAATTCAGATGCTGGGTTTGGTCCACCCATTTAGGGTAAAGTACAACGATTCTCAACAAACATGTACCAATTGATGAAATGGACACACATTTTTACACCTTATTCTACTATACGGCTTTACAAATTAAGAATATGTATAGCACCTTAAGTACACATAACGTAGCTTCTAGTTAATCATTGGAAATTTCGGCAATTGGTTCCAAAAAGTAATTAGAAATGAATCATATCATATATTATACATTTTGAATGGTATTTGACTAAGTTCATTTGTATTTTAGTTAATAAGAATGTGAGTACTGAACATTTAATTCCAGACCACTTGATTAAAGAATTTTGATGCCCATTATTAGTTTTCTCAAAAACCCAACTCTTAGGACTTTAAAAATGATAATTTAATACCTATGATTATCACAAACACAGACACACATAACTATAATATGTATTAATGTATGTATATGTTACTCTATGTGACAAATTTTCAAAGGTGTTTTGGCGTTGAAGGAGGGCATGCATGAGATGTTATGTTAGTCCAACAGAGTTATATTGGTGAAGAATGGTTTTCAGTAACTGTTGAGTGTAGACAGTGGCAGATTACATCAAAGAAGTTTCTTCTTGAAGGCTAAAGATTATAGGAGTGGTTGGCAATTCATCTCATTGAGCCAATATTTTTCATGTACACCACTTTTTAACTGGTTTTTTATGCACATTTAACTCACTACCTACTCATGTTGTTCATGTACACTAATTATATATTTTATTGCCTTTCTAACTCACTACCTACTCATGTCTCTTTTACCCAGTCAGAGCCTAGTTTGATATATATTTTATAGTGCCAAAAATGTTAATATATACATTCTTTAAAAGTAATTCAAATTAAATGAGATTCTTCAAATAATGTAGGTCATATTCCTTTTTCAAAAAGTCTTATTCATAATTTATAAATCTTGTTTGATTTCAATCAATAATATTTTTTTTAAAAAAAATATGTTACTAATATTTTTCTTATTAATTATACCTAATTGTTGGTTCACAAAAGTGAGGCTACTTTTTAATATTATTTATCACGCAATCTGTAATGTATGAGATTGAGTTTAAGGTTACAATCTTAGCCTATAAATTTATTACCAAAAGTGGATCGCCATTCATGTGTAAAGATAAGGGGCTGTTCAGGAACGTCTTTCTATTTTTATTTTTCACTTTTATTTACAAACTTATTACCCTTTTTATTTTATTTCATAAATTTATAAAAAAATAGTAAAAATAGAAAACCAATATTTTTTACTGTTTTTTTTTTTTACAAATCTTTGAAAATAAAAAATAAAATGATAATTTTGCAACTAAAAGAGTAAAAATATTTTCTAAAACAAAACAGTTTCTAAAATTCTCTAAATTAATTTGATTTGTTTTGAGAATTTGGATTACTAGTTACTTATTGTGTTCAAAAATTCATTTATGTTCAATAAATTAAACTACAATACGTTTTATTTTTAGAAGAATAAAATTGATTTTTCAAAAAATAGAAAGAAACACAATATAATTTAAATACGAGAGAGAAGTATTCTTTATCTTTCTTTTTTTTCCTTGCAACTCACTTGAATATCAAATTTTGGATGTTAGTTCTTAAGTAAATTAAATCAACGACATATATAAAATTAGTTCTTAAGTAAAGTTCAATATAATAAACTAAAATGACATATTTCCATTCAATTGGCTTGAATGTTTTGGTGCTTGAATTGTTTCATCAACTTTAACTTTTATTTGATTCAACTTGTTTATGCTTACAAGAACTACAACCTTGCTTAAAAAAAAAAAAACTCAAAAGAGCAAACAACACAAAATTGTAACAAGAAGAACAAGAGTTTAAACCTCTAGTTTGATTAATTATAAGCTTAAATATATTTTTATTTATTTTTCTTATTTAAAATATTTTTGTTAGTTTTAATTCTCATAAATTTAAAAGATTTTAGGAAAAATCTCTACATATAATAATGTAACATTTTGATAATCATGTAACTTTACAATGATCACTAAGTCTCATGTTATTTAATGATAATAAGAATTATTTTTTAAAAATAAATTATAAATTCTGAAATTAATGATTTTTTTCAAAGGATCAAAACTAAATAAATTCATGTTAGTATGAGTTACATTTATCATACATTATATAAAATTAATATATGGACAGAAATTTTTTGCAGTTTTGTTGCATTTTTTGCACTTCTATTTAAGCGTTTAGTTTAAACGAAAGTGCAAAAAAAAACACTAATTATAGTGTAATTGTTGTAAAAAATTTTGATCTCTTAATATATAAGATTGAGCCTAGCAGAAGTTAGCAATAATAATTACGTGAATGTGGTATTTTCAGTAAAATATCTATTTTAAAGAAATATTAACCACATCCTTTTTTATAAATTATTTAACTCTTATTTCTTTTTACTTATAAATTAATTTTTTTCATATGATTAATAGTTAAAAATATATTAAAAAGAGTATATTAAATAATATATTACTAATATCCTACAGAATTAAACAACTATTCTACCTAAAAGCTATTATTCCAATCACATGGTTAAGCTTCTATACTATTATTTAGTTTTCCACTTGCTATTTACTAACATTACCAATTCTCGATGAAGATAAATAAAATACACTCTGGAGATTTTTGTAATAAGGTTTTCTCTGGTAGTCACCACATGACATTTCACTACTTTATATTATTTAATGTGTAAATATTTTTTCCTTGAATCATCACTTAGGGCAAAAAAAGAGAGGGGGTTGCTTGTGATAATATAAATATTTTTATATTATCAATTAATTATAATATATAATAGGTATAATCTTTAAGTTAATTATTATAAAAGTCAATAATTCTCATTAATTCGTCAATCCATGGTTGTATATGATGGTATAATATACTATCAATTATTCAATTCTTTTCAATTAAATTATATAATTTTTTTTATTGTGATGATTTTATGGATTTTTTTAACATGTATTCAAGTATACAATAAAAAATTAATAAATTTTATTAAAAATTATAATATTTAATACTATTAAGATATTAGATCTTATGATATCATATCGTTTTTAATAAAAAAATTATTTACTTAAAGCCCCACAAAAAATATTTTTATGAGTTACTACCATTCTTGAGTGTATGTTGTGCCTGTTTGTATAGATTTAAAAATATGTTCCGGTGACCAAGTGATTCTTAGCAAAGATTCTTAAGGAATTTTTGCCTGACACTGAAATTTGAAGCTTGTCTAGATGTTTCTTGTTTTTATGTCATCTTTTCATTGTTTAAAAAAAAGGTTTATTCATAATCTTTTCATTAATTATTGATAATCTGCAAGTTGCCTACACTTTCCAGTTGTATGCACACTCATTTTGAATGATTCACAATAATTATTCTGTTAAGAATGTTTAAACATTGACTTACTGAAAAAAAATGTTTTAGCATTGACCCTATTCTTCAAACAAACAATTCAATCTTTGTATAATTCTTTGTCTAGGATTAAATAAAGTATATTCTCTCTCATTTAATAATGAGTAATTTTTACTGTATTCTCTCTCAATTTTTAATTTTTTTTTGGTGCAGTCTTTCAAAGAACTTGTATTGTTTCAAACTCTTTCAACTTTTAAAGTTAAGTTCTCTTCCAACTAGTTATAATTTTCTTTAAAAAATAATTTAAATTTAAAAGAACCCCTAAATTAAAGTATATAAAATACTCATCAATTATAGATAATTTACTGTGTAAGTAATTTTTCAATACGATATATAAAAGGTTTTCAAAACTTTCTTAAATAAGGTGGGGTTGGATTTTTTATCTCTCTTTGGTAATTTGTATAATCGAGAGACGTCTGTTTTAGTTTTTTCATTAAACTTTAAAATTTTTTTATGCACTTATCTAAGCTTTTTTTAAAAAAAATAAACCTAAGAAAAATAAATTTATTATTATTTAAAATTCGGAAAATATAATTTAATTTAATTTTTTATAATTATAAACAAACAAAAACTCTTATTTTTATAAAAGTTTTTATAAAAAATATTTTTATGCATTCTTAAAATCATTTTATTTTAAGTTTAAACAAACACTCCCTAGCTAGATACACTAAAATTACATGGATTTTTATCCTTAAAAAAACTATTAATCCCAACCATGCACAAAAGAGCAACTATTTAAGTTGGTAGTGGTACCAATCGTTTTAGTCGATCACAAGTGTGTATACGTCTTTATTCATTACATATTGCTGCATGATGCTTCCTTAAGTTGCCAACTTTAAGGTTAGAGATGCTCTTTGATTCCATTTTGTGCTTAGTTGTATCATAATTTGGGTTTTATCTTTTTAAATTTTGACTATGGTTTTCAGTGTCTCACTTTTTTGTTATATTTACTTCTACTGATCTATAGACGCATTTATTTCAATCTTGAAACTTTCTATAATTCTCAAAAACTGCATTCTTTTTAAAGGGAGAAAGAATTATACATATAACTATCAAAATCAAAAATTGGTTTCTGGAATCTTGTTCTTTTGCCTAAGACATCGGTTTCAGAAAACGTTTTTTTTTTAATTACAAAATGCTACATTATTGTTTTAAAAAGTTTATGCAAGGAACATGAAACAATACAAATCTTTAAGAATAGAAACAGATTAAAGTAAGGTGAGATTTTTGTAACATAAAAAGTGAAAAAAAATATATTTTAAAAAGCCAAACAGTTTTTTTTCTTCTTGAACTGAGTCCAATTTTGACCTTGATGAAATGTTTCTGTTTGTCTCTTAGTGTTCTAGTTTATCAATTTCTGTGTTGCTTGGTTGCTTGTCATTGCAAAGGTAAGTGACCAGTGTGTACTGTACAAGTTTTGAATTACAATGGCAGAGGTTGATGTTTACACAAAAGATGGAACAGTAGATTACCTTGGAAATCCAGCTAATAAAAAGAAAACAGGAACCTGGAGAGCTTGCCCCTTTATCTTAGGTAATTTTGGTGTTTGTTCAATTCCAAATATACTTGTTATATGTGTGTGTGTGTGTGTGTTTATGAACTATGAAATGTGATCATTCCAAGCTTCAATTTACAGGGAATGAATGTTGTGAGAGATTGGCTTTTTATGGGATGAGCACAAATCTGGTGCTTTATTTTAAGGATTGGCTAGGTCAGCATAGTGCTGCTGCTTCCAACAATGTCAATAATTGGAGTGGAACATGCTACATCACACCATTGATTGGAGCATTTGTGGCGGATTCCTATCTTGGAAGATTTTGGACCATTGCTTCTTTCTCAATAATCTATGTTATTGTGAGTATGGTCTCTTCATTCTTTACTTGATTACAAGCTTGTACTAAAGGGATGTGTATAATTTTGGAGCTACAATAGCAATCACTGAAACTGAGGAATTGCTGAAAGTTATCTTTGTAGCATAAACATTAATTTGAGATTTGGTATGGATTCCAAATAAATCAAGTAGAATGAAGAAAGAAAACCCCACAACCCCTCATCCCTTATAAGAAGTTTCACAATATATGATGTGAAATGAATCCAATGTAGTTATTAAAACTAGATCAATCAAACCCATGTGACTGGAAATTAGTCATGTCCATATCTGAGTAACCCAAGAAACTGATGGAACAAAAGCTGTTAAAAAAACCAAGCAAAATCAAGAATCAATGTTATAAAATTGGTTTGAATAGTTTTTCTAATATTTTTTAAATATTTATTAAGAATTTACACATTTTTAAATAAATAAAGGCATGAGTATGAGAACAAGGAATGAATTACTATTACATAACTATTTATTAGATTTTTTTTTTAATTTTGTAGGACATGTAAATAATCATATCATGCTACTTTAAAGTTAAACCTGTCATAATTTTTTATAATTTCATCTCTTATGATATATTATTTCAAATTTAACCTAAGTTGAACTAATGAACCATAAATTAATTCTTTCGCTGGTTTAATAAACGATACAATTTTAAAAGCATTGCAATTAATAGTACAATCATGTGTGCAAACTGGTTCAATTTTTTATCAAATTATATCTTCTACCCTGTTAAGCAACATCTAAAAGGCATTCAAGTTGATGAACAACAGGGAATGACACTCCTGACATTGTCAGCATCAGTTTCTGGCATGAAACCAACATGTCACGGGCATGGAGATGAAAATTGCCATGCTACTAATGGACAAAGTGCAGTGTGCTTCGTAGCTCTTTATCTTATTGCTCTTGGCACTGGTGGAATTAAACCTTGTGTTTCATCCTATGGAGCGGATCAATTTGATGATGCTGACCCTGTTGAGCAGCAACACAAGAGTTCTTTCTTCAACTGGTTCTATTTCTCAATCAACATTGGCGCTCTTATTGCTTCTTCTCTATTGGTGTGGATACAAGATAATGTGGGTTGGGGATGGGGCTTTGGCATACCAGCTGTTGCAATGGCAATTTCATTGGTGAGTTTCTTTTTAGGCATAAGGTTGTATAGGAATCAGAAGCCTGGAGGAAGCCCCCTCACTCGTATATGTCTAGTAGTTGTGTCATCTATAAGAAAGTATAATGTTGATGTACCGGTTGATAAGTCTCTTTTATATGAGATTGCTAACACTGAGTCTACTATCAAAGGAAGCAGAAAACTTGACCACACAGATGAGTTAAGGTAAGACAATGGCAACAAATTTGTAGATGACCACTTTGTACTATTGTTTACTTTATGCTTTCATGTCACTTCACATGCTATCATATCAAAATATGATAACCATATGATCACTAGTTTTTCAATTGTTCAATAAGAGTGTTAATTACAGTGGAAAAATCAGTAGGGCTATTTTTGTTTTTTAGTTAAAGTGACTCGATGTTGGATCTACAATAAACTCTGAAATAAGGTGAAGATTGTTTTAACTTCAGTAAGTTTTATTTTAGCCGTATCTGTGATCGATGTAGGATTTCTACCATATTAAAGAAGGTCGGTCACAAGTGTTTCTTAAATCTTATCTAATTTTCAAATTTTTATTCACTTTCTTATTGTATGTAACAGATTTTTTGACAAAGCAGCAGTGCCAGGACAATATGATGATCTTAAGGGCCCAATAAACCCATGGAGACTTTGCACTGTAACTCAAGTGGAAGAGCTGAAATCCATTTTAAGATTGCTTCCTGTATGGGCTACTGGCATTATATTTGCCACTGTCTATGGTCAGATGAGCACCTTATTTGTGTTGCAAGGGGAAACCATGGATACTCATGTTGGCAACTCTAACTTCAAAATTCCACCAGCTGCACTTTCAATCTTTGACACCCTTAGTGTCATATTTTGGGTCCCAGTGTATGATTGGATCATTGTGCCAATTGCTAGAAAGTTCACCGGGCACAAAAATGGCCTAACTCAGCTTCAGAGAATGGGAATTGGCCTCTTCATATCCATATTTTCAATGGTAGCTGCAGCAATATTGGAGCTCATAAGACTTAGAATGGTGAGGAGGCACAATTACTATCAACTTGAGGAGATACCCTTGTCAATATTTTGGCAGGTTCCTCAGTATTTCATTATAGGTTGTGCAGAAGTGTTCACATTTGTTGGTCAATTGGAATTTTTCTATGAGCAAGCCCCTGATGCCATTAGGAGTCTGTGTTCTGCTCTCTCACTAGTCACTGTTGCACTTGGCCAGTACTTGAGCTCTCTACTTGTGACAATTGTGACCAAGATCAGTACTAAAAATGGAAGTCCTGGTTGGATACCTGACAATCTAAATTATGGTCACATAGATTATTTCTTCTGGCTATTGGCAGTGCTAAGTGTTGTGAATTTGATAGCATACATTCTATACATATAAGAGACCAGTGGGAACTCTGAGCTAAAAGTGGGTTGAGTTGTACAATGGAACTTTCATTATTGATGCTTCATAAGTCTCGTTTTTCATATTTGGTTACTTTTACTATTTCATTGTAATCTCTATGTCAAATTCTTGAAGCTTTTCAAAATCAATGCTATATCTAAGTGCACTTTTACCTTTTTTGTCATCGATCAAAATAATTTCACTTGTTTGTATTTTCACTTTAAGATGCTTGCTTTGCCTACTACCATCCTTTCCGGGCTCTTCCTCTCTTTGCAATTGGTTTTGGGCTTAGCACATTTAACAAGGCATGCCTCCATATTAGGCTGAACTTGTAATGCTGCAAAATTTTATTGAGTTAGCATGCCTAATTTTTTACTGTGTAGTCATTATATATTATTATAATGCTCTTGATATTTAAGCAGTTTTTTTATTATACGTGTAGTTAGAGTTGATAATTTATAATTTTATTTTATTTTAATATGTAATATTATTTTATATTTTCTCTCACTTAAATACAGCATAAATCTACCTTTTATATTTAAATAAAATGAATCACTCTGCAATAAAAAAGTCAAAATAAATCAAGTGAAAAGTCTAAAATTAATTTAAATCTAAAACATAAACCTTAACGAAATGTTTTGAGGCTAAAAGTAGAGGTTGGAAAAAGAAATTGAACAATAAAATTGGTATAATAAGAAGAACGAAACAAAACATTAACCGTTTGTGTTCGATGGAAAGAAAGTCTTCATCTGGTTTTGCATTAATTTGCATAAATAGGTTTATAAAATGTTATGGTGGCCAAGTGACTCTCAGCAAAGAATCTTCAGAATCTTCTCTCTTGTAAACCTTTCCTTGAATTTTGAAGCTTCTCCATGTTGGTTTGTCGTTTTTGCGTCATCCAATTCTTTATTCATATTGTGTTCACACTTTCCAAATTGTCGTCTACTATATGTAGCCAACAACACACACAAGACTATGTTTTTAGCATTTACCCTATTCAGCAAACAATTCAATTTTTTTTTATATATTTTTATATTTAAATTAAAGTATATTCATTTAAATAGTGAACCAAATGTGTATTATATATTCTATCCCAACAAAATGATTGGTATTGTTTTTTGTTTTTCAACTTTAGAGTCAAAGTTTCTTTTAACCGGTTATATATATTTTAGTAAATACATAAATTAATCTTTGAAAGTGTATTTTATTTAATTTTAATTTTATAAATTTTATTTTGTATAATTTTTTAATCTATTAACTTACTCATTTTAATATCTTTTTAGAAACTATATAGTTTTCAAAAATGTTGGTACGTGCAATTTGGTCTAGAAATGCTAATTTTATTTATAATTTGCTCTTATTTTATTTACAATTTTATAAAAAAAATAATTAAAATATTTTTATTAATTTGGACGACATGTATCTTCTACCGAATATAATTCTATTCGGAGCAATTATATATTTAAATATGAATAAGTTAATACAATAAAATAAATTATATAGACTAAAATTTTTAGTAATAATTAGTAAACAATATATTTTTCCAAAAATCAAATTATATATTTAGTATCTGTTTATTTTTTTTTAGTAAGTCAACAATACGAAATTTTAGAATTTTAAATCAATGGTGAACACAAATTTCAAGACATTTTATATGGTTTCAAATTTTTTTTCCAATAATCGATTCTAATGCTTTTCAACGACAAACGAATTAGAGCCTTACTTTATTTTTCTTTATGATAAATAAATAAATTTATATATAAAATACTCACTAGTTATGGATTATTTTACATACTCTTCATGTATTTTTTTTTTTTATGAATTATATTACTTAGTAACGATTTTTTATAATATTATTTTTAAATTTTTTTTATTGCATCACACATTTGTTTATTCTTTCTATTTTTTAACACTAATATTATACAAAATTAAATACAAACGCAATGCGTCACTTGTAAGTGTGAATCTCCATCTCATTAATTATTGGTTGATGTGATAATTGATTATCTTACATAAGCATTACGTTATTTTCAAATAACCTATAATTATTTATAAGGATGTTCACATTATTGATAGTGCCCATCACCATCATTAGTTTGCAAGTTCTTTCTTTTACTCAAACACATGACAAATCAACGTCAAATTAAATTTCATGTACTCTTATAAAATAACTTTTATTTTTAAAATGATTTTATATTATTATGTATTCATATTAATTGTGATTTTTTTTTAACCTTTTCATGAGTATAAATCACGATAACAGTGATTATCATTAAAAATCCTTCGACCAATAATCCCTTATCTAAGACGTGTCTAGCAATTTTATATCAAAGTAACTCATTTTTAATATCATATAAAAAAGAAATTTTTAAGCTTACTCTTTAATTAACAATTAATAATACCAACATTTCATTAAAAATGTTAATTACATTTTAAAAACTTTAATATAATAAATATATTTTTTAATAAAAAATTACTACTTTTAAATTATTAAACTAACAAAATTCTACAAAGAAAATGATGATTTACACATGTATAAATGATTTCAAAGTCGATGGATTTGTGTTCTCATTAATTAACTATTTGTGTTGGACAATTAATAAAAAGCTTATCCAAAAGAAAGTCTCCATTCACAGCCAATCAAAACTCTAAGCATGTGCCCAATTTTTCCTTTGAAAGCTAAATTATATAGTGGGAAATCTGCTTTGGCTTTTGGCACCGCTTTAAGTTCCCCCTATTGTACACTGACCCACCTCACACTTACGTAGTCAAACTAAAAACAAATTTCCAAAATTTCCAATTATCATTTTTATTCATTTTCTATTTTTCATAAGAGATCTAAGATATTGTTAGGTGCAAAAATAGTTAATTATGACTGAGCAATCAAAATTCAAAACGAAAAAACTCTATCTGACCAAAATTGTAGAATTTAAGGTCCAATTCTGTTTAATTTTCTGTGTGCTATGAACTTGGCAACAGAAAGAGGGTAAATCCCAAAATCATAGGTCAAATATTATATGCACCATTCTTTATTCACACTGCATGTGAGACTAGTCAACAGTCTCAAACTAGGATTACCTTGTGGTATATATCCAAGAGAATTAAGGTTAGACTAAAAAGCAAGTACCCATCTTTTAGTCCATCACAAGTGTGTGTATATATATATATTACATCAATATTACTCATCACACCTTGCTGGGCGATGCTTGTGTTAGTTGCCAACTTTAAGGTAAGGTCAGAGATGCACTTTCTTTTATTTCATTATGTGCTTTTGTGTTCTGATTTGGAGTTTATCTTTCTGGGATTTTTCCATTCATGTATTTGAATCTTGAATCTTTCTCCTATTCTTGAATAAACTGTCTTCTTTTTTAAGGAATTGAATGACTAAACATTTGAATCAGAAACTGACTTCTGCAGTTGTTTTGCCTAGGGCATCAGTTTCAGCAAAGTTTTGTGGCTTGATTATAACTGAAATTGCTCAAAAGAAGTGTTTTTTTTTTTTTTTTTTTTCCTTTTTCTTTAACTGAGTCCACTTTTGAATTTATATGACTTGTTCCTTTTTGTCAAAACAGAAGAGTAATCTGTTGTTTTCGTTCTTGGTGTTTTACCCTGTCAAGTTTTGTGCTGCTTGGTTGGTTGCAATCGCAAGTCAATAATAGGCCGCTGTGTACAGTTTTGAATCACAATGGCAGAAGACGATGTTTACACCAAAGATGGAACTGTTGATTGGCGTGGAAATCCAGCTGACAAAAACGAAACTGGAACCTGGAGAGCCTGCCCCTTTATCTTAGGTAATTCTGGTGTTATTTTAAGTCCAACTATAGTTGTTGAGATATATATGAATTATGAAATGCTTATCATTTCTAGCTTTATTTTATAGGAAATGAATGTTGTGAGAGATTGGCTTATTATGGGATGAGCACAAACTTGGTGCTTTATTTTAAGAAACGGCTACATCAGCATAGTGCTACTGCTTCCAAGAATGTCTCCAATTGGAGTGGAACATGCTACATCACTCCATTGATTGGAGCATTTTTGGCTGATTCCTACCTTGGAAGATATTGGACCATTGCCTGCTTTTCAATAATCTATGTTATTGTGAGTATTTTGTCTTCGGTTTGTTACTTTTGCTGGAAAGAAAATGTTAACATCAAGGCTGAGGATAAGCAATTAAAAGTAATAAATTATTACTGAAAAAGAAAATATTTATCATCTTAAAAAATACAATAAATATTATGTTTTTAATAAATAATAATAATACTATTTTTCTCAATTCTAAAATTAAGGTTAACAAAACCCTTGCTAGAAAAGGGATATGGTTTTGGATTGTTGAAATTTCCATATAGCTTAACATATCAGTTAGAGATGTAGTATTGATTCCAAATAAATTTATTTGAAAAGAAACAGCATCACCACGGCCCCCAAAAAATGTTCCAGAATTTATGCTGCGAAGTCAATCAACGTTACGATAATGTGTGCAAACTGGCCAAACTTTTTCTTAATCAAATTAAATCTTCTGGCCTGTTAAACAACATCTAAAAGGTAATCTTGTTGATGAACAACAGGGAATGACACTTTTGACAATGTCAGCATCAGTTTCTGGCATGAAACCAACATGTCATGGGCATGGAGATGAAAATTGCCATCCTACTACTCTACAAAGTGCAATGTGCTTCCTAGCTCTTTACCTGATTGCTCTTGGCACCGGTGGGATTAAGCCTTGTGTTTCATCCTATGGTGCTGACCAGTTTGATGATGCTGATCCGGTTGAGAAGGAACGCAAGAGTTTTTTCTTCAATTGGTTCTATTTCTCAATCAACATTGGGGCTCTTATCGCTTCTTCTCTATTGGTGTGGATACAAGATAATGTGGGTTGGGGGTGGGGCTTTGGCATTCCTGCTGTTGCTATGGCAATTGCAGTGGTGAGTTTCTTTTCAGGCACTAGATTGTATCGGAATCAGAAGCCTGGGGGCAGCTCCCTCACACGTATCTGTCAGGTGGTGGTGGCATCAACGAGAAAATACCATGTTGAAGTACCTGCCGATAAGTCTCTTTTACATGAGGTTGCTGACACTGAGTCTGCTATCAAAGGAAGCAGAAAACTTGACCACACAAATGAGTTAAGGTAAATTAAGCAAAGGCAACAAAATTCTAGATGACCAATTAATTTTTTTTGTTACTCAGCATCAGAAGCAAGCTTGATGTCACACTTGCATTATATTGTATAGAGAGAGGCATGGATTTAGTCATCACTCATGCCATTTCACATGCTATCATATAATATATGACAATGTCATGATCACTAGTTTTCAATTTTCCTTGCAAATTATAGAAGGGCTGTCCCAAGTGTTTCTTTTGATCTATTCTACATTAGCCTATCATCTTATCGAATTTTTATTCACTTTCTTATTGTGTGTAATAGATTTTTCGACAAAGCAGCAGTGGTAGGAGAATCAGATAATGTGAAGGACTCAGTAAATCCATGGAGACTTTGCACTGTAACTCAAGTGGAAGAACTGAAATCCATTTTAAGATTGCTTCCTGTGTGGGCCACGGGCATCATATTTGCTACTGTCTATGGTCAGATGAGCACCTTATTTGTGTTGCAAGGGCAAACCATGAACACCTATGTTGGAAACTCTAACTTTCAAATCCCACCAGCATCTCTATCAATCTTTGACACCCTTAGTGTCATATTTTGGGTCCCAGTGTATGATAGGATCATTGTACCATTTGCTAGAAAATTCAGTCGGCATAAAAATGGCCTAACTCAGCTTCAGAGAATGGGCATTGGCCTCTTCATATCCATATTTTCCATGGTGGCTGCGGCACTATTGGAGCTCATAAGACTTAGAATGGTGAGGAGGCACAATTACTATAAACTTGATGAGATTCCCATGTCAATATTTTGGCAGGTTCCTCAGTATTTCATTATAGGTTGTGCAGAAGTGTTCATGTTCATAGGTCAATTGGAGTTCTTCTATGAGCAAGCCCCTGATGCCATGAGAAGCTTCTGTTCAGCTCTACAACTAATCACTGTTGCACTTGGACAATACTTAAGCTCTCTACTTGTGACAATTGTGACCAAGATCACTACAAAAAATGGAAGTCCCGGATGGATACCTGATAATCTAAATTATGGTCACATAGATTATTTCTTCTGGCTATTGGCAGGGCTAAGTGTACTGAATTTGATGGCATACATTGGAGTGGCCATGATGTACACATATAAAAGACCTGTGGGAACTTTGCGCTGAAAATTGATTAGTGCGTTTTTGTAAACACGCTGAAAAACCTATAAATCCAAACTTGTGCTTGTACAATGGAAGTTTCATTATTCAGCAAATTGCAAGTTTCCTTCACAAATATTGTTTTTCATCTACACTATTAGATGTGGTCAATTTTATTTGTAATGTATGATCTCCATGTCAAATCTTTTAAGCTTATCAGAATCTTGTAAATTTCTTACTATCACCACTGTTTATAAACATTTGAGTTCTGTTAGCATTCTCTTTGCATGTTAGATCTTTTCATCAACATGCTTGCAATGCAGGAATCAAAGTTAACCTATGTTTGCTCCGTTTCATTTTTGTAAGTTAACTTGTCATGTGAACTTTTACCTTGATGTTTCCAACAAACAATGGTCGTATAAGGCATTGCCAAAGATGTCATAAAAAATTGAAAATCTGTAATATTCAATAAAAGGATAAAAAATATACTCACGAAAAATATCTTATGCATGTTGTGAGTCCTCTAAGATACTTAAAGCGGTACTTAAGCATTAATGAACTAATCTTTTGGGTTGAATTTTCTTTATATGTTTATGACAATTGGTGCTTTCATTGAGAGTTGGGCTACGAAAAGGCTTGCTTACGCACAATGTGCCGAATACTGATAGGTTAATGAGCTGCCAAACGGAAAACATTTCCTTCTTCCCACACAATCATTACTTCTAAAAGTATTTGATATATCATCAAATTATAAAAGTACTTTTTGTCAATAAATGTGTAAATAAATGTTCTTTTACTACAAAACAACAAAATATAACTTTATACATTAGTTATTTAGCATCACATTTGAGTTCAAATATGATTATTGGCAAATATATTATTAATGGGGTGTTTTTTTTCACAAACCGTAAAATTCAAATGTTATTTGAGTTTAATGGTGATCATATTTCTTTTTACTTAAAAATATTAGTAGTATATACTCTTTATCATCATTAGATAATTTTTTTTGAAAAAAATCATAAAAATTTGATGATCAACAATTTATCAAAATAAGTACATTAGATGATGTGTTACTAATTCTTCTCTTTTTCACTAAAATGTGAAATACATATTAGCAATGCGTTGACTTTTAAACGGGCTTTTGGGCTGGCCGAAAACCAGGTCTGGGCCCCGCTTCTGTGAGTAACGCTATGTGACGTTCCCATCGTGCTTCTCTGATAAGTTAGTTGTTAAATCCAAGTTTTCAACTATGAAGTTATCCCTGACAAAAAAAAAACTCTCTACCCTAAACTAGGACACTTCAAACTTGGATTTTTGCAATGTTCCCTAAGCGCTTTCGGGACCCGAAAACAGGTACCTTTCTAATGTGCAATATGTTGAACCATTTCAATAGAACCCAAGTTTTGCCTATCACGTGCTTGATGAAATGCCTGAAACAGAGACTCAAAAGTTTTCTTTTTGTTTCATTGCATTTTCTTTATACACTTATCTTCCAATGCAGGTTTTCATCTGCTGAGTTCAATGCATGCTAAGAAATACCTGAAGAATGTTGGGGTGGAAAGAGAGGACTACTACTTTTTGAAACAGGTTGGGAAGGCCTTACTTTGCACATACACCATAATGGGGGTTTTCTGGCTCTTCAAAGGGACTTCACCACTGGAGAAACTGGCTCCACGGCTGAAGGAGCATGAAGAAGCATTGAAGGAGTTCATTAGCAAGGGAGGGATGCTTGGAACCACTATTGGTCCAAAAGGGATGGTTGAGAATGATAAAGATACATGCAACTGCCAGAATGAGCTGCAGAACAAGAATCAGGAGGCTCAGAAGCTGTGGTTGCGGATGAGGAATGAGGTTGTTGCTGAACTTAAGGAGAAGGGCATTGATGTTGAATGACTGTAGGGTGTACAGTGAATGCCAATGTCACTCCCATGATATATGAACTGATTGTGTGGCTGTAATAGTAGATGTTACGAAAGTTGTGCATGCTGCATGGTAAATAAAGAAGTAGCATTATTTGTGTGTTAATGTTTGGTTAAACATTGAATGGTGATAAAAGGCATGTAATGATCAATCTACGCTTCTTTGTTGGTCCCATGTTAGTGTGTTTGCCCCAGCAAATTTCGGCCACACGAATTCTAGTAAGATGCAAGTTGACACACATCCGCTCCTTTTAGATCATTGATTTAACGAGATGGGAGAAAGATGAGAAGCAATATAATATCCTATTTTTTATTTAGGGAATTTCACTTAAAATTAATTTTCATTCCTGTAATACAATATTAAGGCTTAACCACTTTTTTTTCAATTCTAAGTTTATATAACACGAATAAGAGCATTTATATAATCTCGAAGCACAGAAATTTAATTTAAAATAAAGAAAAATATTGCATACTGGAAAAAGAAATTAGATTCGTGATAGTTACAGATCAGCAATTTACAAGTAGGTTTCTTTCATGCATCTATAACAATAGCATAGCTAAACCAAAAATTGGAGGGTAAAGCTTGCTCTGTGCTGAACAGGCTTTAAAAACATTACCTAAATCTTGCCCATATTTATGAGTTCCGTGCAATAAATTCTAGCAAAATCAATGGTGGTAAACTAGTTTACTCCTAGTAGTGTTGCAATCAGAAATTTACTATGCAATATTATCATACTATGAATGCTTTATTCTGCTACCAACATCATGAGAACAACTGCAACCAGAACAGTTATAGCTTTAAAATGCCTTGCAATCTAAAAACGTGATAGGCTTTTATCTCATGGACAAGAAACAATTACATTATACATGTCTTTACAACCAGAGTTCAACAGTTACAACTTTACTAGAAACTAGTCGTTGTTGAATTCATATCCTTTAAGCTACTCTTTCCAGACCTGCTTCGCCTATAGCTCTTCAGCGGGGTCAAATAGAACCTTAACAAACCAGTGTCAACATTATTTGGCGAACACCTAACATTCCTATTCCTCTGAAGCATAAACTTTGTTGTTCCATTCAAAGCATTGGCTTTGGTCTCAGGAGCCCCAAGACCGTTAACTAAACCTGCGATTCTACAACGATCTCCATCTGGACAACTAACACTATAGCTACGAATAAGCTTCTGGCTAACTGACTCATTCTTCCTTAGTTTCTGCCAAGATTCAGCAATTGGCTTATTAACCACATCACCAGCAACATGCTCTTCCTTTCTCCTCTGAACTAACCCTAATTTATTCCACAACCTACCCCACTTGTGAAACTTGTTCAACCCCTTTTGATCAACCCTAATTGCTACACCACCATTGGAAGCAGACCCCACTACACAATCAGATTGAACACCATTTAAAGGTTTAAAATTTGCATCCCTCAAATCATTCTCAGTGATCAACACCTTTGCTCCATAGAATAACTCAGTGGTGGCAGGAGAAACCTTAGCATTAGATATCACTCTCAATTCATCAACATCACCCATCACTGATTTTCTCCGAGAGTTTGATCTATCAAAACTCTTCCTCCGTCTATTCCAATCTGAATAGTAATGCTTTGTCTGAGCTGAACCACCAGGACAATGCTCTTCACCATTTCCCAATTTCACCTCTTCTTCCTCTTCCTCAACCAAAACCCTCTCATCAACATTAACCATTGGAGAAAAAACCCTAGGGTTTGTTCTTCCTATCAAATAACCATCCCAAGAAGCTCGAGGAGCATCGATCGAAAAACGTGAATCATCCAACGATAACCTCGGATCAGTGTCGCACGATCTTCTACCTAACGTTAATCCATATTCTCCAACCTCCGATTGTGTTTCCCTCGTTGTTCTTAACCCTTGCGTTGGTGTGCCATCGTCGTTGTTGCAGTTTCTCTTCAGCTTCTCTTTCCGTCTCCATTTCATCAATCTCTTGCTGAACACGGAAGCAAAACTCGCCGTGATGTCTCGGAAATCTCTCCCTGCGTTCTTCCTGCCGCGCAATTCGAGATCTATGAACTCCTTCATTGTCTTCGTCTCTTCGTCATCGTCGCCGCAAACCCTAACATCGTTCTCACCGATTCCAACGCCGGAGGTTCCCGAATGGATCGCGAGGTTCCGATTCGGAGGCTTCTTCTTCGTCTTCTTCTCGTCGTCGAGGGTGAAGAGGACCGACAGCGAGCCGCGTGGCGGAGCCGCGCGGACCTCACATGACCGGCGGCGGGGCTCGTGGACGGCGGAGGAGGAAGGAGCGTCGGGGACTTGGGCGGAGAAGGATTTGGTGCGGCGGAGCTCCGGCGAGGTGGAGGCAGCGGGGGAGGAATCGATGCTGGCGAGGCGTTCCCGGAGACAGGAAGCGCAGAAGCCGGTGATGGGTTTGGTTGGGTGACGGTGACAGGTAGCTAAACGATGCGTTTTGGAAGTCATGAGTGAGAGTGAGAGTGTGGTCGGACCATGTTAGTTGGAGCGAAAGTGAAGCCCACTTTTTATGACCATTCATTATACTTATATTCTCTACTCCTTCATAACATATTTCTTCTCACTTAATGTTCACATCTTTTAAAAATTTATTAGTTTAACTAATTATTATGCTAAAAATTATTGCATTAGTTAAGTGATGATTAATTTTAAATTATTTTAATTATTAGTTATCAAAACTATTTTTAATAAATACAAAATTTCAAGGAATAATTAATATGATATATATATATATATATATATATTCATTTTAGATACTGTAAAAATTTACTTAGAATGATCTGTGTAACCATACTATATAAAAAATAACTAAATTAATTAATGTAATCAAAATTATTATTATGGTCAATTTAAGGGTCAGTTATGTGAATTAAAATTATATTTACTAAGTCATGAATTTAAACTTTCATTTACCTTTGTAAAGTAAAATAAATATATTTTTTATAAATATTCTTTTAAATTTAATGGGTTTTATTTTCCTTTAGAACTACCATCTTCTCTTTCTTCTAAAAATTTTTGTAACAAAAAAATTATCTTCATGATGCATATGGATAATTGAGGTTTTAATGTCTCAAGTGAATGTAACTAGTATAGTACTAAAGCAGTAAACCGAGTTAGAACAGAAAATAAAGGAATAATTTTTTAAAGTTGGATATTTTTATTTTTTTTAAAGATTTTTAATTTCTTGCCAAAGTGACAATAAACATGGTTGAATAAAAAATAGAATCCATTTTCCTCATGTGGAATATTATTGTATTTTAATGAATCATTAGTAAATTTGAAAAGTACCAAAACTTCAAAGATTGTCATATCAGTGGCACTTTCATACCCATATTAGATCATCCGGTCTTATAATTCTTTTACTTTTTCTTTTGGTCAGGAATTCTTTTATTTTTTAAACTTATAAAGTACTGATAAAGTTTCCTTTTGAAAATACTTAATTAGAGGATAATGTCATCTAATAAAAAAGATAGTGTAATCTTAGATATAAGCACACTTATATGATAAAATTTTTAGAAAATAAAATCCTTCATTAGTTAGAAAATGTAATTGGCATATTATTGTTAAGTAATTGCAAAAGGAAAGGATTTCGATGTGAAATTAGGGGGACATCATTTGCACCATTGTTGTCTGCCATGCGTTGGAACGATGGTTGAATTGAATAAAGCCCAAAAGAAAGAAGATAAGAGAAGAACAAGAAAAAGTGCTACGAATTACGATTCATCAAACAAATCTACGAGGTTTCACATTTCCCAAACACCTTTTGCAAATTAAGATTATCGTAAATTGAGTCCTTAATGGTCCACTTGTCCTACACATGCACTCCTTCCTCAATTTATTGCTTTAAGATTAATTATACCATTATTTTCTTTTTTTCTTTTTTTACATTATGGGCATGTTTGAATAAGTTATAATTAATTAATTAAACATTCTCTACAAGTTAAAATTAACAAATGAGATTTTTTTAAAAGCTAAAGCAAATAATTTAATTTAATTGTTATATTTTTTATATATAACGAGAGAAATAGAAAGAGAATAAAAGAGACGGAAATAGATAAATAACATGATAGAAAAAATTAATATAAATATATTATTAAAAAAATATTGTAAAAATAGTATATCTCATGTTAAAATAATGATTATTTTCTGAAAACAAGCCAGTAACTTCATATAGTATAGTGTAATGTGCTTTTGATATTTATCAATGTTATTAAGTTCAAAAATATGTGAGAAGATTGTTTCATGTGTCATAATTAATTGTTATTAGAAAGAAAGAAAAGTAATGTTTAAGAAATAACACAAAAAGCAATAACATTCTTTTTGGTAAGTCATATTTGCACCATTTAACAATTTTTAATAAAAAAAAAACAGAGGGTGAACAAATATTTGAACAAATATTTTTAAAAAGAAAAGAAAATGCGAGATAATACTATTAACACACACACACCTAGCCTGAAATGCCAAAGATATAACTACAGAATATTTACTAGTTTTACAGTTTAAATATCAGGGAAACTTTGTTACATTCTCAAAAATGAAGTGAAAAAGATGAAATTGAACCAATGCAAAAGACATATAATAAATGACAGCATAATGCTCATGCTTTGAGCTGTTTCAGTGATGTTGTTTAAACAATTCTTATACACATAATGTGCAGAACTGCAACAGAGGGCCTAAGAGGCTCCACCTGAGTTGAACCAAACAAAAAGTTCAAGCTGGCTTAGATGTGGCTCGGTGGAGCCAGCCAAACTTGTCCACCTCACTTCTCTTTTGGTTTGTACTACTCAGAACAAACATACTGTTGATGGCAACATTGCACGTTATTGTTCTAGATTAATTTTGTAGTTATTATTATTTATGAAGACAAAATTTAAAATACAGTATTTTTAGTGTTTTTATGTTCTTTAATCAAAGTTAGAATTACTTGCATGATAAAGATCAACATTAAACATAAGTTTTAATTAGTGAAATACAACTATAAATTTAATTGGACAATAACACTTAAAGAACTTAAAAGTACTATAAATTAAGGAAAAGGAAGTGATTTCTATTGATCCAGGTTTGCACATAAGACAGCAATTCTAAACTTTATTAAAGTGGGTATATAATAGTGTTGGAGGTGTATTAATGCCTTCTTATAGATCAATTATTTGATCTTGAGAACAAGATGTTGGTTCTCCTGCAAAGGCTCTATGCATAGAGTCCCTCAAAAGTGATTTTGTTACTCTGGCTTCTGTTGCAAATAAATGGCTAGTTGGTTTAACCTCTTCACAACCCGACTGACACTGATTATTTTCTGATGGTATCAAGTCATCAAAACAACATATGGTTCTTTCCATGCTATCAGAAACTTATGAAGCCAAAATTAAAGTGAAATATAATTGATAAATAAACAAAACCGTAGTTTTTTTTTTCTTTTGGCAATTCAGTAAGTTGGACAACTTGTTAAATTCAAGACACAAACAGCACATGCTAATATGCTCACAGCCTGAGACTTGTACTTGGAAGTTATCTAAGACATTTCAAAACCTTTATGTTATCAACCTATGGCTTATCAATGCCTATTACCATACACAAAGCATCTTAAAAACTTTAAAGTATTTTTTCACTGGAGAAGAACTGCAGAAAAATTAGAGCCTTTGTCAAAGGGAGAAACAAGTATTTGATATTACAAAGAATTTACATGTCTATAATGAAAAACCAACACATCTGAAAACAATTTATAGAAGACTGATTTAGTGTATGGAAACATAAAATGGGGTATCCTAGAATTTATAATTGTTAAATTCAAAATCTTCTATTTCTGGCCATTGGTACCGGATTTTATGTGGACCGAGACTTTTTGCATATATGTCCAAATTTCCAATTCCCCCCACAGTTGTAGCAGAAGTTGCATCCACACCTGGAAAGATAAATTGAAGCAAGCACAATTTATTTTCCACACTTAACTATTATGATGTAAAAATAGATTGAAACTCAGAAGTTGTGAAAATGATCAATGATGCATAACACAACCTGCAAGTCATGTGTTCACAACCACCACGTCTTTGTACAAACATAGCACATTGGGGACATTTTTGCCACATTTTCCCTTTGGCCAACTTGAGAAACTTCTTATCCAACTCTTTTTCATCTCTACTCTTTTTCAGCCTTTGGTACTCCTTACAACTCCACCCTCCATGCCAAGGAACCCTACACTGTGCACAAAACAGCCTATGACAAGAAGGGCACTCAGCACTGATCACAACTTTTCCTCCATCATCCAACAACAAAACAGAACAATCTTTAAAGGGGCAATAAGTCTTCTCCGACCCAACAATCAAAGCCTCACATCTGGCAGTTTCCCATCTAACAATAACTTCTTTAGGCAAAATGGTATGCAAAAATTCAGGCTTTAATTCCATAGAACAATTTGGATTAGGACAATTGACCTTGAGAATATTTTGGTGTATTTGAGTAGCCACGTGTTTGGATATGCAGATTGTGCAAAAAGGGTGGTTACACTTACCTTGTTTGAACATATCAGACACTGGTTTGTGATCAAAACATATACCACAAAGGAATTGTGAGGGTTGACCAATCTTCTTTGCTTCAACAACATGATCGTGATCATGATCAAGGGGTGATTTTGTTTTCAACAAATTTTGGTACCCCATGAATTGCGCTTGAGCCATTATTTGTTGCTGGAACCAGTTCTTGATTAAATTGATTAACTTGTTGACTTGTTCCAACAGGGTAAAGAGAAGTTGGGGGCGGCTAGCACCTGGGTCTTGTTGCTCTTGTTCTGTTCTTGCTTGCATGTTTGCTTTGAAAAACATGGTAGTTAGGAATGGAGTTAGATTTTTGGTTAACGTTGTTTGTGAGTATGTAGAAGCTGAACTTCTTCCTCAATGTCAGCGATTTGCAAACTGGTCAACGTGCTTTTACCTCACAAATTCCGTCATCATCGCTTGCTTCTTCAACTTCCGTAGCCCTATTCAAACAAGGGTAAAGACTGATTTAATTTAAACTTTATGAATTTACAATGAACTTTAATTTGTCCTATTCGGCGTCAGCTAATGGGGCCAAGTTTTTCGAGCTAATATTTAGACTATCATGCTTTTGTTAAAAGAGAAAACCCATTTTACTGGGGAGATGGATAAGATATCCCTGCACAGTGCTATCTTGATACTATTCGGAACCATAAAAAAAAGGTCCAGTGGATCACAATTCCAAAAAAAAAGTATTTTGTTTTGGTTAAAATGTCAAGAATTAAAATGAATCACAACACACACATCACTACTTTTTTTACAGAAAATTATTATATTTATGCCTTAACTAAGAATATTATTCCAAAAATTTCCCCTTTTCTAATTATAAGATAATTATTTATAAGATATTATTGCACTTCTAAGGATCATTTCTCAGTCCCAAGTCTCCCACATTCTACTTGTTTACCTAACCTATCATACAAATAACAAAATTAACAACTAAACAGGAATATATTAATCTACTTATAATAGACTCTCTCCATGAACAAGGCCTTGCCTCCATGGCCATTTTTGAACCTCCAAAAACTAGGAAGCCTCTCATAGAAAATTTGGATACAGTTGTACGAGGAAATGAAGCTTTTGCCAAGTCGCATCTTTTGGACTGGTATGCTCCCACTAAACCAAAACCTCGGTAACTAGCATGTTTCCACATTTCTTCATTCTTCTGTCCAATATGGCCAATGGACGAGCCTGAAATTCCCCTTCCTCATCGCAAGAAAGCAACTATTGTGAAACTGGGTGGTTGCCTTGCCATGGTGCTTCTTGAGAAGAGACACATTGAACACATTATGCATTCGTGCCCCTTCTTGCATTAATGAATCACCAACAAGCAAGGGAGTGTTAATAGTAGGAAGATATCCATATAGTACCTCAAAAGGAGTAAGTTGGGTTGCTGAGTGAAATTTTGTGTTGTACCAAAATTCTGCTAATGCTAGAAACTGTGACAGTTGATTTTGTGTTGTACCAAAAATATTAGATCGTAGACTTATTCTTTATCCCTTGTGCTAAGTATGTAAGCACCTAACTTTTTTTATTATATTAACTAATTATTTTAGTATCCTTAATACCGTCAATAAAGTTCTACCACTGCTTTCAGCGTTGGAAAACTTATGAAAAACGATTACTATACATGTTGCATTTAGTTACTCTGTTATTTTGAAGGTATTTTTTATAATAATTTTACTACAGAAGACAAGTGCGACAATTATGAAGCAGATATGGATGTCAATATTATCTTGAAGAAGATCATAAACTTTTATTTTATTTTATACTATTTTAAACTTTAAATTCTTATACCAAATTCTAGATCGTGCATAGTTGGAAAATAGCTGGCTACACAGAGATCAACAATTTTTTTTAGATACCATGAGTAACATATGGAGAAGAACAACTAGAGGCCCAGAAGTAGGCTGAAAGCTGAACAATTATCTTGGGACACACCCCATGATACATACAAAAATAGAAAGAAGGTAATTTCAAGCTAAAGACTTGTCGATTGAAATCATAATTTTTCATCAACTTAGTTTATTATTATTCAAACAAAATTGAAAAGCCCAAAGCATTAGTCATGTCCTGAGTTAGACATGTGTTCAGGCATCTTATTAGATTGTGTAAAGCAAACATAAATGCTTAGTTCATAAGAGTGAAAGAGAAAAAAATTGCAACTAGAAAAAAACTGTGCGCATCAAGGCAAGACTGTCTGTACAATACACAGATGTTATTAGGCATTGATAGCCTATAGCAGGCTTTGGGCTAAATTTTTTAATCAACTTTGCTTGGGTTTGGTAGTGAAGCTCTAATACTACTTTGTTGCCTTTTTTTCTGATTTAATTTCTTTTTGTTAATTTTTTTTCTATAAAGGGAAGTTCTTTGTCTTAATCAATTGAAGATGATCACTCCAAGCAATGAATTGTTAATTACTTCTTAACAAAGTTTTAGGTGACTTCAAATCAAAATTAGAAGTATGATAGTTATTTTACGCTGGAAAATACTCTTATTTTTGTGCGTAGAGGTAGGGATATTCGTGGGTTATGTAAATTCAACCAACCTGATTAATTTAATTTAATTCAAGCAAAAATTAAGAGATGAAATTGGCTAATAAAGTCTTAAAAATACAAACTTGATCATTTACAAGTTGGATATAAGGTTTATTTATTTGCAACTCAATGAACCCAATTTAATCTGATTACATTTAAAATTTTGTATTTTAATTTTAATTTTTAAATATAAATAATTTATTTGTTAAATATAAACAAGATTTTGTATAAAAATATTTGTTAAGTATCCTAATCCTGAGCTATTTTTTTTTTTAAGACTCCTCTTGTAATATTGTCACCCTAATAGAGTTTAACCACTAAATTTAAAGATGAATTAGTGCGTTCTCCCTACTTTAGAACATTAGAAAATGAGGAAAAAGATATGAAATTAAAGTAAACATATTAGCTATTTATTATGATGCCTTAATTCTTGAGTGGAAGAAATATAAAAATATATTTTTCATCTAAACTATTTTAATTTAATTTGATAATAATTAAATGTTATAAATTATAAAAATATTTTTATTTTTACCTAAAGATTCAATTATTTGACCCAGATCAACTAGTTCATGATCAGGTTTGGAACACATATAAAAAATGGAAAAACAAAACCTAACCGATTGAATTTTAATTAAGTCGACTAAATTTTTTACTCAACCTGGTGCAACCCAACAAGTGAACACTCTGTATAAAAGTGTTCATAAATACATATAATTCAATTTCTAATACAAAAATAAAATACATGTGTGTGTGTGTGTGTGTGTGTTAGAAATATTTTAGACTTGGTTGTGCTTCGGCTATCGCTTAGTTAAGCATACTTATCTACCAAACTAGTTTAATTGATTAAAAGTACAGTCATGTCCTTAACCGAATGAAATAATGGGAATCACACATTAACAAAAGAACACATGCAACGATGGCCACAAAATACACACAGATATACCATGATTTTATCAGGTAAGTTTGTGGCAAACAAAGACCCTGAAATCTCAGAGAGCAAAATCTATGTATGTAATGTTATAAAATATCATAATTAAACAAACACATATTTAATTGTAAGTAATATTTCTGCTGCAGAGGATCTTTGTTGCCTCTTCTTGTCTTATTCTCTTATGAGCTCTCTCTAGGATTATTTTTTTTAATAATGATCCGACCCTGTTTGTATAAGAAACAAAATTGAGTCTTGTGGCAAGAAAAAATGTTACTTTGGAAAATATTGCTTTGAAATGTGTAATTTAACACTAGAAAACATATCACAACAGATTGAGATCCCTAATAGAGGACAGTGGTATGCAATTTTATAATTAAGGTAGAATTTAGTTCAATATTAAAATTTCTTATATTTTAGCAACAACTTTTCAAGTTTTTAAGTACATTCTATTATTTTACACTTATGCATTTTTCTCTTTTGTTTGTATATACACGGGAGAAGATTGTTTTGGTATTAAGTATTGTGTCCTTGAGTCCATCTTACACAAGACTCTGTCTTTAGCTAATAATAATTTGAATGTGAAATTTAGATTAGCACGTACGCATGCTCCCTGTTCAAGTTTAGAACATTCACAGTATGTTGATACTACTTTTTTATTATATTTTTATTTATACTCATTTTTAAATGTGAGACCTTACTTATAGATATTTAAACAAGTATTATTTAAATTAACTCTCATTAATTGACACATGTTGTTAGGGATGGGGCTAGTCATGTTGTTTATGGAATTGGTAGTAGCATCATATTGTGATACTTAAACTCAGCCATAAGAATTAACTAAAGAGAGGATATTAATATTTTTTAACTAAATTATTAATTTTTTTTTATTAATATAAAATTAATTAAAGATAACAAATCTCTTTAGTTGTCTGAGTATCATAATTACATCTGTTCAGTTGAAATTATATTTATTTTATTATTATTATTTATAAAATGATGTGTAAAAATTACTTTAAATAGAAAAATTATTTTTATTTTAATAATTTATCTCTAATTTTACCCTAATTAGGTTAAAAAAATCCTCCAATTTTTTCTAACTACCCACCATTATGTTTCTCTCTCAATTCTAGGGTTAGGGTTCTGACGTGCCAAATGGCCGTTTCAACAACTTTCTCCGGTGCCAAATTGGAGGCTTTATTGCTCAAATGGTCTTCATCTTCTTCACCATCGTCTTCAAGGGCATCATTCACTGCTACCCATTTATCAGTTCTCCACAAAAACAGAAGAACCCTCTATCAGAAAGGGGTTATTCGCTGCGGTGCTCAATCCTCTGATGAAATTCTTAAGAGCGATGGTTCTAACACTCTCTCCGCTCTTGAGCAGTTCAAGACTTCTGCAGCTGATAGTAACTCTTCTTATCTGTTCAATTTTATGTTAATGCCTTCATGATTTGGTTATTTGGTATTTTTATTTTCCCATTAATGGGAATTCCGTTCCCATTGTTTCATTGAAGTTTGTTATTTTATATTTTTCCTCTGTTGAATTGAAGTTCTTTTGCATTTTAACATATGAAAAAACAAACGAAATGGAGTTTGAATGTTCAAGCGATTGGGCTTTTGTGCTCCATGACTGGAATTATGCATCTATAGTGTATGGACTTTTAGCTTTAAGGACTTGTGGCAAGGTCCAGAGTGTTATTTACATCAAAGGAAATAAAGAAATGCAGCTTTGCACGGCTGTCATTGGTTGATATGTACTGGTTAATTATCTGAAATTTGCTAGTTGCAATTTTTAATTCATTTGTGCAATTAACTTTAACAGGGTATACAAAGGAAAGGAGCAGCATTGTTGTCATTGGGCTAAGTGTGCACACTGCACCTGTGGAAATGCGTGAAAAACTTGCCATTCCTGAAGCAGAATGCCCTAGAGCTATAAAAGAGCTGTGTAGTCTTAATCATATTGAAGAAGCAGCTGTTCTGAGCACCTGTAACCGAATGGAGATATATGTTGTTGCTCTGTCCCAACACCGTGGTGTAAAAGAAGTCATGGAATGGATGTCAAAAGTAAGCGGCAAGTTTATTTCCCAGATGGTATTTGTAGTGCATTACTAAATATTTAATGTCCTGTTAATTTTTTTGCAGACAAGTTCCGTCCCTGTTTCAGAGCTCTGCGAGCACCGGTTTTTACTGTACAACAAAGATGCCACGCAGCATCTTTTCAAAGTATCAGCTGGTCTTGACTCTCTTGTTTTGGGAGAAGGTCAAATCCTTGCTCAGGTTAAGCAAGTTGTCAAAGTTGCACAGGGAGTTGAGGGCTTTGGGAGAAACATCAGTGGGCTATTCAAGCGTGCAATTACTGCTGGGAAAAGGGTTAGAACTGAGACTAATATTACTGCTGGGGCGGTTTCTGTGAGTTCAGCTGCTGTTGAATTGGCCTTTATGAAGCTACCTGAAGCCTCACATGATAACGCCAGGATGTTAGTTATTGGTGCTGGCAAGATGGGAAAGCTTGTGATCAAGCATTTGGTGGCAAAAGGTTGCAAAAAGATGGTTGTGGTCAATAGAACTGAGGAGAGAGTTGCTGCTATACATGAAAAACTAAAGGATGTTGAGATAATCTACAAACCCTTTTCAGAATTGATCGCCTGTGCTGGCGAAGCAGATGTAGTCTTCACCAGTACAGCATCAGAAAACCCATTATTCTTGAAAGATCATGTGAAGGACCTTCCTCCTGTAAGTCAAGTTGTTGGAGGGCGTCGCTTATTCATCGATATATCTGTTCCTCGGAATGTGGGTTCATGTGTCTCAGATCTTGAGTCTGTGCGAGTTTACAATGTTGATGACCTCAAAGAGGTTGTGGCTGCCAATAAAGAGGATCGCTTGCGAAAAGCAATGGAAGCACAGGCAATCATTGCTGAAGAATCTAAACAATTTGAAGCATGGAGGGACACACTGGAAACTTTTCCAACTATTAAGAAATTGAAGGATTATGCTGAAAGAATCAGGGTTGCTGAGCTTGAGAAATGCTTAGGTAAGATGGGTGACAATATATCAGATAAAACTAAGAAAGCCGTGGATGATCTTAGTCGGGGTATTGTGAATAAGTTGCTTCATGGTCCAATGCAACATTTAAGGTGTGATGGGAGTGACAGCCGGACTCTGAGTGAGGCACTAGAGAACATGCATGCTTTAAATAGGATGTTCAACCTTGAGACTGAAATATCCGTTTTAGAGCAGAAGATTCGAGCAAAGGTTGAAAAAAACCAGAAATGAAATCCGACACCATACATTCATTCATGATACAGATTTATTTCATTCATCAGAATAAGAGGAAACACTCCCTTTTAGGATTAATAATCGTGTTATATTTAGTTGCATAGTTGAAACAGCTGCAAGTCTCCATGCGGGATCTTCAATTGATTGTTGTGTGTCTGCGTCTGCTTGGCCTAATGTTTTTGGGTCACGTTCTTCCGCAGCCACATCTGGCTTTGCATTATACAAAATCAAGTTTTTGATGAGTTTTGTATTTACCACTAATAAAATTTTCCTAAAATGGGTACCCTGTATCGGGAATATGAATTGTAAGAAGCATTGATATCACCGCTGTACAATTTTGTTTCTTCTATACTGGAGACAAGATTGGTTTTGGATGTTCCAAGTCTTTTTTGGTATTGGTTTATTCCCAGATGTGGTTGCTCATAATTTAAGATAATTATTATTTTTTCAAATATCATCCAATTCTTAAATGTTTTACACAATTATCTTAAATGAGAGAGAAACAGTACTAGAGGAGATGATAGAGTTGTAAAGTAGGGAGAAATTAATAAGATAGACAACAAATAAAAAAGATAAAAGGCATCATAGGAAGTTTTAAAAATTTTGATACAACAATATTAATCATAGGAAATCTGTCTTGGATTTTCACTATTATGCGTTGGAGATTGGAGAATACTTTGTTATTATGATTTTCTAATGTTTGTTTAAGAACTATAAACTTTATGCTTGCCGAGTTTAGTATCTGTCTTGGATTTTAAGGGTCTATTTGGTGGTCAGGATAAAGATAGATAGGAAATTATATATGTATATATACTCTTAAATAAGTGTATATTTGTTGAGTTATAAAGATAAGATTAGTTTATTTTATTATTTATTTTATTCTATTGTATTAATGTAATTATTATTTTGAGACTAAATTAGTAGAGGAAGGAAAAGATAATACTTATCTTTTTTAAAATATTCTTAATGTATTCTATTATCTCTCTCTCAACTCTCTCCTTTCTGTTTTTATATATTTTTAAAATTAAAAAATATTTTAAATTGTTTATATATTTTTTTATAATTAAAAATGAATAGCTTATAAAAAGTAAATAAAATAAAATTTAATTTAGTAAATATAGAAAAAATTAATTTTATTATTTTTTACACACTTAGTATCTTATTCTTTTTATCAAGTTTGCATCAAACATTATATATGATACTATTTTCGCCACTAGACGAGCTTTGGTTTAAATTCTTGTTACTACAAAAGTAACATTTTCCTGTCGTTAGTTCACAGAAAAAAAATTTAAAAACTTCAACTTGATGCTGTTTTAGACAAAACTTAAATGTACTTGTTTAAATATTATTTTATTAATTAAAATTAGAATTTTATTTACATAAAATATTTGTTTTAATTTTTTAAAAATTATTAAAGTAAAACTATAATTTTGGTTGATAAACAACATCAACAATACCTAAAAAATCACACTTAATTTTTTTTCATAATCTTGATAGAATACAATCGAGCAACAAGTGATGGTTTAGATAACAAGAATAAAGGGTTTTTGTGATATTTTTTCAGGTGAAATATAATATGCTTATTCACATAGATTGAGACAAAAAAATTCAAAAATAAAAAATTTATTTTTAAATAACCATGCTATTTAAATAAATTATTTATGTGATTATTAAAAAATGATGATTAAACTTAATATTTTGTTTTGTGATAATCCTTTAATTCTACATAAATATTTCAAACTATTACAAAAATTAAGAAATGTGAAGTTAACATTTAAATATCCAAATTATATCTTTTGATATTTTAAAATATTAAATGTTAAATTATTGCAAGATGCTCACAGATATTCTGCTTTCCTTTTGGTTTGTAGGGTGAAGATTTTTTTTTAGGTCAACTAGAGTGAAGACTTCAACCATTTGAATTGCAAAACACAGATTTAAAAGAATAAAATTTTGTATACTTTTTTAAATACATTTAGTAATATTTTTAACTTAAAATTTTAATTTAATAATTTGCAATAATTAGAAGCATGAATTTTTATCATGCAAGTTATCAAAACAAAACTATAATTCTAATTAAAAAAAAACAAAAACAAAAACTACTTCTATGTTAGGTACTATGTTTGTGAGTCAATTAACACAATTCAAAATAACTTGTGAATTCTAGACGTGCATTTAAATGAAAATCCAAACTAGCTTAAACAACTCAGTTTAAAATTCCCCGCAAGAAGAGTTCAGAAGCAATGCCTTGCGATGGTGCAATCTCCATTAAGTACTGTACAAAGAGAACAAAAATAAATCACATAGTTTATGTGAGTATGATGATATTTTATAGGTATATAAAACTTGAATGCAAATAATAGAAAATTTACTTACATTTTAGGAACTAGATAAATAAGTCATGGATAACCTATCAATGTTAAGAATCTTAAATTATAATTAACAGCACAAAGTACGAACATAATAACTAATTAATTATATCAAATAATGTACATTAAAGTGAAGAATATTTCTAATTTTTACATTATTACTTTTATTTTATATATAACTTAAGAGAATTTTTTCAAAAATCATGAAATTTATTTCAACACATAAAAATTTTATTATTTTCATAATTTAATTTTATTTTAATACTTAACTTGACAATTTTAGCTTTCAGCTAAATAATAATTTTTAAACATTAAACTGATTTTTTAACTAGTTATATCAAACATAGTCTTATTTTATATGGTTTTTTTTTGCTAATTTAAAATAAAATTAATTAAAATAAGAAAAAGGTTAATTACATTTGGGTAATCGAATGTTTAACTCAATTATTATTTTACATGCTTAGACATTCTCTAATCATATTATCATATATTAGAATTCAAGGCAATTATGAAACTAATTTAATTAAGAATATAATCTAATAATAATATAAAACAAGGTTTCTACTAAAGTACTCCACGTCGTTTGTGACATTCCTCATTTTTTTTTGTCATAAATAATGGTATATTATATATTTTAATTCTTTTTATAATAATTGATTTGAGTAATAAAGACAATTAAAATATGTTTTATTTACATATTTAGACATTTAAGGCATAGAACAGGATTGCATGGTAAACTAACGTGATCTAATTATAGTATAGATAACTTTGGATCTGATGATAGGCATAACTGTTATATATATATATATATACCGTGTTGTGTTGTTGAATGTGCATCGACTCCTCGTTAGAGCCACGCGCCGTCTCCGAGGGCATGGTTGGCCAAGTCGCTGCTGGGAAGGCCGCCGGCGTCATCCTCCAGATGACCAGAAGGAAAAATCGCCGGTCAGTCTGGTACCGGCAAAACCGTCATCGCCATGGGAATGGCGAAGTCCCTCGGCAATAACTGAATGATGGCATAGTTAGTTAAAATGGCACAGTTAGTTAAATAATGATGCCTTCGCCATTAGTAGCTCCTCCTCGCTATATATACTGTATACACTCAGAAAATCTTAATTTCTCATTTCTCAACCATGGCTCTATCTTTTCTTCAATCTGTGTTTCCACGCGTTTCCCTATCCAAGGGATGCCTTCCGAAGTTAGCTGCAGAGGAGCATTCAATTTTTAAACCTGATTACTTTAACAAATGGTATCATCCTCTTGAAGAAGTTACAATTTCTAGGGATGATGAGCCTGCTAGACTCTCTCCTGCTCAAATAGCAAGAACAACGTTAGAGGTTGGTGCCAATATGCTCGTAAAACTAGTTAATTTGCACTAAGTGTAACATATTTATGGGTAATGTCTGTCTTAACCGCATCCTGTTTATTGGTATTAGGCTAATAAATACGCTCTGTTAGTATTTCCTGGAGCTGTACACCGTCAACCACATCACGACGTTTCATGGGGAGAGTATCGATACCTCATTGATGATTATGGAGGTTTTTTGTATAGAATATATTTTTTTTATGAATTGAGAATTATCAAGTGCTATAATAGATCCATGATTTAATGTTAAATTTTAATGTAGTTTTCTGTTTCCTTTTTTTGTTGTAGATTTATATTTTGAAATATATGAAAATGCAAACCCTCTGAAAGATCCTGCAGCAGAAGATAATCTCGTGGTAAGAAATTTCTGTAGCTCTTTTTCAAAGAGATTTCTTTGTTAGAAATTTGTAGCTGTTCTCGAAGGGATTCTATTAGACAAGTTTAGCTTATATATTATTTTTTCTTTCTCTTCAGAATGTTTTGATTGGAATGGATATGAGGACTGTCAGTGAATTCGACGATGATAACCAGGTTTGTAGTTTCAAATGCTTGATTAATGGAATTTATTCAGTTGTTTGAATTATTAATTGTTTCTTCAATGCATCTAAGAAATTCAACTACAATTGCATTCTCTTACATCAGGTACAAGAAACAGGTAATATCCCGGAGAATTGGGGATTGTCAAGTAGTACAAGCTCAGTTCATCCACTCTTTTTTTCAGAGTGCTTAACAAGGGTACTCCCAAACCATAAATCATAGTTTCATGTTTAACATATTCAAAAGCTCTGGAATTGATCCTTTATTAATTATCTTCTAGGCTGTCTACGTGGACCACGTTAAAAGAATGAACCATCCTTCCAATGTTGTTTCTATTAGAGGGAACCTTAGACGAGCTTTAGCTTTTGAAGAGGATTTTCTGTGGATTCATGTTGAGGATGGTGATGACAGAGACACTAGTTTCACATTCTATCGGGTTGGAGACGTGGGAAATTAAGCTACACTCGTGTATGGATATCAGGCATGTCTCTCTCCATGTATAGTCTGCAATTCGAAAAGAGAACATAAGTTTGTACAGATCTATTTTGAATTACAAATTATGCATGTTCTACTTGTCAAAAAAATTGCAGTATGATATTAAGGAGGAGGAGTTTCTATATGCTGAACCTGATATTTTTGTAAAAACTTCGGCAATTTTGGAGCGCTTCAACCCAAAGTGGAACGATGCTTTTAAAGCTCTTTGCAAAAGGAAAGGTCTTGACGCTGAGGTAATCCAATTTTTTACACCTTCTCACATTATCCAACTTTTTTTCACACTTATTCACGTACGCTTCATTTCTTTTCCTCGATGAAACCAAACAAATGAAAAAAGCCTCCCTTATTTTCAATTGGATAACCAAAAAACTCACCTTTATAATAGAGGATGAAAACCTAATTAAAACATTATATTTAAGTAGGGTACACACATGTGCGTGCATGGGAAATACCCATTATCTGGTTCGTGTTGATTCTTTTATATCTTGTTCTTAACTTTGTGTATTTACTGTTCACATTAGATTTAAGCAGATTGTTATTTCAATGTTATTAGTTGCCTCTTTCAGGAAGCTTACTTGATTGGGGTTGACAGCCTAGGCATAGATGTTAGAATTCTTACAAGTGCAGAAGTAAAAACCCATCGCTTTCCATTCAAAGTCCAGGTAAGCATTATGGGTTTCAATGGAATGTACCCTCAACTGAACATATGCGTATTAATTATTAAAATAATCTCATCATTAATGGAATTTTTTCCTTTCATTTGCAGGCCACATTGAGTATATGAAGTCATGGCAGAGTTGCATAGCTTATTATTTAGGAGGATTGCAAAAGGACTTACCACGATATGGTAATAGATTTTTCAATTAATTTCTGCAGTTTGTGTTGTGAATTTTGAATTTAACATATAGAGTTTGCAAAAAGAATTATCACCACAAGATAATTTTTTAAAAAATCATATGAAATTTATTTCAACATATGAAAAAATTTAATTATCTTTATAAGATATATATATTTTTAATTTATTTAATACTTTTTAATAAATTTTATTAAAATAAGTATTTAAATTTTTTAAAATAAATTTTGTTTAAATATATGATGATACTATATTTTTAAAATCTTTTTATCAGTATTAAATTTTTAGGAACATTTTCTTATTTAAATTAAAAAAATTTAAATGTTGTTGAACTTAATAGACAGAGATTCTTCTCGTTTATATTGAATTTTTTATTTTAAAAAATTATATAAAAACAATATGAATAACTCGTACTATCTTTAAATTTAATATTTCTTGTACTTGTTTGTAGATTTTTTTAAAAATCTTTTAAAAAAAATATGGTGATATAATTTTTATAATTTAAATTGAAAATAAATTGAAAAAAGATTTGCTAAAACTAAAATCTCAAAAATGCTAAATATTTCAAAAATGGCAATACGTTACCGTTTATATGCTCTCAACCAGTGAAGCAGAAACCACACACCAAAGTTCAGACCCTAAAACCCCCTCAATTTTCCGAAACCCTCCGTCACCGCCGCAACCATGGCTGAGCTGAAACTCTCCGAGAGCCACCACCTTACTTTTGTGACAAATGCTATTTTAGTTAATAATAAAAATAATAATTTATTAAAATTTAGGTTTTAATAAGTTAAATGCTATTTCAGATGTTTTTTATGTAATAACCTTAAAAAAAATTAAAGCTCTTTTTATTTCAGTTTAACAAACGCTACTACTATTATATTTTTAAAAAGTTGTAAACTTACGTTACTAAATACATTTTACTATATAGAGTAAAGTATTTCAATTAACATAAATTTTGTTTTAATTAATTTATAAATTTATGGATAAAATAAAAGTTTATAATTATCAAGTTTAATTTATTAGTTTGTAGTGTTTTTTAAAATAAACATACACTCAATATTATCAGACAAAGAACAAGAAAATCCCCTAGCTTCCTCTAAAACCAGTATTACCTAATAACAAATTAATTAACAGGTCAAGCAAATCACGATAATCCAACTCAATGAAATAATCACTAAATTCTAATAAGAGAGAAAAAAAAAATAAAAAAAAGTGAACAACCTGCTATTAATAACATCAATCTCATGAAGAGTAACGCAATGCACAACATCGCACAGCATCCTTCCTTTTCTGCAACTCTCCATCGCACAACTTCACCTGCGGTCATCTCTGGCTTCTATTCCTTTTGGCCAAATCCAAAAACTTGCTATCCAAATCTCCTTCATCATTATTCCTTTTCAGCTTTTGGAATTCCTTACAAGTCATATCTGCATGCCATGGAACCCTACATTGAGCACAAAATAGCTTTTGACATGAAGGGCATTCAGCCCTTGTCACAACTTTTTCTCCATCATTCACTAACAAAACTGAACAATTCTTAAAGGGACAATAAGTCTTTTCCCATTCAGCAGTTGAAGACTCACACCTTGCAGATTCCCATCCATCAATAACTTCAATTCCACATAAAGGCTTCAATTCCACTTCCGCATGACTATTTGGATTTGGACAATTCTGATTGAGAATACTGTTTTGTATCTGGGCAGAAACATAGTTGGTTATGCAGCCAGTGCAAAAGGGGTGGTTGCAGATGCTTCTTCTGATTCTGAACGTATCAGACTCTGGTTTGAAATCAAAGCATAAGCATTTTGAGGGTTGATCACCCATTTTTATTTTTAGTCTTATAACATAAAAACCATCTTTATATTGTTCTCTTTTTCTTTGTTCTTACGTGACAGTATCTTCGAATAATGCAGGACTCCCCCGGATTCTTTCTTCATTTATCAGTGGTCTTAATTACCTTTATTATTTTGATTCTTGATCACCTTAATATCTAAATTCTTAATTATTATAATTGTCTTGATGTCAACGTATATGTGATTCGATAAAGCATAGATTTTTATTTTTATAATGTTTATTGCTTAGATTTTTTATGCTAACTATTTTGATTTTGAAATATGACATGATTGGATATATGAAAGTTGCACCAGTTATTTAGTTACCGTGATTGCTTTAAATATATAAATTATTAAAAATGTAACATAATTTAAATTTTAAGAAAATGATTAAAAAGGTAATACATGATACGACCTATTAGCAATTGCCTCGATTTTTAGTTATGTTAATTGTATTAGGGCTTTTATCAAGCTAATTTTTTACATATAAGCTGATAGAATAAATGTATAAATATGTAAAGAAAAAATATCATGATTGTCTTTATTATTTAAATCAATTATTATAAAAATATGGGGATGTCACACACAACATAGAACACTCTAGTTTAAAGTTTAAAAAAATTATTATTTAGTCGAAAGTAAAACTTTCAAGTTAATTATTGAACTAAAAATATTTAATAAATATAAAAAAAATGAAAGGACATGCTTAAATAATATATGTGATTTTTTAATTTATTGAAAAAATGTTTTAGGTAATTATAATCTTCAGTTTATTTTAAAAAAACGCTACAAACTAATAAAATACACTTTTATTTTATCAATAAATTTATAAATTAATCAAAATAAACTATATGATTGGAATACTTTACTCTGTGTAGTAAAATGTTTTTAGTAACATAAGTTTTCAAAGATTCTTTGTTAAACTAAAATAAAAAGAGCTAATTATAAGTTTATTACATAAAAAATGATCTCAAATAGCATTTAACTTATTAAAAGGTAATTTTTAATAATTTATATTTTCATAAAATAAATTTTAACACATTTTATTTTTTAAATTGTTTTAGTCAATTATAAATTATGCATTTTTGTTTATTTTATGGATATAAATTTTCAACTGGCACTTGTGACGTTCGTGTGTTAAATAGAAAGAAATTAATGATAGAAATTAATTTTAAAATTTTTTAAAAACTATTTTCAAACAGTACTTCCTGACCTATTCTATTTTATCTTAAAAAATTGTAGAAGATAGGTACCCACCAAAACTCGAAAATAGAGAAAGCAAACTAAGTCCCAATCCGCAGACATGCCCTGCAAAACAATATCCTACCGTTAAAAAATATCAATCGACGTTCCTAGATTTCCCATATATCAATCCACGGATCACAAACTTGAACCGTGGATTAATTTAAAATCCAATGGTAGAGATCAAAATTCAAAATTCACGAACCTCTTCCTCCCGCTCCAATAAATACCACACTCTCATCCTCCTTAATCACTCCAATTCTAACAGAAACCCTAAATCCCCAAAGTCGTGTTTACTTCAAATTTTCTCGAGAAAATGTCAGGTCGCGGAAAAGGTGGAAAGGGTTTGGGCAAGGGAGGTGCCAAGAGGCACAGGAAAGTGCTTCGCGATAACATTCAGGGAATCACGAAACCTGCAATTCGTAGATTGGCGAGGCGAGGTGGCGTGAAGAGAATCAGTGGGTTGATCTACGAAGAGACAAGAGGAGTTCTGAAGATTTTCTTGGAGAACGTGATTCGAGATGCGGTGACGTACACGGAGCACGCAAGGAGGAAAACGGTGACAGCCATGGATGTCGTTTATGCTCTCAAGAGACAGGGAAGGACCCTCTATGGATTTGGAGGCTAAAGGATCTCTCGTTTTGGGGGTTCCTTTGAATGTTGAGGATGTTTGTGTTTGTTTTATAAAATGAAGCATGTTAGGTTCTATTTTCCATAGAAACAGAGTATGTTTAAATGGTGGACATAATATCTCAAAACACTTGTATTTGACACCATTTATGTGATGTTTCATGAGAATGTTTTGAATGAAAACATTGTAGTGATCGGCTTATAAATCAGTTCTTGTAACCTTGATTCAAAAAGGCAAGAAAAAACGTATATGTATAATGCCCTCTTTTTTATATATTTTTTCAAATTTTTTTTTTATTCATGCGTTTTAATTCAGATCCTATTCGGACGCGTTTAATCAGTTTTTATATATTTTTTCATTTTATACAGTAGTATTGATTTACTTTTAATTTTGAGCACAAAATGATAATATATAATGACTTAAAACAATCATAGAATCATCGAAGAAAAGCCATTCATAAAATCATTTGTTCTAATTAGGAGTAAAATATATTCCAATTTTCCAATAATAGTATGAAAAATCAACCACGTATGATAAAATATATGAAACAATTCAAAGAAAAATAATAGTTGGTCATGCTAGTTCACTCAAATAGAATTTTGTTTACTTATAATATTCCAGCTTCAAACTTTAAAGAAAACTATGTAAAACTATGTACTAGTTGAATCAATTTCATCAACAATATTGCAGTTTCTTTGAATATTAGCTCTACATTCTTTGAATGAATTGCTTTTCCTACCAACAGTGGATTTGATTAACAAAGTTGTTTGGCTCCAAGACTTAAGAGTCAAACCGAAGCGATTACATTATAAAACGTGAAAGAACTCAAATAAGAAAGGTTCACAGAAGGGTCTTTCAATGAGAAAGCAAAAGCCTTATATTGGAAGGCAAAAAAAAAACTCCACTTTTCAGTCAAAGATACTAAAAGCATTTTTATAATTTTTTTAAAAGGTTTTGTTAATATGAATTTTTAGTGTTGAGGATAAATAGCTAATAATAATAAAATTTTATTAAAAATATTTATTATATTTTTATAATTTTAATAACTGTGTATTTTTTTTTATTTATAAATACTTAAACTCATCTGTAAAGGCTAAAATTAAATAAAATAAAATAAAATAAATCATCTACGTTTTATCAAAACATCGTGTATTTTTTAATTCAGTGATCAGATTGTATAACTGAGAATCGAAGAATCCATCGATTTGCCTTAAAATTGAGTTTGAGAACCAAATTCAATTTTGAGATGCCCAAATTTACCCTAACACACTTGAAAAATTACAAATACCCTTTTCATTGAAGGGTGCTTAAGTTGGAAAAAAGCCAAATCAAACAAGCACTAGAGTATTATACCATTACATTAAAGCATAAATATATTATCTTCAAACCTTTTAATGTATATTTTTTCTTTAGATCATTAATGGGACATTATTATTATTATTTGAATATATTACTTTTATTTAAATTTAATTACAAATACAGTTTTAATAATTTTTTCAAAAAAAAAATTAAAGATTAATAATACTACAATAAAAATAAACTAATACAAATATTAACTATTTAAAAAAATAAAGAACTATAAATAAATAAAATATAAATAATCTTTTAATATAATTCTATTTTACTTAATATATATTAACATATTCATATAATTTTTTAAAAGATCTTATCAATTAATGTATTAAAAAAATTGATTAAAAAATAATAAATGATAAACTTTTATTAAAATCATAAGAATAGTTAATAAAAAATTTTACTTTTAATTCTCCAATTAAATTTACGTTTTTTATTTGTTGATCTAAATAATTCTATTTAAATCAAATAAATTTTTTTTATTTTGCTTGATGCCACGTGTTAAAACCTGTAGTTTTTACGTGTCGTATTTATATTGTATTCTAAAGTACATGTATCCGTGCAACATCCATCAAACCAAACTGTAGTAACTGTTGTTTGCGCTTGTTTTTGTTGAGTGAAACTATCAAATACATCACATTTTGCGGGTCTTCTGTTAATTTCCATGAATCTACTGTCTTCTCTTGGATCTCAATTTCCTGGAATTGTCAAATGGGTCTTTCTTCCATTACAAGACACAGAAGAAATCAAGGAATGTTCAGATTTTCTTGTAGCTATGTAACATGCTGACAGCTAGCAATAGCATACCCTTATGGTCAATCTGCAGACCAAAAAATTATTCATAAATTTCTTGAGTCTCATTTTCGTTATAAATATACTTACGTATTTTTTTAAAATTCGTAGTCCACGCCATACCTTTCATCAAGTAAATAAACAAAATTATCAAATAATGATAACACACATACACGAATAATTATATCCCTTCTTGTGAAACTCTTGGTATTAATTACGACATTCTTGTACTTCCCATTGCTTAGTTTAAATTATTTAATTAATAACCTTGGCTGAGTGGACCCTTTTATATAAACAATGTCTGACTTTTCTTTATCATTTTGCCCTTGAGAAGGAGCACTATATTTAGCTTTACACCCCTTTGTGACATTTTGTGTTCAAGTCACCTCAAACTCAAAAGTCCAAAAGAACTGTTTGTGGCATTTTTGAAGTATAGAAAACGCGTAGTGACTAAGACTGGCACATTATGGTCCAAACTCCAGCTAGCCATGGACCTGAAATGCTTTTATTTATTTGTTTGTTTGTTTTTTCGTGGCTGATGATCCTTTGACTTGGTGGGAATAAAAGGGATGAACTTTTTGTTATAAAAAAACGTGAAGAAGAACTAGAAGAAAATCTGTTTTGAAATCAGCTTTAAATGAAATTTGAACGCATGGGAAGAGAAGAATGCATGAAAGGAAAGCAAGTTAGACCATATTCTTGCTGATTTTTTGTTACCCTTTACAAAAGATGATATGGAATAGCTTGTGCAAATGAAGAAAACACCAGGCATCAGTTTGCATCAATCTAGACAAAGAAAAAGGGATGTTGGTTTCCATGATAATGGTGTAGGCAATGGCACACAAAGGAATGGTGTTAAGAATCATACTGGCATGACATATTTCAAGTCTGCTTTCAAGAGGGTTTTTACCTTGTTTCTCTCTGGGAAAAGAAAAACAGCCTCAGAAGGTGTTGAAAGTGAAGACAGAAAGAATACACACAAAGTTAGAGGGGTATCATGTAAGTTTGATGAACAGTGATAAATGTTTACTTTTTTACCATTTGATGATGTGAACTCATTTCATTGTGTATGATCATGATTAAGATTAACCCTTCATGTTTTGTTTTTTAGGGAATGATAAGTGCTTTTGCAGTATTCGTGTATGTTTGGAAACACTTTGAAAATCATGTAAATATGAATTCAATGCAGAATTCGTTAAAATAAACATTAATTCATGGTCATTCAAACGTGAATCCAAACACGCACGTTTATCTTTGTGCAAAATCATGTGTTTTATCCAAAATTAAGATTTCTTGGAATTTGCAGCTTCTACAGATTTATCATCTGATAGTTTCCAGAGTTCATCAAAAGGGAAGTTTTCTCATTCCTCTGCATCATCATCTGCCACTGCAAGTAGTCAGCTTGGAATGGGAAACTTCTCCTTTGAGGAAATTTACAAGGCAACAGCAAAGTTCTCTCCAGATAATAAGATTGGTGAAGGTGGGTTTGGAACGGTGTATAAGGGAAAGCTTAATGATGGATCCCTTGTGGCTATAAAGCGTGCCAAGAAGGTATTGTGGCATTATGTTCAAATTTTGATTATATCCCTTCAATAGAACTTGTTCAATTGTGATTGAGTAGATGAAAGAGTTCATCATATATGAGCCTGATCATATAAAATATGAATTATTTTTTTTTTAGTGTTATTAGTTTTTATCAATGAGCCTGATCTAGTGAAGTTGCCTGACAGGATATACAGAATAAGAACTTGGCTGAGTTCAAGAATGAAATAAACACCTTATCAAAAATTGAGCACCTGAACCTTGTGAGGTGGTATGGATATTTGGAGCATGGAGATGAAAAGATTATTGTTGTTGAATATGTTAATAATGGAACTCTTCAGGAACATCTACATGGTAAGTCAGGTTTTAAACAGAACTCTGTGTAAAGGTCTTGGTAGTCTATGGGCTTGTTTGGAAGAATTTATAGAGAGCTTATAGATATAGCTTATAACTCCCATAAGCTCATTTCCATTTATTTCAGTAAGCTTCTTGATATTACTTATCAAAATAAGATATTTTCAGCATATTCTAGAAGTTTCATGATCAAATCCATCCCATAAACCCTTATATTAAGAGTAGCTTATTGAATAAATGCTTAATTAAGATGGCACCCAAACAGGCCCTATATATTGGTATATAATGCATTATGAAATACATCAGCTTTATAATCAATTGTTAGCGCCTAGAATGACATAGAAGTTGTCAATTATTAATGCAGGTACACGGGGAAATGGACTAGAAATTGGTCAGCGTCTAGACATAGCAGTTGATGTTGCTCATGCAATTACATACCTTCATATGTACACAGGTACGTTTCCTCAGATTTGAGAAGAAAAAAAATATGTAACCACAAATATGAGTTCCTTGACTATTGATTTGTTTCCACCTATACTCAATAATGTTACAACAATCATTTAGTCTTGTTTGTGCTCTTAATACCAATGTATATGTGAAAATATTTGAATGATTACATGAGAATCTGTGTGTTCATTTGGTTGACAGATCATCCAATTATTCATAGAGACATCAAAGCATCAAATATCTTAATCACTGACAACTTAAGGGCCAAAGTGGCAGACTTCGGTTTCGCGCGGTTGGGTGCACTAGACCCAAATGCAACCCATATTTCAACTCAAATTAAAGGAACAGCTGGTTACATGGATCCTGATTACATGAGAACACAGCATCTTTCTGAAAAGAGTGATGTTTATTCATTTGGCGTGTTGCTTGTTGAAATGATGACAGGGCGGCATCCAGTTGAACCAAAGAGACCTCTCAGTGAGAGAGTTACAATTAAATGGGTAAGTATGTCCAATCTTCCAAAGAGGAGTGCTAGCAACACACTATATTACACACTTTTTTAACACAATTATTAGTTAAAGTTTGCTAGAAACTACAAAAGTATGAGTGAGAATCATTAAATTAAGACAGGGAGCACATAGTTTTGTGATTTTTAATAAATTTTAGCTAATAACTAATATTGTACTAGAAAGAATGTGTTACAAAGTGTGTTATTAGCATTTCTCATCTTCGAAATGCATTGCAAAATCAGAAAAAAGAAATTTTTTTTTTACTTGATGAGAACATTATCATTTTCGAATAAGTTGTGATTGGTTCAACTATATCCAGACAAAATATAGAAAACATAAAGTGAATTTTGTGCTGCATCCAAGTAATTCTAAGAATGCACAGTGTGGTTAGTGGATTATTCTAAGATAAAGATATTACAGGTTCTGACTGACAATATTGTTTTGAAAGATGTAGGAAGTAGCTAAACTATCCCAGGAATCATTTTGAACTATTTAAAGCATTTTTGCTTTTGTTTGTTTGTGTACAACTAACTAATTTAAAAGTAACAAACCTAATGACAAAAGAAGTTGAATTTAGTATCTCTGTTCACTGCAAATTTCTTAAACAGTGCCAATTTTTGGTAGTTCATTTTGGTTTAGAAATGTGTATCTCTAGTGTGGTTCCTCTTTTATGCTTGTCAGACTAATTTAGAACTAGGCTAATATTTAGTATTTGCGCGGGTCACGGTCAGAAGTGGGTTGTGACACAGGGAAAGGAATAAATTAATGGTAACAAGTAGTTGCTAACATTACCTTATCAGTGGACTAATATTTTCACTTATAGTAGATGTTAATTGACAATTCTTCTCTTAGGAAAGTTTAAGTCACAAGTTTAGTTCTACAGGGTTTATTTAGTTTCCAGTCCTCCATGGGAGTTACTGACTATATAATGCCATGACTAAATATATCATTCTTTGCATATAACTTGCTTTCACAAGTCATTACACTTGCAAGGCCAGAAAGTACCAGTTTTGGCTATTAAAAGCTTATTATGGAACGTAATAAGCTTACAGTATATGATATTGAATTTGGGGATTCCACGAAATGCAGGAAAAATAATTAAATATTTTTATAATTTTTCTAATAAATAAGTTTAGTGAACTAATTATAATTAACTTATTAATATTAAATTAGTAATATTGGTCAAAAAATGAACTCAAAATAACAGCATAAGCTCTCCAATAAATTCTCTGTTTCTAGTTTTGACTCAATGATTAAGTTTGATTATATATCTTCGGAACCAAACCTCATTATAATAAAACACGCAGTATTGTTATAGATAGCTATTAACATTGAGGTTGTGGGATGACAATAGTTGAGCAATGTTTGTTAACCGAAAGGTATGTTAGAGCCATACAGTAATCCTTGCTAAATGTGATCAGTAATCAGCTTACTTCATGTTTCTGCAAAACTATGATTTAAGTTCTCTTAACAAATTAAATTAGATTAGCAAGATGCTAATAACATGAAATACAAAGCATAGTATGCTCCTTCCCTTCCCTTGTCTCAATCTTATAAATATCATAACAATGAAAATAGAAGATGTTAAAACTTGAATGAATCACTGAATTGGTACATTTTGCATGGTATGCAGGCAATGCAAATGTTGAAACAAGGAGAAATTGTGATTGCCATGGATCCAAGACTGAGGAGAAATCCAGCCTCAAACAAGGCAGTGGAGAAGGTTCTGAAGCTAGCTTTCCAATGTCTTGCACCGGTGCGACGATTACGGCCATCCATGAAGAGTTGTGCAGAGGTTCTGTGGGATATCCGTAAGGATTTTAGAGACAAAACCTCTTCTCATTCTCCTCATGGTTCTCACCATTCTGGAGATTTTCCTCAAAGAGATGTTAGGAATAATAGACACATGACATACAAAGGCTATAAATATGTATCTGCATAACCAAATTCATTTATGAAATTTTTTCATTGATTGTTTTGATAGTCAACACATGTTTACTACAGCTATTGTTTGCATCATGTTCATTACTTGAAGCTTTTAGTTTCATGAGGTTTTTCCTCTTCCATTGAAATTCTCTAGGTTTTAGATTTTTTAGAGTGGAAGCTTAAATGGGTTGAGATTGCAAAATAAAGGGAAAATCAGCAACTTGGGTTTCAGAGTGTACCAGTTTGATCTTCTGTAGTGCATTTTTTAACTGCAGCATTCTTTATATGGTTGTTTGGGGTGTTTTGTAAAGGCTATTTGAAAACAGTGAGAATAATAGATTGCCTTTTTAAAAATACCATTTTTCTAATATGAGCATCGTTTCATATAATAAAAATGTATATACAGTAAGTTTTATTAATTCAATGCATTGATTCTAGTAAATGTTATAAGGTTTAATAAAAAAATATTAATAATGGGTAATAATATGAGTGTTATTTTGGGGAAAGCCAGCATTCCAAGACCATAGAAAGTAAATCAGTTTCTAATTAAGAATAACATATTCTGGCCTATTTTATTAGTCTTTTTTTCCCTTCTCGTCTTTACATTTTCTTAGTTAAATTGTGAGTCATGACAAACAATAACAATTAAGCCTTTTTTTATTAAGTGAGGCTGTTTACGTGCATCAAATGATGAAACAATATTCTATTGTAAATCATGTCTACAAGTAAATTATTGACCTCTAAATTATAATGGTTTTTTTTTATAACTTTTCTCAATTTTCTTCAACTTCTAGTGACTGAGATACTTTTCATGTGATCTACTCTCCTTAATAAAATTTCCACAGGTCTTATACCAATCTTGTTGGTCATACTTATCTGAATGAATCTTGTTAGAAATAAGGAAAATAGAAGTATTGTGCTTAGATAATCAAAATTTCAACAAACCTCAGATGCAACTCGATATTTAACTTTGTTTTTAAGGGTTTTATTCCAATGATACGATTGTATGTCCAAATTTGAAATCAGAAGTAGCATGAAGCCTCACAAAACAATTGCTTAAAAAAAGGTAAAGAACAAAAAAATCAGTGTGCAAGGAATAATGAAATAACAAGAATATTAATAGTTAATAAATAGCCTTCAATACTAAATCAATTGTGATAAAGTCAAATCAAAATAAAAGAAAGGCTAATAATAGCGTTTGTTTATAAGCAGCTAACGTGAAAAAAACTTGTGGCAATTAGCCATGAAAGCCAACGGATATAATACAATTATGTATATAGCCTTCAAAATGCCAATAACATGTTATAAATGAACAATATTTCAATCTGCTTAATGTGAACATGTTTTCGGTGATAAAGGTAATCAAACATTACCATGAAATCAACACATGACTAATTACCTGGTTATAATTAAAACGATTTTGATTTTTGTCTAAAATCAGAAGTATAATTAAGAAAATGATTGACACTTGAATCTCATATTTCTACAAATCTTTTTCCTATAAACTAACTTCTCTATCCATATCCAGTAATAAATATTTAGAACCTTTACTTAATTCTTATTATATTCAGGGTAGCAACTTTTGCTTATTTAATACTATATTCAAGGCAATAACATAACATTAATAATTATCACCTTGTTGATTCATCTAACAGAGATTTGACAAAATTTTGCATTAGTTGTTGATTGTTTTACATAATTCTTACTCTTTTCATCTTTGAAAATTACTGTTTAAAGTTGTCGGATAAGATTTTAATTTTCTTATTTTATTTAAATTACTAATTCAGAATTTATTTATGCAAAAAATAAATAGAAAGAAGATAAAAATATAAGTTTTGAGATAATAATTATGTTAAAGGTAAAATTAAAAGAAAATAATCCTAGAGTATAGTTATCGAATTTCTAATTAGCAATTCAAGTTGTGATAAAATATAGATTATGAAGTTGTTATAATTGCTATTGTTGATTAAAAAAATAACAAATATAATTACAGTTTGTACTTTAAAGTGTATATTTTCACCTTAGTGCCCAAATTCTTTATTGGCGAGGAAGAAATAAACTTATATTATTGTATTATTTTCTTTTTATACAATTTCTTGTTGCATATATTGATGAAGTTTATGTCTAAGCAAAAAATAAATAAATAAAATGGATGGTGATACTACAATAACTGCAAGTGTACTACCAAGCTTAGTTAAATTTTGAATTTTCTAGCTCATGAACTTGATGCATAAATATATAGGCATTAAAAAATTAACTCAAGTATTTTTATTATTTCAAAAAGAAATTTTAAACAGAAAAACGCTTCTTCTTTATTTTTTTCATTTTTTTTTCTTATCCTTATAACTGATTTATGAAATAGAAAGAAAAAATCGATTAAATTTTATTTTAAGCTGTAAATAAACTAAAGAACAGAAGAATGCAGAGATCCTCCCTTACTTTAGAATCTTTTTTTTCTCACATGTTTATTGGTATCATGATAAATTCAAATTAGATACTCTTTATTAATATTTAATTAAAAACAACAAATCAGTTACAAAAAATGAAAAAAAAAAACACTCAAATAAGAAAATTAGACTATGAAACCCACCAAATAAAGATATTCCTATTTTTCTGCTAAAATTACATGCCACGTGAACACTAAAACACTTATCTTACACTAACGTTTGTATCCTTTTCCGTGAACTCCGACCGCTCTCATAGAACATTGGTGAACCTTTTCTCGTTGTTACCGCTTCCAATCAAAGCAACCACGTGTCCTTCTTCTCACCGTTCCAAAACTATCTGATCCCATTCTTCTCCCAATTCCAAATTTTGCCATCCCAATATAACCACCCACTTTCATTTCATGTGACTCTTTGCTTCCTTCACTCTCACTACACTCTTTTTTGTCAACTTCAATAGGAGAGAAGAAAAAAATATCCCATTTTGTATGATATTTTTCTTCTTTTCTATTCATCATTCACATACTCCAAATCCTTCTCTTATTTTCCTTTTTATTTTGTCTCTTTCCACTTTATGATATTTTTCTATTCATCATTCACAATCTCACTTGAGCTATCATTGGGCATCAAATCTACTGATTCTCTTTTGTGGCCTAGCAATAGCACTCCTTGAAATATCTTCACGTATGTTTCCAAACCCTGATTTTCATTTTGCTTATATATTAATTTATTGTTTTCACACTTTCCTATTTCTTCAATTCTTGATCTCGATTAATTGATATATAGGTGGCATTAGTTGGAGTTGGAAGTGGTAGTTTTCTCTCACTTGGGGTGCTTTTTGTTCATGATCATTTTGATTAATGGTGGATAAAGTTTCAATTTTTTGACAATTTGGTTAATTGAGTGTGAAAAAAAATGTTTTTTTAGGTGACAGGAGAAAGATAAGGAATTGGAAATGGCTACTAAGGTAGAGGCTAATGGTGGTGGTAAAAGTGGTGGTGTTTCTACAGTTTCTGCCAAAGTTCCAGCGGTGGCACATCCATTGGCTGAAAAGCCTGATGAGGTTGCATCTAATATCAGTTACCATGCTCAGTTCAGTCCTCATTTTTCCCCTTTCAAGTTTGAGCTGGAACAAGCTTACTATGCCACTGCAGAGAGTGTTCGTGATCGTCTCATTAGGGTATGATGATATATTCTTTGAATTGGGGTGTCTATAAATATTCATTTGTGAGTCAAAACTGATTTACTTATAAACCGCAAAAGGCACTCTCCTCTTCCTATAGGAATATGGATGTGTTTCCCTGTCATGGTTCTGTTGTGGTTATAATGGTGATTGATGATGTTAGTATCTTAATAGCAATCGAGGGTTGACATCCAATAAAATAAGCTTTTTCATTGACAGAGAGTTCTAGGATCACAAATTAGTCATGCGACCAATTTGAGTGTTTCAGTGTATGTAAGTGTGCATGTGTGTGCACATGTGTGAAGTTGTGATCCGTTTTAGGGGAATGGATCCTGTCATGTCAAATTTTAAAAAATCATATACACGTGACATCTCAATTCAGTATTGTGAATTGAACTAAAATCAGGCACATTAATAAATGCTGGTTGCCATTTGTAACGAAGGGGCAAGTTGTGATCCGTTTCTTTTGAATCTATTTAGGATAAAAGCTACATAAATAAAGGATAATTAAATTATGCCAGATACATTGCATAAGTTTTTCAAGTTTTGTAAATAGTTTGTCCTTTCCTTAAGTAGTCCTAGGTTAGTTTAGTTGTATTGTTTGTTTGGATAGGACTAATGCTGTTATTGTACACTGATGATAACCACTTCAGCAATGGAATGAAACATACCAACATTTTCACAAAGTTGATCCCAAGCAAACTTACTACTTATCAATGGAGTTCCTTCAAGGTCGAGCTTTAACCAATGCTATTGGAAATCTGAATATCCAAGATGCATATGCCAATGCTTTGAGGAAATTTGGGCTTGAACTTGAAGCAATAGTAGAGCAGGTAACAACTAATTGCAATGTCATGACCAATCCATGCAAAAACATTTAATTGCAAACCAAATGTCAAGGACAAAGTCTCTTGAAGAAAACAGGCTCACTTTACCTTTGCCAAAATTCTATTTTATTATAAAGAATGGGAACAGCAAGGATTAAACTCATCTACTTTGTCTAGCATAGGCACTTTGATATCATGCTAAGAACCAACTCACCTTAAATCTTAAGCCATTAGACGGTGGCACATGAATGGTTTTACATCTCTAACACCTCGGAATTATTTATCGGAAGAATGAAAACATGAATTCTGGCAAATAATGGTTTGTTTGTGTTTTTTATTCCTGGAAACATCAAATCTCAACCAATGTAAAATAATGCAAATTCAAAGCGAGCATTCCATGTTAAAATATTTTTTAAAAAAAAGAATATAAATAGGTAAATAATCTAATGAGTACTGAGTAATCTTACGTTATACTGTGACGGGATTCATCCAAAATAGTTTACATGATTTTTATTTCTTAATCATGAACTAGTTTTAATAAATTCAACTTTTTTTTTTTCAGGATGATAGTTTCTTCCAAAAGTTTACATTTCATCATATCTGTGATTGATTTTAATCTCTAGAATATAAAAATTGATTGCTGGACCATTCAACATGAAACTTTGCAGGAGAAGGATGCAGCACTAGGAAACGGTGGTCTTGGTAGGCTTGCTTCTTGCTTTCTAGATTCCATGGCAACACTTAATTTGCCTGCTTGGGGTTATGGTTTGAGGTATAGATACGGGCTATTTAAGCAGAGAATCACCAGGGAAGGTCAAGAGGAAGTTGCAGAGGATTGGCTTGAGGTATGATTTATATCCTTTATTTTTAATCTATGGAAATATAACACATTTTTCATGGGATACTGATGTGTAAAATCAAATGAAAATCAAACAGAAGTTTAGCCCCTGGGAAGTTGTGAGGCATGACATTGTGTACCCCATCAGATTCTTTGGTCATGTTGAGGTTAATCCTAATGGAAGGTAAGAGTAAATCTACTTACTAAATCAGTTTAATCTTAATTTAATTGTAAAAACAAGCTATACACTATTCAGATACAGTGATATAAAAGTATTCACACTTTGGTGTGTATACCAGCCGAAAATGGGTCGGAGGAGAGGTTGTGCAAGCGCTGGCTTATGATGTGCCAATGCCAGGTTACCAAACCAAGAACACCATCAGTCTTCGCCTCTGGGAAGCAAAAGCGAGTGCTGAGGATTTTAATTTATTTTTATTTAATGATGGACAACATGATGCTGCTTCAGTGCTTCATTCACGATCTCAACAGGTTTGTATCAGCGATTTTATTTTTTTTATGTTCAAGAATAATTGGGTTGTCATGGAAATGACTGTGAAGAAATTGGTGAGTGGCTACTGTTTGTGACCAGTGCCATATTTTATTTATATTAGATTAATAGTTTTTCTACCTGCAAAGATCTGTTACAGTTATAAGAATGAAATACAAACAGAAATATCTTTGCCATTATAATATCGTAAAACAAATCCTGTTGACTTATGTTATGTCGCCAACTCCCATAATCCTCTCCCCTTGTCTTTGGTCCATGTAAAGAGGATCAAGCATAAAATTTTGAAAAGTGATTCTATATTAAAATTTGTATTTGTAGATTTGTTCGGTTTTATATCCTGGGGATGCCACAGAAGGTGGAAAGCTTCTACGGCTGAAGCAGCAGTTCTTTCTCTGCAGTGCATCACTTCAAGTGAGTTAAATCCACCTTATAGTTTTCCTTTTCATTTTAAGTGTGCCTTATGTTTCCCTTGTAATTTGAAGCTAGGATTGAAACTTTTAGCAGTGGTGGAAGGTAAATGATTGTATTATGTTGATTTAATGTTGTCTTATCTTAACTCAAAGCATAGACCACCTTCATTTGAAGGTTTAAGAGATATTATCATTTATCACTAATTCACTATCCCCTCTCAGTCAGTTGATGTAACAAAAAAAATGTTCTAGTTTCTGTTGGACTTATCATAATGAAAGCCTTAGCTAACTACCCTTTCTTAATGTAACAAAGAATGTATTCTGGTGTTAATGGCATATATACTTTTCACATGAGAATCAATTAGGATTCAGGACCATATTTACATAATTCGTTGTTCCCAGATACCAACAAGAAATTTAGTTACCTCTATTGTTTGACATGCTTTCCTTACTATTATTCACTCCTATCTTGGACCAAGTACAGGATATAATTTCCCGATTTAAGGAGAGGAGACAAGGACCTTGGAACTGGTCTGAATTCCCAACAAAGGTTGCTGTACAATTGAATGATACTCACCCAACACTTTCAATACCAGAGTTGATGCGATTACTAATGGATGATGAAGGGCTCGGATGGGATGAAGCATGGGAAGTGACAACAAGGTCAGTAAATTGTAGAAAATGTTGCCTGTAATGGTTATTTGCCATTTCTTTCTTCCATCACCCCTCACATTTGTAGTGTATAACTGTATAACATGCTGCTAAAATGCAATGCTATATCTTAACCAGGACCATTGCTTACACCAATCATACTGTCCTCCCTGAAGCACTGGAGAAATGGTCTCAACCTGTTATGTGGAAACTGCTTCCTCGCCACATGGAGATCATAGAAGAAATAGATAAGAGAGTAAGTTGCTCACCTTCCTTGTTTCTGATTGATTAAGGTGTACTCATATTTTTTAACATGGAAATCATTAAATGCTTGCAGTTCACTGCAATGATAAATACCAGCCGATTGGACCTTGAGAGTGAGCTTTCCGCCATATGCATCTTGGACCATAATCCCCAGAAGCCAGTAGTTCGGATGGCAAATTTGTGTGTTGTTGCTTCTCATGTGGTAAGTAGTGCACTTCTTTGAACTTAATAAAATAAGAGTCTCATCCATCTTACTGTGTCATTGTTTTCAGTCCTCTTATTTCTCCAAGGTCACCAAAACATTCCAATACTGATTTAGGAAAACACATTAAACTGAACAACTTAAATCAATTTCCAGTTACATTTTAATTCTAGCTAGTATATTTCCTGCGTGTTATATTATTTTCTTGAAGATCTTTTGGTTGTCAAGAACCTCTGCTATGTTAATGCCACAATACTCAGTTCACTTGTTTTTCCAAACTCACCTAGTGTTCTATTGGAATAAATGTTAAACTGAACATTTGAAACGAAGGTAAATCAGAATTTTGTTAACATGTTACTCTTCCAACACATTACCTGTAAATAGATTCTTGGGTTTATTTCATTGATCAATGAATACTGCAATTTATTCGTAAAAATGGATTAACCAATCCCAAAGGGATTTCCTGAACTAACAGTATCTCCTAAATGAATCCTACTGGGAAAGGCATGAAAGCTACATATCTGGAGATAATAGTACAGGAGAAAGATATTACACTGAGAAAATAAGGGAGAAACAAGAGGAGAAAACAGTGAACATTTATTGCAGATTTCATTAATCTAAGTGTAAATTATTCTTGTGATGGTGTCATGGTTCTTCAAAGTGAAGAATATTTGTTAAATGAACACCATTATGCTCTATTCAAATGTTACTTTTCATTGAAAAATATCTGTTAAGATCTAATTTGTTTTTTCTCTATCATCTCTTCCAACCATTCATCTAACAGAAAAACTATTGCAGTGTAAAAGTTGTAACCGAAGAATTAAAAATGGTCAGTGCAGTTGTCTTAAATTATGAATAAATTAGGTTGTCTAAGATAAGGAATACCAAACAGCCATTTATGTGTAACCATTTTTTTTAATTATTAGTTTTCTTTTGCTCTATAAGCCTGTTGTTTATATTTGTGCAATTGATTTCAAAGGAATTTTATTTACTTCTTGGTGTCTATCTCTTTGCAGGTGAATGGCGTTGCCCAGTTACACAGTGATATATTAAAGTCAGAATTATTTGCAAATTATGTTTCAATATGGCCAACAAAGTTCCAAAATAAAACCAATGGGATTACACCTCGAAGATGGATCCATTTTTGTAATCCTGAGCTAAGCGGGATAATCACCAAGTGGTTAAAAACTGATCAATGGGTAACCAACCTTGACTTGTTAACAGGTCTTCGACAGGTGAGTACCTGGATGCTTCTCTGCAGCTAACTGATTCTCATCACTGCAGCATTCTAACCATAAATTCCTGGTGTATTTTTCCTTGTAGTATGCTGACAATGAAGATCTGCAAGCAGAATGGCTTTCTGCAAAGATGGCTAGTAAGCAGCGCTTGGCACGGTATGTTCTGCAGGTGACAGGGGAGATCATTGACCCAGATAGTTTGTTTGACATTCAAGTCAAGCGTATCCATGAATACAAGAGGCAGCTACTAAATATTGTTGGTGTGATTTATAGATATAAGAAGCTAAAGGTATGAGAAACAGCCCACAATTTGATAGAGTAAATTTGTGAAATGAACACTGCTCTAATTTACTAATATTTTTTGTTAACACGTTTAACCCATACTCATAATGAGTCATGGTCACATGTGTCCTTATCCTTCTACACAGCAATAGTTAGCAACCTATGTCAGAAGCTAATTCATCAACACTGACTAGTGGAGTATTTCATCTGCATTCATTTAGGAGAAACTCACCATTATACTAAAGATATGATATATGCTGAAGATAATCATTATAACTAAACTGTAATAGGAGATGAGCCCTGAAGAGCTTAAGAAAACTACTCCACGCACTGTGATGATTGGAGGAAAGGCATTTGCAACATACACAAATGCTAAAAGGATAGTCAGGCTGGTGAATGATGTTGGTGCTGTTGTCAACAGTGATCCTGAGGTCAATAGCTACTTGAAGGTAACATAATTTGTATAACTTTCTAAATGTGCCTTGTTTTGAAAGCAGAGTAATCAGGATACTAGATGCGTTGTTCAGAAGTTATCATACTTATATATTTATAATGATGGAGGCTGTGAAAGTTTATTGCTAATGGTTCCATGTCAGGCCCCCAAAATCGATTGGGCATACCATTAGTAAAGGAAATTTAATGCAATACCATATGTCCTGTCAGTTTTTCATTCCTATATATTGCAGCTGGATAATTTACCCAAACTCCAATTTTCTGTCCAAGTGCTGGGGGCAAACATATATGTATATTTTCACAATTGACCACAATAAACAATATTGTTGAAGTTCCACATCAACTATAGATATGGCTAAATAAGATTTTATAAAGGCTAAAGCAATCATCAGCTTATATTCTCACTCTTTTTTTCAGGTTGTGTTCATCCCGAATTACAATGTGTCTGTGGCAGAAATGCTGATTCCAGGAAGTGAGCTTTCTCAGCACATTAGCACTGCCGGCATGGAAGCAAGTGGCACAAGCAACATGAAATTTGCTTTGAATGGGTGCCTTATAATTGGTACTTTAGATGGAGCTAATGTGGAAATCAGGGAAGAGATTGGTCAGGAAAATTTTTTCCTCTTCGGTGCAACTGCAGAGGATGTCCCACGACTGAGGAAGGAAAGAGAGAATGGCCTGGTATGCAGTTACATGCATTCTTGTAAATTTTTGGGTACTGAATCATTTTCAGTAAATACACACTTTTCTTTTCAAGAACTCTCTCACAAAGCTGAAAAACTAAAAAATTCTCAAAATAAGATGCTTTTCAAATTTTCAATTTTTTCACAAAGACTTGTTAACACATGACCATTTTTTGTGATTTAAGTTCAAGCCTGATCCTCGATTTGAAGAGGCAAAGAAGTTTATTAGGAGTGGAGTGTTTGGAAGCTATGACTACAATCCATTGCTTGAGTCTTTAGAAGGAAATTCGGGTTATGGTCGAGGTGATTACTTTCTAGTTGGTTATGACTTCCCAAGCTACATGGATGCTCAGGCAAGAATTGATGAAGTGTATCGGTAAGACTCTATCTCTCTTATTTCATGTTTAAACTCATAACTAGTTAGTGACTTGTGCTACTGCATGAATTATATTACGATAAAATTTTAAACATAGGTTAATTTATAAATAAATTGAATAATTTAGTCATGTATATATTGTATAAATATTTTAGAACTATAAAATTTTATAACGTTATTATATATAGAAAAGTACCATGTGAATCGGGCAAGAGAAAGATACAATACACAAACTTAGGTTGATATTTTCAATCCTCGCCTCATCTTGATCAAAAAGCCAAAAAGAGATAAATTTATAATTAGATAACTTCTTAGTAATGGGAAAACAGGTAAACTAAATCTAAAGGATAATCTAAGATATAATATGATTAAATATTTGAGTATTTTCATATATTCTAACAATTTGTGTGATTTGAATGCAGTGATAGGAAAAAATGGCTAAAAATGTCCATCTTAAGCACTGCTGGGTGTGGAAAGTTCAGCAGTGACCGGACAATTGCTCAGTATGCCAAGGAAATTTGGAACATAGAAGAGTGCCGCGTACCGTAATTTCAATTGGATATCTCTTTCATTCAAGTTTCTGTATAGCACAAAAAGAATTATAAGTAAAAAGAAGTGAGTACAAAATAATTTACTGAAAAATAAGAAAGATTTTAGCTTTCTATTTAGCATATCATACAAGATTTCAGCTGTATTCTTATGTTAGATACTCTCTCAGCCATCTGCTTCTGACAGATAGAGATTGCTATATGCAAATAAATCTGAAGTTTAATATTCTATTTTGCAAGTAATATCAAAATTTGCTCAGCCTTCCAAATTTGAGTAGTAATTTTTATAAATAGTTTTTTCTTTTCTTTTCTTTGCAACTTTCATCTTCTCATTCATAGTTAATTTTAAATACCTTATTATTGATTGTGGGACTTTCGAGAATAAAATTTAAAATTTTTATATTTGCTTGATCTTTTAAAGTATCAAAATAATAAACATGTTTTTATTAAGATGAATTAAGTGCCTGATTAGTCTACTTACAATCGATTCTTCTACAATCGTTGCGGTCAAATGTGTAACAGTTTACATAAATAATATCCCGGCCGTCTATAAAATTTTAAGAAATCGATTGTCTTCTAACGTCAGAGCAAACAAGCCCTAAAATGTTAGATACACTAAACTCTTGAAAAAGTATGTTATAATTTTTTAAATAAATGAAGGGAGTATAATTTAATTTAAAAGTGAAAATGTAATTTGCCTCCCCTATTGATTTTAGACTAACAAGAAAATAAGCATTTTGAGTTACATGACACTTTTCATTTACTAAATCCCTTAAATTACCTTGGGAAATATTCTAACAAATGTATACAAAGAAGTTTATAATAAACGGCACACAGTTTGAACTCGGTATATTTAATGAAAAGCCAAAATTTCAACTCATGGTTAATAGATTGGCTTATAAGTACTGGTCTAGAATACAGAATTCAAAAGGATTCGTCAAATGAAAACGGAAGTTGTAATATTTGAAATTAACAGAAAAGAATAAAGTAAAAGCAAATTTTCTTAGGTAGAAGTGCCTCCTACAAGCTCTAAATTAACTTGTGTGGACTGCTTAAATCCAAATTAAAAATACGTGACATCTATTCAATAATTTCTCTCGGCCTGCGTAACATGTGATCATACCTTGTGTGTTTGAGCAGTAGTTCTGCACCCTGATTTTTTTCGTGTGCTCATAGACACTGTCGCTAAAAATTGGACAACAGGAGCATTCAACAGTTCAGTAGTCCGGTTGACCAAAATAAAAATTCATTAGTCAGACGGCAGCTACGACGAATTAACCAGATTATGCAGTGTATTTGATTGATAGTTCATCTGATTAATTTAAATGACGTTATTATAAAATTATTGTAGAACGCAACAGAGTTAATTTTCTTTCAAATGCAAAACATTTTTTTTTCATTTAAATATTTTGTAAAAATTGATTTAAAGTTAGTAAAATAAATGTTTTCCCAACTTCAACAAACATGCTAAAAAAAATTAGAATATTTTTTTAGAATAAGGACTTTCTATATTAAAAGGACTTTTGGCCCGAGTACACAGTACGGAGTAATCGAGTACTGATTTATATATTGATCCTTTATTTTCAACATTAAGAAAGTCAAAGTGATAATAGTCTAGAAAAGCGGACAAAGAACAAAGTAAAATAAAAATGCACCCAAACCAAAAGAAACTACGAGATCAGGTCATCTACACTGACGGTGACGTATTTCCAGCAACCATGATACAAGAAATAGCATTCGGGGGTCCCAAGACAAGCCCTGAACGGAACTAACGAAGAAAACTCCATCTACAACTACATATACCTACGTGTCACCAAACCAGTTTTCACTATAAGCCTAAGATGTTAAAGCCGATCGAGGACCAACAAATTTCAAGCTGAAGGAGAAGCAGATCCTGGAGTATTAGACCTCGATACTGATCTTGAACTTGCACTCACACTCACACTCGGGCTTCTTGAGTAGCGTTTTGAAATACGGCCACTTCTTTTGGAGCTTCTTGAATGAGTACTCCTCCTTGATCTGGGGGACACACTTCGCGAGTAGCCCCTCCTTGAAACAGGAGAGGCACTCCTTGAGTAGCTCCTCCTTGACCTTCTCTTTGGCCTAGGAGAGGCACTTCGAGAAACAGACCGGTAACGGTGCCTTCCATAGTGGCGATCATCAGGTGAGGCACTTCGAGAAACAGACCTGTAACGGTGCCTTCCATAGTGGCGATCATCAGGTGAGGCACTTCGAGAAACAGACCTATACCGGTGCCTTCTGTAGCTGCGCTCATCAGGTGAGTCATATCTTGAGTCATAGGGAGAGTATGATCTGTCCCGTATGCTGACAGGTGATCGAGAATATGACCTTTGTCGATCATATCGATAATAAGACCTGTGCCGGCTATAGTATGGAGAGTAAGACCGCCGCCGCCGGCGGTAGTGGTATGGAGAGTAAGACCTCCTCCCCCGCCGGAAGTCAGGAGAAAAAGAACGACTCCTGCTACGATCAGAAGAATATGGTGACCGACTATAGCTTCTTCTGTAAGGAGAATAGCTTGGAGAGCGACGAGGAGAGTGGCTTGGAGTACGGCGACGACCTATATGTAATGAGATAATAGAGATTAGCAAGAGTACACTAAAAAAAAAAAATATCTCCACAATCAAGAACAATAAATAAATGAAATCACATGAACTATGACACACCTCGAATAGTCCTCAGCCCAAGATACCGTCCAGGTGTTGGGGTTCGACCACGTCGTCTTTTAGCCTGCAATAGATGCAGAAAACAGCATGAATACAAAGGTATAGTCATGCACAGGTAGGCAAGCAATAATAACATCAATATAAAGTTAAAAACATTACATATATCCCAAAAAAAACATCTAAACACTGCAAATTGTGAGAGAAGGATCTTTCAGGACCATAAAACTCAAGAAACATAAAATAAGATTAAAATGCAATAAAAAAGGAGAGAAATGCAGGGCATACAACCCCAATGATCTGATACTTGTTGATGTATTTGATTTGTTTGTTTAGTTGTGATTTGAGAGTTTGCTGAAGAGCTGCTTCACACAGCTAACCTGCTGCCACAGAAACTTCAAATGGAAAGAAGCACAAAACTTTCAAAACTCAAAAAGAACTGAAGAGCAAATCATTCATATAACTTCCACACATTGGAGTAGAACAAAAATTCAAAGCAAATAAAGACCCAATCCCCAAAATGAGACATTGCCCGAAAAGTATACCTTCTCCACAGTGATAACACGTCCTTCAAGTACAGAGCGATTCAGATACTTTACACATCGATCAGCCTCTCCAACAGTTTCCATTGTCACAAAGCCAAACCCACGGGATTCCCTTGTCCAAGGATCAACTACCAGATGTACATCTATCACCTAAGAAGAGCAACCCAAAAGTAAGACAAAGTAGACCACCATTAATAATTTAATAACAGCACAACTACATCTCCATGGCATACTAAGCTACTTCATTAGAACTGCCAACAAGCATATAATGGATTGAAGAGCTTACTTTTCCCTCAGTTGCAAAATGCTTCTCTAGTTCTCTCTTGGTGATCCTAGGAGACAATCCTGTCACATACAAATTGTTTCCAGGATTTTCGGCGTCTCTTGATAGACTCCTAAATCACCAGAAGAAAACAAATTTAAACACCAATGCATTATCAGATAATCAACAGATGATAATGAGCAAGCAAAAGATCCCACAAATGTTAGACTGATGATTCAATATGGGATTCAATACTACGAGGCGGGTTAACAATTACATGATAAATAACAAATGGCTTTGAATTATACAATATTTGCATATATCAATGTAAAACCATATCCCCCATTCCATCACGTGATTCAACAAATCAATTTTTCTCCTTATTTGCTTTTCTTTCACAATGCTTGTGAAAGACACTAAATAACTCAAATAAGATTAAATTACTAGATGAAAAGGAACTGTAGAAAGATGCAATACTAGATGCACGATGTTTCCATTGATCCATATGGCCACTCACTCTATGCACACCCTATGTGGCAACATCATTACTTGTTTTCATTCTCTCTGAAGTATGACATGTCTTATAACTATGCTCTGTGAAGCTTATGTATGACTTACTTGTTGGATCAAATTCTAGGTTAAAACTAATCATTAAACGTAATTTACATGCTATTTTTAATATTATGATCTTATGGTACTATACAAATTAAAGGGAAAAATAATTTACGGAAAAAGAATTCTCACCTTGACCGGCTTCGGGATCTTGACCTTGAGAGAGACCTGGACACAGACCTACTGAATCGCCTGTATGGAGAAGGAGAAGGAGAATACCTACAAAAATGAAATGGAAACATCTATTGGCAAAAAATGCATGCATCACATAAAACAGAAAAATAAACCAAAACACTGCGAACATCTAACCTTGATCTCCTTGAATATGACATCTGCAACAATTCCGCAAGCAACCCAAAAAATAAATAACAAATCAGTGTTTGAAAAATAAATATGGGGATACCAAGTATATACTAAGACAATGGTCAATCCACGTAAAATATCAAACTTAAAAAACTGGTTAATGTATGTATTTATTCCTTATAGTTGAAACTCATTTACGAATCAGTTCTACTGAAAAATACTTACGTTCTACTGAAAAAATACAAGTGTTTTATTACATTATAATTCGTGCAATCATAACACCGTTAGTAATAGTTACTATTTTTTCTTAGTATAATATTAGTCAGTGTTATACTTACAAAAGAAATTAAAACGTAACAAAATACTCAAATAAAAACTAAAACGTAATTTATAAATGAGTGCCAACTATAAGGTATATTTTAACCAAAAAAGGGTTGAGGGTACTTTTCAATTTCCCAACACACTATTTGTCCAACAAATACAAATTACCAACATCCAGATCCAAAAATTACGAAAGACTAGAAGTGTGTTTAGATTCACAATTTCATGTCTCTAAATTCACGTCTACTTTAACATTAATAGTTGTAGCTTGTATGTTGAATCCAGTTTACAGGACTTCCAACTTGAATTCTATCACACGCCATACTAATTATCCGTAACTTATCACAAATTACCAGTGTCTCCTATCAACAAAGCTTCAAAATAATGAAGTCCAATAATCAAGTTGTCATCCTAAATCGTAATTTAGTAGTTTCAAATCCTACTACTTTTAACGTCTAAATCCGATCCAGCGCTTTTCTATTCCATCGAACATCACAAAAACACAACCACACACACGCATAAAATTCAAAATCAACCTTATCATAAGTCCCTCTACTAAAACTCTAATCCAATCTACCCTGGTTCCAATAAAATTCTCTCCTACGGTCAGATTGTGTGTGTTTTTGTGTGTCGAAACTTCTAGAATTTTTTACAACAAATGAAATCCTGATAGAACAACAACGAGATTTCAAAGCCGGAGGGGGAACAAGTTCAATTCTCCACGCAAAATTCACGAACCGAAATCGCAATCAGCAAAATCGTTGTCCACAAATCCAATAAAGGATGAGAATGGAACTTACCATAACAACGGATGAATGAGGATAACTCGCTTTATTCAAATATGGAAGGAAAAAAAGGGGCCAGCACCGCTCTCGGTGAAGGACAGGGAGATGGTTGCGTTTTAGATGGAAAAGACGTAAAGCAGTAGAAGAGGTGTTTATATAGAGGGAGAAGCTTGAGGTTGAGATTACCCTGTGGAGGGTTCTGGAGATTCGGACGCCAAACGAAAATTAAACACGCTTGAATTCTTCGTGGGCCGTGGGCCGTTGGCTTCCGTCACGAAAAGAGTGGAGTATCTAATATCTATCATGCACGGTTCCGTTTTGTGCGGTTCGTATTTGTTGGCTATTGAAAAAACGCCAAGTGTGTTGTGAGGATCAAAATCGTCCTGTCTGCAAAATTTGAAAAGTAGAGAATAATTCTTTTTAATGAAAAATGTTGACTGCTTGAGTTTATAATATTATATAAGAGTGAGATGGTTATTTTTAAAGTTATAAATATTATAACTTTATTTTATTTAATAACCTAAATAATTATTTTTTATCTATATTTTTTAATTATGATATTTATAAATAAAATTAATTAAATTTATAAATATTATATGTTTATTTTTATTCTCTTATAAACAAATAATTTAACTAAATTAAAAAAAGAGATAATGACTAAAGAAATGTAATTAAATATTAAAAAAAAATTTAAAAATATTCTCTATAATTTTTACTCAAGTTATATTACATTTGCTTAAGTTAATTTTATACATCAATAAATATATAAATTTTATTAATATTTACTTAAATAATTATTTTTAGTTTAAGTAAAATTAATTTAGCTTAAGCTCAAATATTATACTCAATTTTTGTTTAAGTTATACTTTATTTGCTTAAGCGAACATTAAAAAGTCTAACTCAAGTGAATTAATAACTGCTTGAGTAATATTCATCCACACTACTAAAAAAACATGTATATATAGATAGATTTTTAAACTATTATAGACATTTTTTGAATTTACAGACGGACATAAACCGTCTGTAATATCCTCGTCAGTAAAGAATTACAAATAAATTTAACAATCTGTCTATAAGTTACAAACGAAAAAATTCTTCTATAACTTACAGACGAAAAAATTCGTCTGTAAATTACAGACAAAAATGTACATCTGTAAGTTACAGACAGAATAAATCATAGACAGAAAAATTCGTCTATAAGTCACAGATAGATTTTTTTGTTTGTAATATATTTTACTATTATTAGTATTTTTTATTTATATGGATAGTTATTTGTACCTGTTCCTAATTATCACAATTTATAAACATAATAAAAACTATAAATTGAGCATCTAAACATTCAAAAATGATTTATTAAATATAAAATTTAAATGTCATTACAAAAGAAGACAAAAACATCCAAATAAATAATGTTAAAAATAAAATACAAGTGTTCATTATGAATAATCTATATGATCATCATCCGAAGGAGTATCATCATTAGTAGACGAGGAGTTAGAAGATGAATGATGTATGGAGTTGAAAATCAGTGGTGTTGGAGCAGGTGGGGAAGGGGGAAGAGGTGTGGATCTGCTTGCTCTCATGAGCTCAAAATAAGCATGCATCTGCTGCATCTGCATATGTTGTTGCTTCATCTGCTACTGTATCTCCCTTTGCATTCTCGATGCCACCTTCTTCTTTATTTTTTTCTCTATTTTCTTTTATCACTTTTTCTTCCATGCATTTTCCTTGGTCTTCCACATCTTCTCATTATACTTTTGGAGTTCTTCATTGACGGCATGGATATGAATGCGGACCATGTCCTCCACTTCCTCAAGTGCAAGAGAAGAGGCATCTCCGGTGACAGATGGAGGGGACATGGAATCTGCAAAGTGGCCTCCAATGCATAAATGCGACCTTTATAGTGGTCATCTATTGTTTGTGACCACATAGCATCTTCATTAACTGATTATGGATCTTGAGAATATGTCTCATCAAGCCTTTGAACATAGCCATCTTACAGTTCAGTACAAATAATTAGATATTAGTCTGGAGAACTATTTAATAAATCACTAATAATAACATATAGTGTCAATAAGAATGACTTACAAATGTGGCTTGAGATCGTATATCAACTCACAGGTTTTTATCTTTCCTGCGAGTGTGTGTCTCCTTGAACAACTCTCCAGTCGTAGGTAGCTTCTTCAACGACTTCTCCTGCAATTTGAAATAAATCACAATTTCAAATATGAAATTATAGATAGAGTAAAATGAATTTTAAAATCACATACCAAGTTTGCCTTAGTGTTAGCCAAAGTTGTAGACCCACTAGTATGTAGTGATCTTCCTTATTAAATGCCTTATTTGTCTTGTTCTTTATGGAGAGATTTTTAAACTCATTCGTACCCCAATACTCCTGCAAGGCATGAAGAAAGTTGGGTGCTATACAATCAGCAGTAGAATGGTCTTGACGAGCCTCAGTGTACATCTGTCTTAGTCGCTTTGCAGTACGACTCTTTCAGGCCTTGAAAATCATCTTTTCGTCCTGGGTGGAATGGAGAAGTTGTTCTACATAAACACAATTTCATTAGAAGAAGTACAAACAGTCATATATAATTACACTTAGTTAAAATTAATACACTATTATTACATTCCATCTTTATATCCTTCGGCACCTTTGCAAAACTTGTGTAAGGCGCATCATACATCTTCTTAATGGTATTTGTGACCTGGTGGAGACCTTTCTGTGGTGGCATCCAACTGATAACACAAAAAAATAAAACAATTATTATAACATTCGCATAAAATACGCAATGTTCAACATATTTTGAAGGAAACTTACCAAATAGACTCATTCCATCTCAAAGTTTGCAACGATCTCGATAATGTCTGTGTGTGTGATGACTGTTGCCCACTTACAGCTGGGATAGCAGTGGATCCCTCTCCTGTGCCCTATGTAGTAGGTGACTGTATGGCCTATGTAGTAGGCGGTGTAGATTATGAAACTCGCTGTACTGGAGGAGGATAAACAATATACCCAGGATTGGACACCATGATAAATTGCTCCTGCCTCTTTACCTGGGAGGTCTGCACTATAACTGGTATGGAGGTCGAAGTGGGAGCGGTGGGTGAAGAAGTGTTACTGTTCGGAGGGCAAGTGTATCAATCGAGAAGTAATAAAGAGTTTTTAATTTAAGTTCCCAAAATATTGTCCCACAAGGATTATTTTCTAATTACTAAGAATTTTCTAATTTAATTGTTTAAGCTTCAAAGATACGAGATTAATTAAAAATAAGAATTTATAAAATCAATTATAAAACTAAAAGTAATGAATACAATGCACGTTTTAATTAAACTTATTGGAGAGGAACCTAGGGCATATGAATTTTCTCATTCAATCCTTTATGTTATTTTTCTATTTAACTCTCAATTTGATTTCCTTCTAATTACCAATCATTCATACAAATACTATTAATACCTAATGGTCATGCAATATTAATATTCTTTTCTCTAAATTAACATCCCCAATAGTCATGCAAGACATCAATTTAAGAAAACTTAAGGAACTTATGAACTTGTTAATTTAATAACGTTTAGAAGAGAAAGATTGGTTTGGTCCACCTAATCCTTTGTCTCATTTTACCCTATAGATTTATTAATTAACCGAGGTACGGTCGCCTGACGATATAATTACTGAGAATTAAAAGAGAAGTGCAAAAATTCCATAAATTCATGAACAATAATTCTCATAGCCCTAACTATGAGCTTAGTTACTCATGCTAAAGAAAAGAACTAAAATAATCATAAACAAAGCCATAAAGAAAAACAAACTAGAATGAGATGAGTTCTTAGTCTTCAAGTACGATCGCTCGAAGTTCTAAGTCTTGTCAAGTATGTGCCAAGGATCCTGTGCAAGAGAGACGAGATAAAATGTATTCTAGATCCAACGCTAAGATAAAAACGGTTCCTTTACGATGCCTAAGATCTTCCCTTTTATAGGATTTGAAAACCCAAAAAACTCTTCATAATTGGGCTTCTTGTAGATGAGTACGGCCGTGCAAGGCCCTAAGCACGACCGTGTAAGACCTTAAGCACGACTGTGCTTATTAAATGGGTCTGGGCGTGCTGACTGTTGCGAATCTCTAATCTTCCATCAATTTGGGTCCATAATGTATCCAAAATTGATAAAAAAAAAATAACATTTTTAACTAGTATGTTATATAATTAGATTAATCCATCTTGCTCCATAGTGATTTAACAAGTTATTGTAGTTTAATTGAAACAAAAACAAACTGTGTAAAATTATTGAGATGTTTAAGTCTAAATTTTAGTTGTGTAAAATAGTTGAATAACAAAAAAAAATAAAAAATTGTTAATGTGTAAAAAGTTTGATTTGAGTGTTATGACTAATGAGTATTAGGAAATTACAATTTTAAAGAGAGTTTTATTTTTCAAAACAAACATGGCGTTTTTAAAAGTAAGGAATTTTGATTAGTTTAAAAAAAAAAATCAAAATTGGACATATATCATAAAGAAATATAGAATGTATTTAAGTCAAATAGTATAAAGAACAAAAGCATACATTTAATTGATAAAAAAATGTAATTAAAATTAAACTAAATTATATTTTTATGAGATGATTAAATTACATTTTTCCTTTTATAAGTACATTTTATTCTGGTGATATGATAAGAAAATAATATGAGAAATAAGATAAAAAAGTGTTATTTGGATAGATAAAAATAAAAATAATGAAAAATTTTACTTTACTTACTTGAATAAATAAAAAATAGATAGCTTATGTAAAGAATATTATTACAATAGTAATAAACATTATTTTTAAACAAAATTCAAAATTTAATAAAATATTTTATATGATTTTAAAAATTTAATAAAATATAAAAAATATCACCATCTTTTTCTCATAAAATCTCACTGTTTTGTATTGGAAAAGGTTATTTTTAGATCTCACAAAAAAAATATTTTTTTACTCACATGAAATAAAACATCCAAACACATAAAAATTTTATTTTCCTACATTTTTTTATCTCTACATACAATTTTTTCACTAAAACAAATAAAATATTAGTGTTAAACATGAAGTGTGTTTTAGGTTATCTTTAATTTTAAAAACAAGCTTAAA